GGGTGGCTGGAAGGGAGGGGGCAGGAGGGGGTTGGAGTCCAGAGGTAAGTGGGACAGTTGGGTGCCAGGCAGGTCTAGGTGGGCCGGGTCCAGAGAGCCACCCGGTGGCCTTTAGAAGATGGACAGTGGGGGTGGACGGGGAAGGAGGAAGACACCCAGGACACGGTCCTCACTGACCCCGTGAGTCCACGCTTGGGCCAGGCCTGGCCCAGACCATTCTGCACGTCCTCGTACTGGGCCCCACAAGCACTGATTCCCAAATGGGGAGACCACGAACCAAAGAGGAGAAAGGACAGCAACGCACCGGGGTCCTCGTCCAGCGCCCCTTTCTCCACTGGCCTTCACCCAACTGCTCACCTCGGCCGCTGAAGGCCCAGCCCCGGGGACCACGCCAGTCCTCACACACCTTCCGAAGCCCGGGTTCGCGCACACTCTGCTGAGCCCTGTGGGTCATTCTGAACCTCGTTCTGTGCTTTGTGACCACCGCCCCCTCCCCAGACCCCTCTTCCCAAGGACCCTTCCTTTCTGTCTCCAGGCTTCCTCACCTGCACCAGGTAGAGGCCCAGAGATTGTTGGTGAGTAAGCCCAGCTCTGAGCTGCAGAGTCCAGGCAGGGACGGGGTTTCCCTGTGGTCATCTGATGCTTGTCCTCATGGGAACAGTGGGGCCTCCAGGCCCCTGCCCTCCCTGCTCCTCACCTCTCTGCCCCCACCCCAGTTCCCACTGGCCTCCAAATCCTCCTCTGGTCTCAAGCCCTCAGGCTTCCATCTCCCCGGCCCAGGCCCCCTGGCCCTGGTACGTCTTCTTCCCATCCCTCCATCACTGCTTCTCTGACGTCTCCCTGAACTGTCCACAGAGCTCCTCCAACACCCTGCCGCCTCCGACCTGTACCTGAGCCACCTGGAAAGCATGTGCTCACTGACAGCTGGGCCTTCTCCACCTGTCAGCCTCAGGGAAGGAGAGGAGGCACCTGTCATCGCCCCAAGGCTCAGCTCAGGCTCCGAGAGCCAACACCCCTCACACGTCTGACACCGCCTTGTGCACCCTCGGGTGAGCCACTTGCCTGCCCTGGGCCCCAGGTTCCCAGTGTGTAGGAGAAAGGAGGTGGACAGCTGTTCTCAGGGTGCACCCAGCTCAGACTGACTCTGTGCTCTGCACTCTCTGCAAAGCTGCTGCCCCAGGGGCTCTGTGCTGGTTTGCTCTGGCTTCTCGGGCCTGTGGCATTTCCTACCCCCAGCCAGGGCCCAGCCCGGACAACAGAAGCTCGGGGTTGTTTTCAGCAGGCAGAGACTCTCAGCTTCCCAGCCTCCCCAGGTCCCAGCACGGGAGACTCTGGAACCTGCGTGGATGTAAGTCGGTCAGCCTGGCAACCTGGGCCCGCGCACCTGAGAGGCTGGCTGGACTGGGAGATGCTGGGAGTCAGAGAACCGGTCTGGGGGAGCAGAAGGGGGAGGAAGGAGCAGGGAGCACGTGAGGGGGGTTTCTGAGATCATGCAAGCGAGGTCAGCCCAGCGCACAAGCTGACCGTCAGGTAGGGACAGTGGGTTGGGGGCAAGGGCTTCCTCTGAAGGAGGCTGGACTGCTGGAGCAGGAGGCTGCCGCGGGGCAGGGGCCTGTGCCCAGGCCAGTAGGGTGGGATTAGGGCCCGACGCCCTGCTGTCAGGTTGCGGCTGATGGATCTCCGCTGCTGGAGCACAAAGACCGCTCTGTGGTGGCCCCAATGTGTTCCTGTCCATCAGAGGGCACTTGCGGGGGGCGGGGGCACAGGGGAGGAAGGCCAGGCCTCCAGGTGCCCTTCTCCACCGCTCGGCTCTGAGAGGCGCAAGGTCAGCAAAAGGGACAGTCCCCCCATCGGGGTGTTGAGGTCAGAGACACCTGAGCTGCCCTGTCTTCTCAGTCCTAGGAGGACCTGTGCCCTGAGCAGGGCTGGGACATGGTCCCCAGGCCACTTAGCCAGACGCACAAACACACCTACCGATGCATTCCCTGAAACGCAGTCACGCAGAGCACCCTGCCCTGGGGAGCTGAGCCCTGCCGGCCGGGAGTGAAGAACGCACCTTCTGGTCCCGTCACACCTCCCCGGGCTCCCGTCAGCACCAGACACGCTCTCCCTCGGTGAGCGGCTGCTGGTGCTCCTGACTCCACTGTGAGCCCGTCGCAGGCGTGTTCATGTCTGACTCACAGCACTGACCCCACACCAGCACACAGTGGGCAGAACGTGTTTCTTTTTCTCTATTTTTTTTCTTTGTTGATTTTAGAGACAGAGGAAGGGAGAGAGAGAGATAGAAACATCGACTGGCCGCCTCCTGCATGCCCCCCACAGGGGATCGGGCCCACAACCTGGGCATGTGCCCTGGCCGGGAATCGAACTGGTGACCCCTTGGTGCAGGGTCAGTGCCCAGCCGCTGAGCCTCACGGGCCGGATGAGACACGTTTCTGGGCGGAGTGAAGGAATGAACATACACCGCAGGCAGGACGGACCAGGCTCCCTCCTTCACTCCTGCTCGGTGTCCGGGAGGCCGTGAGGTTGGCCAGGGAGACAGGTCAGGAGAGGCCAGGAGTGGAGGACAGGGGCTCCCATGAGCTGCACGACAGCATCGCTCTGCCAGCTGAAGGGCCTGCCTCGCCCGGGCAGCACCCTCCTCCTGAGTAGGCTGTTCACACAGGACCTCGGCGCCCACTCCGAAGGACCGAGCCTCACGGTCTTCCATGCGCTGTCCCTGCCTCAGCTGTCAAGTCCCTGCATGCCAGCCGGGTGTCCCCTACCTGCCGGCTTCTCCTGGACCCTGAGCTCCATCCAGACCCGTCCACCCTTCCCCGTCCATCCGGACCCTGCGTATCCTCCCCAGCCCCCGTGAGACTTCCTGCCAACCCGCCACACCTGCTTGATGAACCCACTCAGGGTCAACCCACGGCACCCGCGCTTGCAGCGGAAGTAACGTAACTCGCTCCCACTGTAATTTATCATCGCGTTTCTGTTCAGGTCCAGCCACTAGAGAGCAAGATCCCGAAACCCCCACGGGCCACGCCTGGGTCCGCTGCCCTGTTTTCAGAGGGTGTGGACATTTGGAGGCACGCTGGCTCCCAAAAGGATACAGTGATGCAGTTTCTAGGTTTCCATGGTAACTCCAGCATCATCCCTGTGCTCAGAGCTCACAGGATTACTCTGTAAACTGAGGCCAAGTTTTCTGTTTCTTTTTTCCTTCTTGGTGTGTGTGGGGGGGTGGGGATGTTAGAAACATTCTTCCTTGATCCAGCTGGTTGGGGCAATGCAGGGTTTGAGCCCACGGCCCCCACGGGGTGCTTTCGATCTCACTGGTGAGGCCAAGAGCCAAGGGCTGACCTCTCTGCTCCCCCTCAAAAGCCGGGGTTTTGTCTCCTCCTCATGTCTGTTCCCCACACCAGTGTCTTCCTGGCTCCTCCCCACAGACACAAGCGGAAGGGACGCTGGGTCCCTCAACCACCCTTCAGATCCTTCCGCTGTGACGTCTCCCCAGAGTCTCCCCAGTTTCTCTTCCTCTGTCCTCACTCCCATTGGGGACTGATGGCACCAGCCTCATCTGTCACAGAGGAGGGATCAGACTTGGGCCACGGGGTCCTGGAGAAGAAATTGGGACCAAAGGATCCACGAGACAAGGGGCGGGTTGCAGCTGGGAAAACCGAGGGCCTCCCTGTGGCCAGAGCTGGGGTCAGCAGAGCTGGACAGTGGCCACCGGAAGGGGATTCTGGTGTTGGGGGCCGGGCAGAACTAGGTGACCATCGGGGTCTACTGGACGGCATGGTCCTTGGCGAGGCCTGTCGTGGGCATCCTGCAGCCGTGCACACCTACACCGTGAAGCTCCACGGCACGGAGCACGGGTCCTGTCACACCCCACGGCCTCTGCTAGACGGGACCACAGGCTAAGCCCAGAGATTAACTCGTCCCAGCCTGGCCACTGCGGCTCAGCGGCTGAGCGTCGACCCTGCACCAAGCGGTCGCCAGCTCGATTCCCGGTCAGGGCACATGCCCAGGCTGTGGGCCCGTCCCCAGTGGGAGGCGTGCAGGAGGCGGCCAGTCGATGTTCTCTCATCGATGTTTCTGTCTCTCTCTCTCCTTCTAAAATCAATACAGAAACTTGACTCGCCCCCGCACCCAGCGACTGAGACCCACAGTGTGTGCACAGCTGGAGGCGCAGAACCAGGGGGCGTTGAACTCAGTGGACGGCTCTGTGCCCCACCCCCACCCTGAGTCTGGGCAGAAACAGGAGCAGATGACCAGGAGGACCCAGACTGAGTGAGGAGGAGACGCAGGGCTCATGGCACCGGGACTCCCCACGGAGGGGACCGTGGAGACGCGTCCAGAGTATCCGAGATTCCCACTGACCTGCCAGAAGGGAAAGCAAGACCTGAAAACCCCTTTCCTCAGTTTACCCCCCTCCCAGGAGCCTGAGAGACACGGTGTGGAGGCTGCTGTGGGAGCTGGAAGGGGAAGCCACGCGCCCCCTCAGTTTCGGCCCTTCTGGTGCCTGGACAGAGTCCCCACACCTGCCCGACGGGCAGCAGCCTCCCCTGGGGAGGGGCCTCGTGGCTGGTGGAGTGTCCCTCGAGTCTCCCTCGGGAAGCCCGCGAGGAGGGACTCACGTCAGACCTCTTCCAGCCCACACCCGCGCCTTCTTGCCCCCCAACCCTACTTCTTTGGGACCAGCAAAGAAAGAGCAGGCAGGCTCCCCGCCAGGAGTAATTGAAAGGAGCAGATGAGAATGTGTCCCCCACCACCTCCCCTGCCTGCCCCGTGGGGTCTGCTGAGAAATGAAAACTAATCAAATTACACCCGACAGCCTCCCTCCGGGCACAGGAGCCGCTGGCCAGGGCCGGCAGGCTGGATGGGTGGGTGGAGGCGGGGGTTCCCGTCTAATCCACTGTGAACGTCTTGATGTGCAGCGACAGCTTAGAGGGGCTCAGGTTTCCGTGGCGTTGGCTATATTTATCTCTGGTTCCATGCCAGCAGGGAGGGTTTAAATGGCACCCAGCAGTTGGCGTGAGGGGCTGCAGGAGCTCAGGGGCCGGTGGCAGGAACAAGCCTCTTCCGACCCCATGGAGCTGTATGAGACACCTCCCTACTTCTACCAGGAGCCCCACTTCTACGACGGGGAAAACTATCTGCCCGTCCACCTCCAGGGCTTCGAGCCAGCAGGCTATGAGCGGACTGAGCTCAGCCTGAGCCCCGAGGCCCGGGGGCCCCTCGAAGACAAGGGCCTGGGGACCCCCGAGCACTGCCCGGGCCAGTGCCTGCCGTGGGCGTGTAAGGTGTGTAAGAGGAAGTCAGTGTCCGTGGACCGGCGGCGGGCGGCCACGCTGAGGGAGAAGCGCAGGCTCAAGAAGGTGAATGAGGCCTTCGAGGCCCTGAAGAGGAGCACCCTGCTGAACCCCAACCAGCGGCTGCCCAAGGTGGAGATTCTGCGCAGTGCCATCCAGTACATCGAGCGTCTGCAGGCCCTGCTCAGCTCCCTCAACCAGGAGGAGCGTGGGCTGCGCTACCGCGGTGGGGGTGGTCCCCAGGCGGGGGTAAGTGGTTGCCCCAACCTGCCCCCAGGGGGGCACAGCCTCAGGCCCCCCTGTGAGGCTCGTCTGACAGTCCTGTGTCCCAGTGTCCTTTCCAGATAGGACCGAGGCAGAGGGAGGAAAAGCAGAGATGGGGGGGCAGGGGACAGAAGGAGGGGTCAAAGAGCGAGTCCAGCCAGCCAGGTGCAGTGCATGGGGATGGGGCCGAGCACACAGGTGCGGACAGCTCCGCCCCCACCCCACCCCTACCTGGAACCCCATCACCTGCACAGAGAGGCCTTGGTTGGGCCAGACACCCTGACCCCAGGGTCAGGAAAACCATACACCCCTTTAAACTGGTGTCCACTGAGACAGAAGCCAGGAAAGGCCTGGAAGCCGGGGCCCTATGGCCAGGTGGGGGCAGAGAAGGGGCTGATTGTGAAGATCCAAGGTTGGGGTGTCCTGGGCTGGGGGCTGCGGCCTCAGCACAGGAGCTTCTGCCCAAGGCACTGGACAGAGGACACCACCAGAGACACTGCCTGACCTTGGGCCTCGGCATCTTGCAGGTACCCAGTGAATGCAGCTCCCACAGCGCCTCCTGCAGTCCAGAGTGGGGCAGTGCCCTGGAGTTCGGCCCCAGCCAAGGGGGTAAGTGAGGTGGGACCCTGGTCAGCTCAGCTCAAATCCCTCAGCCTGTGTCCAGCCCAGGTGGCCCCTCTTACCTTATTCCCTGCCCCTCGCGTCTTCCCTTGCCCCCTGCAGGGACATGCGGACCCCAGGGCCCCAGTGGTGGACTGGGGGGCCCTGTGCCTCTCCAAAGCCCTGACCAGCTAAAGAGGCCCCGGCCTCCTGCAGCTCCCAGCTGGGGTATGGTGGCCGGTGGCCGACCTTCCCCAGGGGTCCCTGGGCGTCACTGAGTCAGTACTGCTGAACTGGCCAGCAAGGACAGGTCCACCTCCCAGGACATGTCACCCAGGCTCCACCCACCTCCACCCCACCCCCACCCCGACCCTGACCCCACGAGGGGGCAGCTCACAGAGGAGGCACAGGTGTCGCAGGCGTCCACCGGGAAAGCACAGACCCCGAGCCCAGCTGTCCGGTGTGGCCCAGGTAACACCCTCCCACCTCTCCACAGACCACCTGCTCACCGCCGACCCTGCCGACACCCACAACCTGCACTCGCTCACGTCCATTGTGGACAGCATCGCCATGGAGGACGTCTCTGTGGCCTTCCCAGACGAGACCATGCCCAACTGAGGTTGTCTGCCGGGCCGGCGTCCGGGGGCCCACAGGCTGGCCGCAGATGCCGCCGCTTGTCTAGCGGGGCTGCCTGAGGTCGGCTGTCCTGATGCCAGAAGCCAGCCTGGCCCCCCTCAGCCCAGCAGGCTCACTCGCCGCCTGGGTTGGGAGCGGATGCTCTCACCTAGCTGACTGCTCAAGCACAGGCCCGCGGCTCCAGGGAGGTGACGCTGGGACCAGAGGGCCCGCGGTGCCCGGCTCAGGGCAAACCCCGGAGCTTCCCCTTGATGATCACTCAGCCTCAACTCCACCCTCTGCAAAAAAACAAAAACCTTTAGATGAAGACAGTGTCCTGACCGGGACACGCTGTCCGTGTCTCTTCCTGATGCCAGTGGCCGGGCTGGGCCTGCCCTGAGGGGAGAGAAGACGAGGACGGTCCTCGGTTCCCAGTCCCCGGGGGCCAAGCTTCTGCAGTGGACACTGGGAACCTTCCAGTTCTATGTTGTTTGTTCTGCGTGTTGTTTGTGACGCTGCGATCTGACCAAGGTGTCCCGTGCGAAGTTGCCAGGGACAGGTGGGGGTGGGGGGCAGGAGCTCTCGGGGTGATTTCCTTTGATAACTAAGCATCGTGTGGTTTTGCTACTGTTTTGTAACTTTTTTGCTAACTTATTTGGATTTCTTTTTTAAAAAATGAATAAAGACTGGGTGCTAGATGTCTGTGATGTAGGCAGAGGGGTGCCTGCTGCTCCTGCCCCTCCCCCCTCAATCCAGACACCCCCAGGGACGGGGCTTCCAAGCCTGTGGCTATCGGTCACCAGGCCCCGGGACTCCTGTTCCTCCTGCCACTACAGAGACGCCGGGTCCGGTCCACAGGCCTGGCACAGGCCAGATCCCACAATGCTGCGGGACATACAGGGAAGCAGAGTGTCCGCCACCCTCTAATTCATGACGCCGCACCCACTTCACCTCCCACCAGGTCCCCCAGTTAACGGAGCACATGCCTAGCGCTCAGCCGACGGCCCAGGGCAGGGTGCAGCTGGAACTGTGGGTTTCCCTCCCGAACCCCTGCCTCTCCCTGGTGTGACCTCAGCTGGAGCCCCAGGTGGAGGTGGAGGTGGTTAGGTCAGGCTGGCTGGAGTCAGGAAGCGCACCTTCTGCGCAGGCCAGCCTCCCCCTCGGGGCAGAGGGCTCTGGCCTGGAGGAAACTCCGCCGGCTGCAGGTGCTCACCTAGAACCACCACAGGAAGAGAAGCCCAGGCTGCTGTTCTGCAGGCTGAGGTCCCGAGGGAGCGAGATTCTGGGCAGATCACACAGGGGCAGCTGGGGAGGCAGCAGGCACTCGAAGCGTGAACATCCACTAAAAACCTTAATTCCAACTCCTTCAGGCTAAGTTTATCTGATTTATTGCCAATTATGAGCTTCAGAACCTTCACAGAAGTCTGGGGATTCAGAATGCGGTACATTCCAGACCCAACTCAGTTCTTTAGGGCCCGCAGGGGACAAAACCCAGAGTTACCGACACGCTTTGCTGCCCAGGCCCAGCCCTCCTGACTCATCCTGCAGAGGGGCTGAGCCCCCAGACAGAAGCCGCCGGGGAAGAGGAGGCCACCTCAGAGCAGGTTCAAACTGTGGGGAGGGCGTCAGGGCTGACCTGCCCCGTGAGCGGGTTCTCCTCTGAGTGTGCATCATGGTGGTTAGTCTCGCCTTCTGGGACTGGGCTGCAGGGAGCACCTGGGTCATTCCCAAGGCTCCCAGCCCTGGCCTTGGTGAGGAGGCCTGCTCAGGCCCTTTTCCTCGGCCCTAGCACCTCCCAGGCGCCGAGGGGGACACGCCCTTCACCTGTCCCCTGGCTAGGGGCTGGCGCTGGCCAAGAAAGCTCCCCCACCCCCATCTGCATTAAGAAGCTGGTAGGCTTTAGGGTTGCTGGATATTTTTTAAAAATTTATTTCATTTATTGATTTTTTAGCGCGAGAAAGGGAGAGGGAGAAATAGAAACATCAATGAGAGAGAACATCGACTGGCCGCCTCCTGCATGCCCCCACCAGGGATCAGGCCCACAACCTGGGCACGTGTCCTGAACAGGAATCGAACCGGCGACCTCTTGGTGCAGGGTCGACGCTCCACCACTGAGCCACACTGGCCGGACTCTGGATATATTTTTTAAGTTTATTCCTCTTCAGTTATCATATTCATTGGAAACTGAAGTTCATGTTCATGCTCCGGTAAGAACAAACAGTCCTTAGCCACAGCTCTTCAGGTTGGTGGTTCCCGGCCATGGCCAGGCGTGGCAGCTGCCCTGGGACTGTCTCCCACCAGGGAGAAAGCAGCTGCTGGATGTCACAGGTGTGCTGGCCAGCTCTGCCCAGCCTCACAGCGCGCACCCTCCTCCAAGCACAGGCAGCGCCCGGCCTCCACAATCACATTACAGATAAGGACTAACGACTAACAAGTGTTATTCTTTAGGGAAATTAGCTTAAGTTCCAGTCTCCAGTGCGAACACCTGCAGTAACTCAAACCGTTAATCAAATGTTACCACATAACAGACTTGGGGAAACAGGCCAGAAGGACAAGACAATTGCTGGGAAGAGGATCAGCCTAGCAAGTCAGGCAGCTCCCGCCTGCTTCTCTGCCCCAGGGCACGGGCAACCCAACAATCCTCTCTCCAGCCCGGGGATGTGAGTAGACAGGTCACTGACCGGCCAGTTCTCACAATCTGGTACTTACTTCCGAGAGCGCACTGGCCCTGAGGACTGCGGAGGAAGCTGGACATGTCAGGTGAGCTCCAGGTTAAAAAAGGGCCAGAGCCATTGTTAAGTGGTCTTAAAACCAGATTGTTTATTGGCACGAACACACACGCCCACTCCTGGTGCACGCAGCCAGCACAGTACCGGAGGGGCCTAGGAGACAGGAGGCTGGTGAGGGCTCAGGTCGCTGATGACTCTGCAAACACACATACTGACCGAGACAATGGGACTCGTCTGGTCAGCAGACAGCAGCCTCCCATCCCTGGCCAGGCCTCTCTCCTCCATCACCTCCCTGAGACTCTTCCAAGATGCCCTGAAGGGATCCGTATCCTGCCAGCTGCTGCCTTATGACACACCCACCTGCAGGGTTAGGGTGCAGGGACGGGCTGGGCCCATCTCCCACTTACTAGCCCATAGAGTCCCCTGACAGTCACGTGGCCTGTGGTCCCCAACTCTACCAACCTAGGGATCTGGGGTCTCCAGATCTTCATGTCTCTGGCCCAGGCACAGGGAGGGCCGGCACAAGAGGTGCCACCCACCCCCCGCATGGAGACCCCTCCTTCACAGAGAAGCTGCCCAGGCGCTGAGCCCTGAGACAGCCCCAGCGGCCAGCCTGACCTCACTCAGAACCCCGGTCTCTCGGGTCAATGCCAGCCATTCGGACACCTGCAGGGCAGCGTAGCCTTCTACACAGCTGCCTCCTTCTCACCGGATGAAGCCCTGGGTTCCATCAACTCATCCTGAACTTGGGTCCCAAACACTCCCAGGCACCGTGATGGGGAGAAGAGGACCTCTCAAGAGTGGCATCTGCACCACACCAGGGCCTGCTCCTCCGCCTGGTGGCCACCGCGCTGCTGGCACAGCTGGTGACTTGGCGGAAGCTGGTGGGCCTCAGATCTCGGGAGGGGGCCGTCCCTCTACACCCAGAGCCCTGAGCGAGGGGCGGGAGGGACCCACCTGCCATAGCCTGGACCTGGGGCCTCACTCACCTAAGGGGAAGCGTTGCCTTATTCCCAGGAGGTCAGCGGAAGGAAGCCTCCGCCTACCTTTCTCAGGTTTGGTGATGGGGCTGGGACTACTCTAGACTGGGCCGGGGGCCGGGGGCCGGGGGCCGGGGGCAGGGGGCGGGAGCAAACTGGCAGTGCCTGGTTGGTTAGCTCTGTTCTGTGCCAGAGCTGAGGCCCCCAGAACCCCCCCACCCAGCACCTGTGCCCCAGGCTGGGCAGGAGGCATCCCCACTGCCCTTGGGGGTGAGGCCACCACAGACCTCTGGCTCCTCTCCAGCTGGCTGGCCTGAGCCTCACTGAGTGGGGAGCTAAGAGGTCCCCCACCCAGACCCTCAGCCCAAAGCTCAGAGGCTCGTTTCTATTTCTCTCAAATTCTTGACAAACTCACATGTGGGATTCAGCTACGCCAGGGCCTGGGATCATCTCCCCAGCCTCACCTTCCAGGGGGACAGGCCTTCTGCAGCCCCCCAGCCCTGAGGTGGTCCTGGAAGCAGACGCCACAGGTGTCAGGCTGCTGGGCAGGGACAGGGACCAGGAGGCCCACAGCTGAGGCACAGCAGGGCCTGAAGTGCCCTTTTCTTGGCAGGCCGTCCCCAGCCCTGGGCAGTGTCTTGGTCGCCCGTGGCGGTCACAGTGTAGCCCAGGCCCGGACCAGGAGAGGGAGGCGGCTCACACCCACCTGGGCTGCCGCGCTGTCTGCTCGGAACCTCTATGGCTCCGGAGGCCCAGCCACACCCACGGGAGACTGACCAAGGACACGCAGCAGACCGGGTGCTGCCGAGGGGTGGACGAGTATATTCTGAGGTCCAGGGCAGCTGGAGAGTCGCCGAGGAGGCTGGGAGCCATGGAGGCAGGGGCCAAGCAGGAGGGGCCGGGCTGGCGGAGCCTGAGGAGCCGGGGCCGTGGCTAGTCCCGGAAGGCAGAGAGCATGTGGCCATAGAGATAGTGGGAGTGAGCTGAGGGAGAGAGAGGGCGGTGAGCGGGCAGGCGCAGGGCAGGCGGAGGGCGCTGGCAAGCCAGCGTGAGTGCCAGGCGGGAGGCACGCCCCAGGGCCAGCCGGGAGGGCACGGGGAGGCCTTGCAACGGGGCCTGGCCCACTTACCCCGCCACAGCCCACTGGCCGGCCCGGGCGGGAGGGGTCAGCAGGAGTGGGTCCGGGCGGTGGCGGTCTCTGGTCTCTGCCCCGGCCATCCCGGCTGGGAGAGGTGGCGGCCAGCCGGGGGACACACAGGGCGGGGTTAGTGTGAGCTCGTGCTGGGGCTGTCTGGCCTCGGCCACAGCGGGGCCCCCCGTGCAGCGCAGGGAGCCAGCCAGGCCACAGCCGCCACTCACCTTCTGGGGCCATCTTCTTGGGCGGGGCTGGCGGAGGCTGCAGGGGCCCCAGGGCCGACACGCTGAGCACGCCCCCTGAGAGTTCCCGAGGCCGGAAGCGCTTCCTCCAGGAGGGGGCCCGGCGGGACACCTTGTCCTCCCCCTGCAGCGGGGACACACTGGGAATGTGCCCACGTCCACACCCGCCCTCCGGCACAGAAGGCTGCCCCCAGCCCTGAGGTCTGGTCTGAGAGCCAAAGACCAGGTCTGATGTCCCAGGGAGCCGGGCCTGGGGTTGGGGCAGGGCTGAGGAGGCTGTGCCATGAGGAAGGGGTTCTCTCCATGCTGCTGCTAGCCTCCCCACCCAAGGTCCTCCCCTTGCATGCCCCGCCCCGGCCACCCACTGACACAACCCCGCAAGCCAACAGAACAAATCCCCAGGCCCCCAACCCGGGCACTCACGTCATCCAGCGTCCGGTCTGTGCCCAAGGCCAGCAGGTTGTTGAACTCTCTCTCCATCACCTGGCGAGCCTGGAACCACAGGTGCGAGGGGGAGGGGGGTGCTGCAGTCAGTGAGCTCCGGGCCCAGGTCCAGGGCAGACATGGGTTTTCCGGGAATGTAACACACTAACCGGTCTGCCCCTCACGCCAACCTCAGGGCCCTCCTACAAGTCCCTGTGGACCTGGGCTCCTTCCCATGGAGCAAATCAGGAAACTAACTTTTAAAAAAGTAGGATCATAGAACATACTGATGGACAGGCTTCACCTGTTGGGGAAAAGAATGTTTTGTATTAAGTGGAATCATGCTTTTCTGGGGGAGACAGATGAGCATGCAGGCCATGGTAACAGGGACTCAACTTATTTAGGTTAAAGAAACATATTTCTCATGGCTCCGCCTCAAAAGCTTAACTTTGGAAGACAGTGCAGCCATGGATTCTGGGAGTTTAACTCGAGAGATTAGGAAAATGCCAGGAATAAGCATGTTTTCAAAAATGCCGCCAGATATTAGTGACCATTTTTAACGACGGGTCCCATTGGTTCGGACCCCATCTCTCCCAGCAGCTAAGCCATGAAGGCATCAGGCAAACACGAAAGGCAGGACCCTGCTCCTGTTCCAGGGGAACTCTGTCCACAAAAGCTGGGCGCAGACAGGAAACCGAAGTTGGGGACGCAGGCCCCCTCCCGGGTGAAAACAGTCACCACGCTGCTCAGAGGACAGTCCTTCTCCGTCCTGGGAGCACAACCTTTGTCTAAGGGACCAGGTACAAGTGGGGTGACTTTCCGGCACCCAGATGGCACTTGCTCTGGACAGTGGCAGGCGAGGCCACACCCAGATGGGACACGGGGCAGCAGACCAGGTCGGAGGTGGGCAAGTCCAGAAGAAAGTGCATCTCGGGGAACCCCAGCTCCCCCAAGAAAACAGGGGCTGCACCATCCGCTGAGACCACAGAGAACCTCATGGACACACTGGCCCCATGCGCTGCCATGACCCCAACAGGCCACCCACCACCCAGAACTCCGGGACCACGGAGCCCCACCCTCACACAAGCCGAAACGCATCTGCTCCCAGAATAGCGCCTGCGGCTCTGGGGCTGAGGCTGGGGCTGAATTTCCAAAGGCCGACAGCTGCGCCCGCCCAGACGCCCAGACGCAGGCGGCTAAGCGTGAGTCTATATGCGGAAAGGCTGAAGGAATTTAGAGTCTACAGAGACAAAGGCTAGGGCCAGAGGCTACACAGTCAGAGTTATGGAATCACAGAACCGGTGAATGAAACGCTGGAGACTGGGAGTGGCCACTCCCTCCCCTGGGGCCACCGGGGCATTTTCAGGACAAATACAATCAGGAAGCACTTTGCACAAGAGGCAGCACTTCTAGAGTCCATCATCCACAGGGGTAGGAAGGCTGATGCACCCTCAGAGGGGAGACCCAGGGTGCTGACGACATGTGACTTACGGAGAGGTCCAGTCTCCGAGCTGTTGAAGGGGAGGCAGAGCCCTGGCTGGAGAGGCTGGGGGCTGGGTTATTGGTCTGTTTAGTTTCTCAAGCTGGGGGCCCAGAAACACACCCTGAGGTGAGAGACAGGAGCTGTGGACTGTGCAGTCCCTTGGGCTCAGGGCAGGTTCTCCTCTAAGAAGTCAGGTCAGAAAACCACACTGAGGAACAGGAAGGAGGAAGCATCACTGAGCTGGGAGGATGGTGCCTGTGGCATCAACACGGTGCCAGGCTCTGTGTGCCGAGCACACCTGTCCCCTGGGGCCTGGTGATGCGCAGGGACCACCTGGAAGTGGGGGGATGTGATCCCTGGAGACGGGCCCCAGAAGAACCCTCCACACTCCCCAAGCCTGCACGAGAGGAGCAGGAGTGGGGTGACTGAGCGGGACACCAGTGACGCGCACCTGGGTGTTCTGTGTGGGAATCTGCAGGACCAGGGCCAGAGCGCTGTGGTCGAAGTTCTCGTCCAGGGCCAGCAGGGCGCCGTGCACACCGCTCTCCTGCAGGTTCCCCGCGTAGTCCCGGAGCCCGATGGACTGGACCCAGCGCACCACCTGCTCGTTGGTCCAGACCAGCACGTCTGGAGGCGCAGAAAGAAGGGTGGACGGGCCTCCAGGAAAGCGGTGGTGCTCCCCAGACCGGAACCTGCCTCCCGCCCTCGGCTCCCCGGCCCTGGGCGCATGGGCACCGGCTGTCCTCTGCTGCAGCCCTGGCAGCCCACAGGGCTCAGGGAGAGGCCCGCAGGCTCCTGACTTCTCCCCAGAGCCCTGACTAGGCCACACCCCTCCCCCAGGGCGCAAAGGCATCTTTCTGCCTTGCAGGTCTCTTTCCAGTCCAACCCCACCCAGACCACAAGCTCCTGAGCACTTCCTCACCCGGGGCCCCAGGACTCCCTGCATTAGTGTGGGTGGGCCCGTGTGTCTGGTGTGGGGGCGAAAGCTGAATGGGCAAGGGCGCCTCCTTCTCCACCAGAGGGCAGCACCCTTCGGCACGTTCCGTGTCTCCCTCAGTCCTGGAGCCCCACCTCCTTCCCTCTCAGCTTTGGAGGGAGGCCCCCCAGGCCACATGCTCACCCCTGATCTCATGCTGGCTCTCCTCCCGCCTCCGCTCCAGCTCCTTTCGGTCGTAGTTGAGCCTCTTCAAACACATGATGCCATACTGCAGGCTGGTTCTGCAGGCAGAGCCCCAGCCAGCCTCAGGGGCTGCGCGCCTGCCCACGTGCCCACGTCCACACCCGCCCTCCAGCACAGCATGCCACCCCCACGGCCACTGTCCTCTCTGCCACGTCCTCTCAGCCTGGTGTGGGCCTGGGGAGAAAGTTCTCAGGATGAAAGCGTGCGTCCCTCCCTCTCCAGAGCTGAGGGACAAACACTGACCGCCCACCAGTCCTGGGAAAGCATGAACAAGATGCATTCTGCGCCCCCATTCCACTCGACCCCTCACAAAAGCCTCTAGATGCTACGGGTCTCCCCACGGCGCCTGAGCCCCGATGACACTCCCTGCCCTCAGCTGCAGGGGCACAGGCGCCTCACTGTCCACAGGCCTCGGGGCCTTTGCACTGGCTGCTCCGCGGCCTGGAGCCCTCCTCCCAGTCTGCTCCTTTCCATCTTCGCTCCCATGTCCTCATGCCCACCGGACCACACGACCATCACCACCCCAGCCCACACTCCCAGCCCCCGTACCCGGTTCTCATTTTTTCCTACCACTTCTTGGGAGCTAGGATGTGCCCTGAAGCTCTGTGAGGGCAAGGACCTCTGCTGTGCTCCCTCGTGGGTCTCAGCCCTAGAACAGTGCCCGGCACAGGGCACATCCCAAATGCCTAGTGATGGAAGGACTGCAAACACCCCTGCAGCAGGCACTCCTGGAGCCGGCACTGAGCTGAGCCCCAGTCCGAGCCCCCGAGACCCCGGCCAGCACTCCTGGAGGCGGCACTGAGCTGAGCCCCAGTCCGAGCCCCCGAGACCCCGGCCGGCACTCCTGGAGCCAGCACTGAGCTGAGCCCCAGTCCGAGCCCCCGAGACCTTGGCCAGCACTCCTGGAGCCGGCCTGAGGCAGGAGTCAGAGCACCTGTGCCTCTGCCCTCTGGCGACAGGACTCACTGCCCTCAGGGCAGCGACCAGCAGCCGGCTCCTCCTCAACCTCAGGGCCCTGTCCCGAGGCCGCATCATCAGCTGTGAGGCTGAGGAACAGGGAAACTCCCTACCACCCCAGCTTCTCTTCACTCCACTGCTGAAGCCACTGCTTCGTGGGAGTGGGTTTCGTGGGAGTGGGTTTGCGGACAGCTCCCTCCTCTGCCCCTCAGCTCCTCAGCCCCCCTGCCTGGAACGCTCACCTCACAGCCCCCACAGAGTCGGGAACTGCCGGCCTGCGCCCTCTGAGGCTGGTGTTGGAAAGGACTTCCAAAACCCTGTCCTTCCTCAAACCCTTTCCAGATGCCAGCTGGGGCCGAGCAGGTATTTACTGCAAAGGGCAGGAGGCTGGCGGGCAGGGCTGCCTCACCCTGGGGGAGCCGTTATCCATGCTACAATGTATCCACGGAGCTTTCAATTTTCAAGGAGCCAGACATCCAACATTTTGTGTAAAATTTCCTAGTGCTTAGAAACTGGCAACTAAATCCATAACTTCAGGACTATCATGTGGGCCAAACCAAACACATCCGGGCCAATCCACCCGCAGTCTCCACAGCAGACACCTCTGAACAGGCCTTCCCAGCCGCAGAGGGGAGGCTGCCTGACGTCCTGCAGCAAAGAACACGCGCTCACAGCTGAGCTCCGACCTGGGACATGGCAGGCGAGGACCCAGCAACACCCTTCCTCCAACGCAGGAGGAATCGGCCCCCTACACACTGGGTTGTTGGGTCTTCCCAGGGAAAACAGCTCCGCAAGCCCAGGACAAGCGACGACATTCAGCCCCGGGAGAAACCCCCAAGAAAGTGACGCTAAAGAGAGATGACTTCTGGTGTCTTAGGGCTGAAGGGCCGTGGAAGCCGCAGCCCCTCCATGCTGGAGACAGCGCCCGGGGCAGCCTGGGCCCCGCTCACCGGTGGAAGCTGTCCACCACCTTCAGGTGCACCCGCAGGTCCTTCTTGGTGAGGTGGTCCAGCATGCGCGCGTCCACCAAGCACTCCATGAAGTAGCTGCGGTACTGGGGCAGCCCCAGGCTGGGCAGCCACTCGTTGCCGATCCACTCGTGGTTCATGTCCCCGTAGGCCAGCGTCTGGGGAGGAAGGCAGGGCCGGGCTGCAGGGGCCTGTGGCTGGCGGAGCAGGGCTCCCCCACAGCGGCTCAGTCCAGTCCAGCTCACTTCCCTCAGGGCCGTGGGGGAGGCGGGGGTTTTAAATGGAACTTCTCAGGGTCCAGAAACCACATGGCTCCCCCCAGGTACCGACTCTCTGCACTAACGACAGGGCGACTGCCCAGAGCAAGCGATGGACCCTCGTCCCCGGAACGTGCCAGGGGCTGCGTGGCCCCAGGGAACCAGGGCTGAGCTGCGTGCCCCTCGCCAGAACACAGCGTCAGTGGTTTCTACGAGCACCATGTGCCTCTAGGGCAGTGACCGTCGACCTTCCCACCTCACGGCACAGGAACTGAGGGCTGCCGGCCGTGTGGCTGAGCATCGTCCAAGCACCGAAATGTCACCAGTTCGACTCCCGTTCAGGGCAAACGCCAGGGTGGTGGGTTTGGTTCCCAGTCGGGGTGCATGCAGGAGGCAACTGAGAGATGGTTTCTCTCTCACACTGATGTCTCTCTCTCTCTTCCTTTCCCATCTTCTCTCTCTGAAGTCAATCAAAGAATATTTTTAAAATACTAATTACTGCCCTGGCCGGTTTGGCTCAGTGGTTAGAGCGTCGGCCTGCGGTCTGGAGAGACCCGGGTTCGGTTCCCGCTAAGGGCACATACCGACCCTGGTTGGTCGTGCGGGTGGCAGCCACTCGATGTGTCCCTTTCACGTCGATGTCTCTCTCTCTCTCTCTCTCTCTCTCTCTCTCTCTCTCTCTCTTCCTCTCTCTCCCTCGAGGCCACTCTACCTGAACAAAAAATGGAAAAATGTCCTCAGGTGAGGATAAAAAAAAAAAAAAAACTAATTACTAAAATTCTGTGGCACACCAGAAAATAGATTGTATTTTTTGCAGCTCTGACGGAAACAACGGGTATAACTGTGATTCGTTCACCCTGGGCGGCTACCGTTGTGCTGGCTGTCGTCATGTTTCATTTGACAATCGGAGGGGAAATGGCTGCTGAATCGTCAGGCAGTGCGCATTTAAAAACCCTGCGGAACACCGGATGAAAATTGCTGCCCTGACCAACATACTGTTAGTTTTGCTTCTTACTGAGCTTCAGTACAACGTTCTGACGCCGTATTTCTAGGGCGCAGGCACCCCTCTGCGGCTGCGGACGGGCTTCCCGGGAGCATGGCTGTCTGCCCCGAGCCCCACTGCTCTTCAGGACGCCACCGGACGCCCTGCCCGGACACAGTGGTCTGTTGGCTGCCTGTCTCCCCAGAACAGCTCCCTCCCGGCCCGAGCGCGGAGCGGCTGGTGCTCCGCAGCTGCTCAGGGCATCTGCTCACAGAGAGTGCACAGGAGGGGGAGCAGGAGGGGGCGCCGCCCTCAGGGCTCCTCACCTGCCAAGGAGGAGCCAGGACAGTAGCTAAAGGAATGAGGAGTGAGGGTCCTCCGCGGGAGGACCACCTGCCGGGACAACACTGCCCTGAACTCCCACGCCCAAGACGAGGGGCATCTTACCTGAGCCCAGCTGCCCTCCTCACTGTCCTAGCAGGAGCCGTGCAGCGTGAGGGGAAATGGGTCACGTTAAGCACCTGGCAGCATGCACCAGGCCCCACAGGGGAGCCAGCACCCTGAGGCTGGGCGGACGAGCAGGGTGGCAGGGTCAGAAGGTGGGTGTGTGCCACGTCCCGGGGGAGGGAACAGAGGCCGTGTGGCGGCAGCACAGTCCCCACCTGCCCTGCACGGGGAATGAGCATGAGGCAGGACCCAGGCCCAGGCCCAGGCCCAGGGCGGCGCAAAGTTCTCTCTGCAGCTCAAGCCCCTGCAGCCTGGGCCGCGCTGTGACCATGGACTGGACACCCCCCCCCAACACACACACACACACACACACACACACACAGCTCCATCCCATGTCAGTCACACATCAGGGATGCTCATCTCACACTGGGTCAGCTCCCACAAGCCTCCCCTCACCCCTGGGGACATCAGCCCTCACCCAGGTCCAGGGCCGACTCACTGTTTCAGTGGATGTTGCCAGAGTTTCCATCTCTTCATGGGTGACCCAGACATTCCCGGAGGACTGTAGGCAGAGAGGAAACCTAGCTGGTCCTGAATGTGGGTCCCCAGGGGTTCCCGTCAGGCTGGGACCCCAAGGACAAGGACAAAGCTCCCTTCCCGAGTCCTCCTGCAGGCCCGGCCCAGCGCTCTGCTCACTGTCCAGCTCTGTGTCCCATGGCTTAGCACAGGGACGTGGTCACTAGCACCCAGGTCACAGGGAGGGCGTGGAGAGGTGGGAGGACTGGGCATTGCCCACAAACACCGTTCCCTCCGCCACCGCCTTCCGACAAGACAGAGCCCAGAGCTCCGTCGTGGAGGCTCTGCCAAGGCTCCTGGCAGAGAAGGGGGGAGACAGACCCCAGTGGGGTGGGAGGCAGAAGCTGAGCCTGCTGGGACCCCAGAATCCATGTCACTCCCCCTTCGTGGGGATGGGAGGTGAGGGGAGGACACAGCTACCATCTCCCCAAACACCTACAGCAGACTCTGCGAGCTATGCCAGGGCCTCGGAAGACACCTGGGCAAGGGCGAGGCCACTCACAGTCCTGGAGGTGGGTGGGGCGGAGGGGCTGGTCAGCGACACCATCTCCTGGATGGCCAGCCGCAGCTTGAGCCGGTGCAGGGCGTTGCTGATGCCGATCTCCCGCTGGATCTCCGTGTCCGACAGGGCTGACATGATGGCCCCGCTCTTGACGTTGGCCCTGCACGCGGCCACGTACCAGGCCGGCATCCCCACCCAGAGCTGCGGGTATGGGCCGGGGTCACTCGGCGCCTTTCCAAGAGCTTGCAGCCCCCAGGGCAGTGTCAGGCTCCAGCCAAGCTCTCAGAAGAGCAAACGGAGACGCCCAGCATCAAGCCCATTTCCCATCTACAGCGGAAACTCCGAGGTCCGGGAAGAGGAGGGTTCCCCAGCACTGCGTGGGTGGCCAGCTCCCAGGGCAGCCGACAGCAGAGTCAAACTGCCTGTGGACATCCCTGGCCCAGCGATGACTGGCTGCCCTTATCTATCGAGATAACCGCTGTGTTGCTGAGCGTGGGGGAGGGCGGGCAAATGCTAGGTCACGTGTGCTTGGCAGGGGAGAAGCATGCTGGGGAAGGAGTGCCCGAGGCATCCTTGCCCCACCTCTGGACCCCTGCATACACCCCTCTGCCTAGCTTACCTCTAGCCAGGAGACCACAGTAGGGCCGTCCCACTGGGCAAAGGGTGTTCCTTTCCTGCGGGCATCTTCAAGCAGCTGGTGTCTTGCAGGAAGAGGAACAGACTCAGCAGTCCTTCCCGGTCTCTCCTCCCTACTGACTCCCAGGGACCAGGGGCTGTGCCCGGGTTGATCTCTGCTCCCACCCCCGGACGGCCAGCTCTGCTCTGCACCTGAGCAGTGAGACACCACAACACACAGGAACCCTCTCCAGCCCAGACCCTCGGTCTGCTCGGCCAGGACCACAGCCCCGACCTCCGTCCTCGGCTCGCCCTAGGAACCAGCTCCCAGCCCCTCTGACCACACGACACAGGCCGTCCCCGGCCAGAAAGGGCCTTGCTGGGCTCTGGCCACCTGAACTCAGTCCCGTGGCAGCCCAGGGGACAGGCAGTGGACGGCACCCAGCCTGGCCCGTGGCTCTTACTTCTTCTTCAGCCGCCGGTCCTTCTCTGCCTGGGTCCCCAGCTTGGCAGGCACCATGGGCTCCTGCACCCCGAGCTCGAAGTCTGTCGGCATAACTAGAAGGGAAGCAGTGGCATGTCAGCCAGACCCTCTGCTGGTCCCCCTGGCATGGTCCAGGACTAGGGAGCAGACCGGAAGGTGATCCTCAGCACATCAACCCAGGCCTGACAGGACCACCCACAGTGCCTAGACCTCAGCACCCGGGCCCTGGCCCTCCCAGAGCGGCTGCGACTGGAGGGCCCCTCGGCCCAAACGGTCTTCCTGGAGTCTGCTCTGGGGATGTTTTCGGAGCCAGGATGTGTGACCCTAAGAGCGGCAGAACCCTAACCAGGACGAGCCCCTCCACCAACCAAGGTGCAAAGGAGACCGAGAACCGGACACAACGGGGCCGAGGCTCAGAGAGGATTCTCCTGACCCGGGTCAGAGGGCGAGACGGGCTCTTTCAGGGCCTCACTGCCAAACCACAGAGGGACACGCACACATCTGTCCTCTTCCACCCGTGGCCTCCCGAGCGAAGGCCAGAACCTGAAGCTCGGGGCACCGGGTGGGGGGGTGGGGGGCTGCAGGTGTGGCTGATCCAGAAATCTGAGATGCCGTCTTAGCTGTAGGTGCCGACACAGTGGGAGGAACACAGGAAACCAGAAGCCTTTACAGAAGCCTCTTGCACTGAGCGGCCTCAGCTCCGGGCTCCTGGCAGGTGAACTCCCCTGTGCAGGAGGCAGGCCGCCCACACGGGCTCCCGTGTTCTGATTCACACCTCCCCGGGGTGCAGGAAGGCATAATTATGCAATTATGCACTGGGTTCTCTGGGATCATGCAAGTTCTTCCCCTGCATGAAACGTCAATGTTCCCACTGCCCTGGGGGTTCTAAACCTCTCGGCTGATTCTGAGGAAGCCGCACCCACGGCCCCCCAGCCCTGGCTCAGTCCTGCGTCCAGAGGCCCTTTGGCCCTGCTCCTGTCTTGGAATGTCTCCTCCTTTCTACCTGTCCATCAGAGCTCCTTTATTTTTTTATTTTTTATTTTTTTTATTTTTCTTTAATCCTCACCCGAGGACTTTTTTCCATATTTTGTTCAGATAGAGTCGGAGGGAGAGAGAGAGAGAGAAACATTGACGTGAAAGGGACACATCGAGTAGTTGCCACCCACACGACCCAACCATGGCCGGGGACAAACTACAACCGAGGTATGTGCCCTTAGCGGAAACAGAACCCGGGTCTCTCTGGACCGCAGGCCGACACTCTAACCGCTGAGCCAAACCGGCCAGTGCCATCAGAGCTCCTTTAAAAGATGGGCCTAATGCTGGGACTGTGTCCAGTCACTCAGTGAACATCTGCTGAACGCAGAGCAGAGGAGATGCGGGAAGGAGGGAGGGAGGGAGGACAGCTAACTCGGACCGCGTGCCCACCACTTGCCCGGCGTGGACTAGGGCTTTACACATCATACCACGGTCGGCCACTCACTTGAACACTGTCTACAAAGCCACAGCGAGGTATCCAGAAACGTGGAGTCCTGCAGGCCTGACCAGCTACAAGTAAGTTCTAATCAAGAACAGACTCTCCTAAAGAGCCGAGAAACTTCTAAAGGTCCCGAACACGGAGTGTCAGACAACCTCGGAACTGGAAGAGACCACAGAGGCCCAACCTCTCACTCAGTGACGCCGAGTGGGCGCCCCACGGGGGGCAGCCGGTCCGCTGCCGGACAAGCTGACAGAAGCCCTGCCTGGCTGTGGTCCCTGCCGCCGCCCCACGGAGCCCACCCTCCTGCCTCTGGCCCCCCAACGCGGACTTTGCTAGTAAGGGCAGAGACCGTGGCCCGCAGCTCCATCCCGGCTCAGCTGGCTCAGCCTGCCCTTCTCCTTCTTCCCAAACAGGCGGCCAATGGACGACTTGATGCCTTTGCGCTTGGCAGCCTTGTGCAAGGAGTCCTGGCTGCTGTTGCTGCTGCTGGGGTCGCTGCCCTGGTCCCCCAGAGCACTGCAGGGCGGCACCCGGAGGGGGGACACTGAGAGCACAGCCGAGGTGGAGACCTCGGGGAGAACTCACAGTACCTCTCGGGAGGGGGCCGGGGCGGGGGCTGGGGGGAGATTACAGCCGAGGTGGAGAAGACCTCGGGGAGAACTCACAGTACCTGTCGGGGGGGGGCCGGGGCGGGGGCTGGGGGGAGATTACAGCTGAGGTGGAGGCCAGACTCGGGGAGAACTCACAGTACCTGCCAGTGGGGGGGGGGGGGCAGGAGGGGGGCAGAGGAAGGGAAAGGGAGGCGGGACTGTTCTTCCCTGACGGTGTTTCAGAGCGAAGTGGGATGTGGAGACACCTGGACAGGTGAGGTGGCCTTGGGGACGGACAGCTGGGGCTGGCTCCCCTTACCTCTTGCCATCCTCCTGGCTCAGGGCTGGGTGGCCAAGCTTCTCGGGCCGCAGGGTCCTGGGTGAGGAAGGAGGAGAAGTCTCACATTTTATGGTGGCTTTATCCTCCCGGTCCTGTTCCCGAGACACTGGTGACTGAACAGACAGTGGGACCATCAGGGGTAGAGGGAGCCTCTGGGGCCCTGGGGGGAAGCTGGGCGAGGGGCTGGGAGAACTGACCCAAAGGACCTGCGCTCAGGCCACACCCACCTGCAGCTTCCTCCGGTGCTTCCGCAAGTCACTGGGCTGGAAGAGAGGGGGACGGTGAGCTCAGACTCACCCTCTGGAGCCCGCGAGTCCACCCCAAGGGGAGCCCAGGCCTTGAGGGGGATTCAGGGGCCTGCACAGGTCCAGACAGAACATCACAGAACAGAGCTGGCCGGAGAAACAGGTCAGGAAGCCTCTGGGAGGGAGAGGGGTGCGGGCAGCAGGTGGGCTTCCTGACCTTATCGCCCTTCCCCGAACTCGGACCTGGTGCCTGACACGGGGTGCGCGTTGGCCGCAAAGCCGAGCCCGGCAAGGACGGGGCTGCTCCTCCACTGTCCCAACACGCTTACCAGCGTCATGACCCCCATGCGGTCCAGGTCCTGGGCAGCGCTGCGGGAGGTGCACCGCAGAGTGGAGAGGCCGCTGAGCGCGGGGGACGCACTGGCCAAGGACAGGGCTGTCAGCGAGGTGGGGATGGGGCCGCGCCTGTATGGCTGGGTCAGGTTGAGGGCCTCCATGCTACTGCTGGTCACTTGCGTCTCGATCTCCTCCGCGCGGAGCTCCGTGGACTCCTTCTCCTCCTGGATCATCCTGCAGGTGCAGCCCAGCATCAGCCGGGCCCCGGCAGCCGGCAGGTGTTGCCAGGCATATCCTTCCACAGCTCAGAAACATTCTCCTCTTTCTTGTGAGCCGAATGAATGTAACAAAACTTCCCAGTGTCATAAAAGCAGCGGCTGGGAAGGAGGCAGTCTTGTCGGAATACAAACCACCCCGGGCGTCAGAAGCCCTGACCAATCACCAGCTGAGGGCTGACCGTGAGTCAGGCTGCCGCTCTGGCCTCAGTTCCCCACGTGAGGAGGGGTCTAAGTCCCCAAACGCAGGACCTTTCACTGCCGCTGACCGATGGCGTTTTCCCTGTCCTTGGAAAAAGGGGAATAGTGCCCTGGCCGGTTTGGCTCAGCGGTTAGAACGTCGGCCCGCGAACCAGAGAGCCCGGGGTTCGGTGTCTGCTTAGGGCACGTACCTCGGTTGCAGTTTGTCCCCGGCCCCAGACGGGGTCGTGTGGGTGGCAACCACTCGATGTGTCTCTCTCACATGGATGTTTCTCTCTCTCTCTTCCTCCCTCTCTCCCTCCCGCTCTATCTGAAGATAAATGCAAAAATGTCCTCGGGTGAGGATAAAAAAAGAAAGAAGAAGAACAGTGGTAACCGTGGAAGGGGCCGGTTCCCAGCGAGGTGTGTACACGCTGCCACACATGCACTGAGGCAGAGACACCAACTCAGAACCGGACTCGCTCCTGCCTGTGGAGCACGCCTCCCGGCGTCGGGCATGAAGCGCCGTCTGTCGCAGAAGGAAGCCTTTCATACTTGGTGGTGAACAGAAGCCAGCGGCCGGCCAGCACCGTGTGTGTGACGTTTGTGGTGAACAGAAGCCAGCGGCCCAGCCAGCACCGTGTGTGTGACGTTTGTGGTGAACAGAAGCCAGCGGCCCAGCCAGCACCGTGTGTGTGACGTTTGTGGTGAACAGAAGCCAGCGGCCCAGCCAGCACCGTGTGTGTGACGTTTGTGGTGAACAGAAGCCAGCGGCCCAGCAAGCACCGTGTGTGTGACGTTTGTGGTGAACAGAAGCCAGCGGCCCAGCCAGCACCGTGTGTGTGACGTTTGTGGTGAACAGAAGCCAGCGGCCCAGCCAGCACCGTGTGTGTGACGTTTGTGGTGAACAGAAGCCAGCGCCCGGCCAGCACCGTGTGTGTGACGTTTTCCTTTTAATGGGCCTCTGATGGCCCAAGCGTGGGAGCCACTGAACCACAGGCCCTCCGTGGCCCTGAAAAGCTCTGATGCTGCCTCTCTTGCCGTGGGTCATGCACACTAACACACTCTCTAAGAGCAGTGAGTGCATCCGTCCCGGCCACTCTGTGGGGCAGGGAGTCCCAGCCTGAGCCCTGGCTCCGCCACTCGGGCGCTGCCTCGGGTGCGTCGGCTCTGGTTTCTGTTCCTGTCTGTCAAGTGGAGGTGATGCTGCCGCCCACAGAGAGTGGGGCAGGACTGGCAACAACGGCCTGGCTGAGCGAGAGCTACTCCATCAGTGTCCACAGCCTCCCGGCCCCAGGAGGTCAGTCTGAGATCCTCCCTGTTGGGCCCAGGGCTGGGCCACACCGCAGGGTCCCTAGACGGTGGCCCTCTACGGAGCACTTGTCAGAGACACGCACACACGCAGACTTTCCCGCAGCACGGACCTCACCTGATCTCCTCGTTGATAGCATCCAGCTGCTCCTGCAGCATCATGGCCAAGGTCTGCGCATCGGAGTGGTTGCCGGGGGAGACAATATCCACGGAGCCCGCCAGACCCCCTGGCCCATCCTCGTCCACGTCGGATATCTCAGGGTCACTGTCGAAGGCGGGCGCAGCCATGGGGGCCAGCATGCCAGACAGCGGCGACGGCTCCCAGTCCTTGGCAAAGGGGGGAGGAGGAGCAGTCGGACCCCCGCCCAGAGCAGCAGCAGTAGCGGCTCCTGGGAGCCCGGAAATGCGGTCTCAGGCCCGGCCCACACCTACGGGTGTGGAGCCTGCACTTCCACAAGGGCCTCGAGTGACTTGTGTGCACATCACAGTGTAGGAGACGCTACTGGACTGCGGAGAAGCTGGGCGGCAAAGCGGTGAGCAAGGGCTCCAGACACACAGGCTCCAGCGACCCTGTGTGCCGTGGAGAAGCCGGTTCACCACCGAGCTCAGTCTGCAGAATGAGGTCGTCACAGCACTTACGCCACAGGCAGCTGTGAGCCCCGCAGCCCTCAGCTCGGTGTCTGGCACAAAGTAAGGGCCAGTAACCCACACAAACGGGGACGAGACCCAGGGCTGTCCTGTGTCCCACCATCTGCTCAGAGCAGGGCTCTCTGGTCAACCCCGAGGGGCAGCTTCTCAGAAACCAGCCTGCACACCTCTCCGGTGCAGAGGCCGTAGCGGGCACAGAACCCGGCTGGGACAGGGGAGAAGAGGAGGGGCCGGGCAGCGGCTGTGTCCTCATGAGCGGAAGGAAGAGTGAGGGGAGAGAGGAAGAGGCGCCTTTGGACGGTGACTCCCCTTCACAGGAGGAGTTCCTTCCTTCTCCACCTGTGTCTTCTGGTCCCTGGGGCATGTGGAGGCCTGGGCTCAGGTAGCAACCAGACTGCCCTGCCCTTCCTGCTCCCTGCAGACTCGGTGAGAACCCACAACGGCTTCTCAGGAAACTCCCAAGAGCCAGCGAACCTGCCACCCCTCCCATCTCCCCCATAAACCACAGCTTTGTTCCATCCTGCCCCCAACCACAGGCCCGCACACCCAGGCACACGAGCGCACGCCTCCCTGGAGCCCCAGGGACCGGGAGTCTGGGGGGACAGCTGCTGCAGCTGCCGCGGCCCCACCCAGGGCTGCAGCTGTCGCTGACACGGGCGGGGGAGGCTTTGCACCGCATGCCAGCCGGCGGTGCAACTGGAGCCAGGCACGCGGCCCAAGTGACCCCACACTCCCAGGAGACCCCACCCTCACCCTCCACCCCTCACCTTGGCAGGCTCTTCCCGCAGGGAGTAGCGGCGTCGCAGGCCGGGGGGCGCCGTGCTCAGGGAGAACCGCAGGTCCACGGCGCTGCCCGTGTGGGACCTTACGTGGGGGCAGGGAGAGAAGATGGGCCTGAGCCAGTGCACACCCATGGGCCCGGAGTCGGGGCCCCGCTCAGAAGAGAAACCTCTGCAGGACACGGGGCTCCCGTCAGTGGTCTTGGGGCTGCTACGTAGGCCTGAGCGTGATCTGTCTCTGGTGCTCCAGGGACCAGAACGAGCCAGGGGAGCAAGGTCAAGGGAGGCAGCTTTCCATCTGACAAGAAACCCCTTCCGGGGCGAGAGTCGGCTGCGAACAGCGGGCAGCTTCGAAAGCTCAGGTCCTCGCCAAGAGGCTGCCGTCTGAGGCGCTCGGGCCCCGGGACAGGGAGCTTGAAGGGGTGATCTCTTCCGAGCCTTGCAACTCTGAGGGTCTCTGCTTCTTGGTCCCCTCCCCAGCCGTTTGCCTTGGGTCTCCCCATAATCTGGACTGAGTCTTGGCTGAACCTCCACCCAGCATGAAGCCCTGACACTGCCCAGGGGTCTGCTCCTACCCTGAGAACCCAGGCCCGGGACGACGCCTGCGTGTCTGGCTGCCGACCCGGCCTGTGCGCCTCGAGTGCGCCCACAAGGCAGCTGCAGGGAGAGGGGTTCTGCTTCCCCCACCTGCTCCCCGGCAAGGCAGCCCCGGTCTAGAACAGGCCCCGGGTGTCTGTCAGAGCCCAGGACCCCAGCCAGGAGGAAAGCAGCCTGGCGCACCGCAGGCCACGTTGCGCTGGTTGGAGGAACGGGCTCCCCTGAGCAGCCTGTGGGACAGCAGGGCCAGCGACTGTTCCGCCACAGCCACAGAGACGCCCGCGGACCCCTAAAGACGGCGTCTCAAAGGAACGGGAGGGAGTCGGACACTCTCCATGGGCAGCTGTGGGCGGCTGAGCACGAAGCTCAGCAGGAAGCCAGAAGCAAGGCCTGTGCCCACGGCCTGGGGAAGGGCACCCCTCGGAGGCCAGGGGCTCCCTTCTGCACCGCCCAGTGAGCTGGGTGGCTTTGACCCAGCTCCCCGGGCCTCCGTGTCCCACCCTGGATGCAGGACGCTGAGGTCCTGGACGGTCTTTCGGTAGGAGGAGGTCTCTCTCCTCAGGTCCACCCGGGGTTCCTCCCAGCACACCAGCCTCTGTGCGCCAGTACCTGGAGCGGACGCCCTCCGCCAACGGCCCCCCACGACCCTTCAGCTGGTCCACCTCTTGGCGCAGCTTCTCAATCTCTTCGGACAGGCGGTCCTGTGCCGGGCAGACCCGTGGGGGGAGGCCAGGGAAGGAGCAGAGGGGAGAGAGGGACAGAGAGGACAGCAGCGTTGGGAGAAGCAGCAGGGACGCACCAAGAAGTGCAAAGCCAGGCCCAGGCCAGGCCCACAGGCCAACAGAGACCAGGGCCAACTGCAGAGCAGCGAGCAGAGGCCAGGCCAGGGCCAGGGCAGGGGTCTGCCTGGGGAAGGCCCTGGAGCCCTCACACCTGGCAGGGTCGAGCGGGGCAACAGAGGGCCTGTGCCCTCCAGACCTCCCAGAACCACCCGGTCTGAGGCCTCACCACACCCTCGGTGGACCCTTCACTGGGCCTGCGTCATGCTGCCCACTGTGCCCTGCGCTGGGCCTCGGTTCCTTCTCCTCGTGCAGGATAGTGTGCCTCCCAGGCAGGCTCAGGAGAGGGTGCGAGGACCACCGTGCACACAGGGTCCCGCCAAGGGGCAGGCTCTGTGCGAGGACCACCGTGCACACACGGTCCTGCCAAGGGGCAGGCTCGGGAGAGGGTGCAAGGACCACCGTGCACACACGGTCCCGCCAAGGGGCAGCCTCGGGAGAGGGTGCGAGGACCACCGTGCACACATGGTCCCACCAAGGGGCAGGCTCTGTGCGAGGACCACCGTGCACACACGGTCCCGCCAAGGGGCAGGCTCGGGAGAGGGTGCGAGGACCACCGTGCACACACAGTCCCGCCAAGGGGCAGGCTCTGTGCAGGGACCAGGGAGCTGCACCCAGCAAGGCCGCCCTCCCTGAAGGTGGGCAGCTGGGGGCAGCTGGGTACCTTGTGATGGTGCTGCTCCTCGATCTGCCGCTGGGAGCTCTCCAGCTCCTGGATCAAGGTGTTCTGAGGGAGAACAGAGGTGAGCCAGGGACCCTGCTGGACCTGGCCCTTGAGTCTGCCCTCCAGGGACCCAGCTCCCCCTTTTCCAGCCGTACTGCAGGCCACACACAGGCGCCTGGCCGGCTGGCCCCTGCCCCTCTGCAGGCCCCGCCCCGGGCCCCCGCACCTTCTCCTCCAGGGCTGCCATGCGCTCCTTGAGGTGGAGCTGCAGGCGCTCATTGGACTCGCTCAGCAGCCGGTCCACGGTGTCTGCCAGCCGCTTGCTGTGGTCCTCGTTCATCCTCTCCCGCTGACGCACCTGCACAGCCAGCCTCACAGCAGGCGCCCAGGGAGCAGTGGGCCACACGCTCACCCGTGCCCAGCTCTGCTGACCACCTCCTCCGCCCTCTGCGGCTGTCCCCAGCCAGGGCCTTCCCCATGCCCAACCCCTCCCTGCCCCATCCGCACACAGCCCCGGGGTGGCAGAGGGCCTCACCCGCGCCAGCTCCTGGTCCCTCTCCTCCAGCTGGCCCTCCAGCTGCCGCAGCAGCTCCTCCACGTTGCCGTGCCGCTCCTCCGCCTGGGGGGGCAGCAGTCTGAGACGTCTGCCCGCTCGCCGCTCGCACTGCCTGCCTCGGGCGTCCTGGTGCCAGGGTGGTCTTTGGGGACCAGCGCCTCAGGGACCAACAGAGCTCAGCCCTCCACCTGCCACCCTGGGGCAGAGCAGCCAGCACCAGGCCTTTCTCCCGGGCACACGGACCCTGCCAGTTGCCCGCTTCCTGCTCAGGGCCTGCCTCAGAACATCTTGGCCCCGGCCAGTGTGACTGGGCTGAGCGGCATCCCCTGCACCAAGAGGTCACAGGGCACATGCCCGGGTTGCGGGCTCAGTCCTCAGTGGGGGCGTGCAGGAGGCAGCTGATCGATGTTTCTGTCTCTCCCTTCCTCTCTCTCTAAAAAATAAATATTTTTTAAAACTTAAAAACATCTTGGAGCTGAGATCTCAAGAGATTGGAAATTCTCTACACGCTTCCAGAAAACACTCCACTCAAAGATGAGCGGCACGTAGGTGCATGGACTTGAGACGGGCGGCCGGGCGCACAGCCTCTCCTGCTCCCCGCTGTGTGGCCCTGAGCCTCCGTTCCCTCGACTGCGAAAGGTGCCCCAGGGCAGCTCTGAGGCCCGCTGCCTGCCAGGATGGCACAGCGAGGGCTACGACCTTTGTCATCAAACCCACCAGCTCCCCCCATTCACGTGTCTCCAGAGATGGAGCCGCCCTGACTTCTGCTCCCAGGATGTTCCAGACCATCCCTCAGCGTGCAGTCAGGAAGACCTCCTCAAAGCCTCCTACCACGACTCACGGGACACACTGACCTCTCGGTCAGTCCTGGGCACGCCGGAGCTGACCGCTAGCACCACGCATGCCCTGGAGCACGTTCCGCCCAGCCCTCCACCCGCAGACCCCGAGTCCAACCATCACAGAGATGGTGCCGTCCAGGTGGTCACCCTGCACGTAACAACTCTGGTGTCTGACCAGGCGGGCAGTGACTTTTCCCTGGTCACAAGCCAGGCAGAGACACCTAGTCCTGGGCCTGCCGAGGTGCAGCCAGACTTTGGGTTCCACCCCCAGAACTCCCCCCAAAGCTCCCAAGCTGCCACACAAGCAGAGGCCCGGGCCTGAAGCTCCCGGTACTGGTCCCCGTCTCCCCACGGGTGGGGCAGCTCCGCCCGCAGGCCCTGGACCAGTCCAGACACGCCCATGGCGGGCGCTCTCCCAGACGGGTGTCCAGGCTGCACATGGCTCACGAATCACCTTCCAAAGCTGACTGTCCTCTGGGTAAAACTGTACCCCCTTCTCTTCATCCTGAAGCTGTGCCCCTCTCAACCAGAGTGGCCCCTAGGCCCAGAGGGCTTCCACTTGATAAAGGCAGACAAGCTCGGCCTGAACCCCACCCCCTCCTCTCAGATCTCAGCTTTCCAGAGGGAAGTCCTCCTTCCCTCTCCAGACACAAACCGAAGCGCTAACCACATGGTTAAATGGTCAGTAAAGTGATGGGCATGCGCACAGCGTCCTCCACCTCTGAAAAGGGCACACCCTTCCAGGGGCTGTCCCCCCCGTGGGGAGATGAGGGCAAGGACAGGTGGGCTCTCTGCAGGCGCAGTAGGGGGTGGGGACAGGCAGACTCGCCTTGGTGAGGGCTGCGATTCTCTGGGCCAACTCGACCTCCACCTCCGGCAGCGTCTCCGCCCTGCGCAGGGTCTGCTGCAGCTTCTGCTCCGAGAGCTCCAGTAGCTCCTGCAGGTGCCGAGCCTTCTCCTCACACTGGGGGTGCAGCAGGCAGCACGGTCGGGGGGGAGGCACTGCAGCCCCCGCCCCGCCATCTCCGCCCAGCGCCAGGCAGGCGGCAGGAAGCGAGACAACCCTGGTCCTTGGCTGCCCAAGGCCACCTGCAGGACCAGGGGCGCCTGGGCCACCGGGGTCCAGCACAGTGCCTCCCCTACCTCCCCAGAAGCAGCTACCTGGCGGTGCAGGGACTCCTTATTGGCCAGCTCGTTCTCCAGTTTGTCGTTGAGGTCATGGATGGATGTGGCCTCACGCTGAGCCGCCAGGTAGCGCTTCTCCAGTGTGGTGATTCGCTCCTCCATGTCCTCCTTCTGGGCCAGAGCCTGGGCAGGAGAGTCATTAGCTCCTCCCGGCCCCCACCCTGTCTGTGCCTCCCTCCCCACCAATGCCTGGCCGGGGTCTGACCTTAACTCATCTGCCCCAGCGGACCCCCCAAGTGCTCAGTCTTACACTCCCCAGCACTTCCCCGGTGCCCTCTGCACCCAGGGCGTTGAAGCAGCTCCCCTCCTGAGCGGGACACCCGCACCCAGCACCGGGGCAGCAGGCCCTGCTCACCTCCCGGAGGTCCCGCTGATGCTTGCTGCTCAGCTCCTCCGACTTGATGAGGTCCCGGCGGGCTGTGCTGAGGTCTTCCTCCAGTTCCAGCACAGCTGCTGTCAGGGTGGCCAGCCGCTCCCGGGCCTGGCTCAGCTCAAAGTTCTGCTTCTCCAGCAGCTCCTGCAGCTCCTGCAGCCGGCCTGCGTCATCCTGCAGAGACAGCAACAGCGAGCTGTCAGTCTCTCATCGGAGCCCACGAAATCCCACTCCCCGGTGCCACCCCAGGGAGGTGGGAGGAGGGACAGCTCTGCCCCAGCTTCTGGGCACACCTCCAGGTACACCGGCCTTCCTCCGGGCCCCGGAGCTCACACCCGACAGTGCCCAGACACCCTCGCTCTGCTGTGCACCACTTGAAAAGCAATGGTTTCTCATTTGACCTTCTGTCAGTGTGTGTGACCTAGAGAGGGTGTGGCTGCACACGGGCAGGCGGGCCCTGGCACTTCAAGCAGATGAGCACAGTGCCGGCAGTGTGCCGGGCACGGAAACAAAGGCCTAGACTTCTCTGCAGGGGGGAGGGGAAAGCAGGACAGACCAGCGGGAATACTGGAGAAACCCCAAATGTGCTTCGAGCAGTTGCCCCACAGGAGGGGCCGCCGGGGGACACATGCCCCTGCTGTGCGGCTCCCATGACCCACCTTCCACAGGCGCTTCAGTCCCAGGGGTGCAGTCCCCTCTTCTGCTGCTCCGTCCTGGCCCCCTGCCCCCTGCTGCAGGGCAGACACCTGTGGCACAGCCCAGCACAGTGCGTCAAAGACGAGAGAACCTCCCACACCCTCCAGACCTGCTGGGAGCCCAGCTCCCCTCAGCCCGCGTCTGCAGCCAGGACAGCAGGCAGCAGGGAGCACCGACCACCGACGGGGAGCCTTGGCTTCCAGCTCAGGCACATTCGAAGGGTGTGCAGGCGCTTACCTGCTGGTGGGCACCTGCCAGCTGCTCCTCCAAGGTGGTGACTCGCTCCAGGGCGGCCCGGAGCCGCTCTCGCACCTGCCCGAGGTAAGAAGGTGAAGGGATGGAGGAAGAAACCGAGGCTGCACTGGATGCAGCTGGGGAGCCTGGGCTTGGCCACCACTGTTGGCGTGGGGCAGAGAGGCTCTGCCCAGCAAGCCACGGAGCGGGGCCACGCGGTCACAGGTCGGGAGGAGGGGCGTTCCCAGCTAGAAGGCAGCTTCCCTCAGCACAGGGCAACAGCCACACAGAGGGGTGGAAGGCTGGTACCTTCTCATCCAGGGCCTTGTGGTGCTCGAACAGCGACTTGAGGGCCTTCAGCACCTCCACCTCACTGGAGACCCCCGATGGGGACTGCGCCTGGCGCTTCACCACCGTCATGCGCAGGGACCGCTCGTGGCGGGACACCAGGCACTCCAGGTGCTCCAGGAGCAGCTGGCAGTGAGCAGGGGGGAGAGGAGGGCTGTGAGCATGAGTGTGGGGTTCCTGGGGGCCACACCATCCAAGGTGCACACGTGTGCGGCCATGTGCGGTTAACACGTGGAAACACCTATGTTCTACGCACCTGCTGTTCCAGCCGATGACTGCCCCGCGCAGCTGCCCTGGCCTCCCCCAGGACCCTGACCCCAGGTGAGAAGCCCAGCATGGACGGGGGAATGATCTGACTGTCAGGGATGTGCCTGGGCTGCCAGGGCCTGTGCCCATGCACAGGTGCGCCGGCCCCTCACCCGCGTGTTGTTCCGCTCTGCCTTCAGCTCTGAGATCTCTTCCTCCCGTTCGAGAAGCTGCTCGCGACACATGCTCAGCTCCCGGGTCAAGGTGGCAAATTCCTGAAACCCACAGCCCCTCAGTGTGTGGGACTCGCCCCGAGAAGCCTGGGGAGCCTGGCGTTCTGCCCCAGCCCCCTGGTCGCTGCCTCTCTATCAAGGCCACGGCCAAGGTGGCCAAGTATCTCACACCTGGCAGGCCTGGCCCTGGTGCTGGCTCACTCCTCAGCTCTCAACGGGCACACCCGAGGGGCGAGGGGCGAGCCGAGGGGCTCGGAGGTATGCCCCAGTTAAGACAGAGGCCTCCCCTCACACGGGGCGCTGCTGGGTTTCCCACCTTTGCTCCATGGGCTCCCTCCCCCAGAGCCCAGCCCTGTCACCACCTGAGGAGATCACATCCTACTCAGGGCCTTCCCAGGCTCCCCAACTCAGAAAACTCTTCAGAACAGCAGTGAGAGTACCTCCCGGAAACCCAGCATTCGCCCACAAGCACTGTGAGCAATACCCCAGACCAGGTCCTGGGCTTGTCTCCAGGAACACTGACCCCTGCCTCACAAAGCTCCCAGCTGGGCTGGGTCCAGTCTCAGCTCTGCCCCACTGGTGTGTGACCTTGGACAAGTCACCTAACCTCTTCGAACCTCCACCCGTTAGCCTGCAAGACAGGGGCACAGTCCTCGGGTGTCACTACAAGGACCCGACGAGCCGATAAACGAAAAGCACTCAGCCAGGCCACGAAGGGCAGAGGTCTGCGTCGCGGACGCTGCTGACAAGCCTCTGGGACCCTCGTCCACTGCCTCCCAGTCACTCGGTTTCTCGTCTGTGCCCAGGTGGGACGGGCGACCTCCCACCTCACTTCTGCTCTGGAGCCCCATCTTCCCACTGGCAACACTGCCTCTGAGCCTGCGTGGTCCCCCACACGTGGACAGGCCCACAGCTGAGTCCTCAGCGCCTCCAACTCCGGCAACCCCACAGCGGGCGGCCATGAGCCGCTCACCGATCTCCAGCTTCGGGGCCGTCGTTTTCGAGACAGAGATGATGATGGTGAAGTGCCAGGTCAGAGCTGTGAGGATCAGGGGATCCCACCCAGAGTGCTGAGTGTGCAGAAGGGACACCAGCATGCTGGTGCTGGGGGGCCCAGGGGCAGGACAGGGGTGCGGCTCCTGCCTGTACTTTTTTAGGGACGCCTCTCGTCTTTTCATCTGAGCAGTAAGAGGGGCGCCCTACCCGCCACCTCCAAGAACAGGGTCTGGGGAGCAGCAGCCAGTCTGGGACGCCACCTGCTGGGCAAAGGGGCTCACTGCACTGGCCCACTAGGGCTGGTTTTCTTCTGCACCAGCTCCATCCTTCCTCCAGACGCTGGGGGTGACAGAGAAGGGATTCTGCAGGGAGGTGAGGGGCCATAGAGGCTCTGTGGGTTCACCTGTGGGTGTGCCACTGCGATGCCCTGAGCTGGTGCAGGGCCCTGAGGATGCTGGGTTCCGCAGGGCTGCAGGAGGGGAGAGAGGAGTGCGGAGTCTTACCTGGGGGAGGGCAGAGTTCAGGTGGCGCTGCAGCTGGTCCCGCTCGTGAAGGGCGTCCTGGAGCCGGCCCTGGGTGGCCACCAAGGTCTCCTGGCTCTCGCGAAGGGACTCGAGCAACTTCTCACGCTCGTCCAGCATGTTCACCATCAGCTGCTCGAAGTTGGCATCCGCATCGGCGCCATGTTGGGGCCCCAGAGGGTCCCCCTCGTTGATCGTGGGCATCACCTCACACATGGTGGGGGAGGGCAGGGCCTTCTCAGCATGGGGGACAGGGGAGGGGTGCGCAGGGCTGGCACCTCTGGGGACCCAGTGCACAGGACTCAGAGCAGGCAATGCCAGGCCAGCAGACAGGTGGGCCGGGCTTCTCCCAGGCCATCAGCCGCTCTTGCTCTGCAAGGGGCCCGGTGCCTGAAGCGCTCCTGTGGGCTGGAGCCAGAGGACACGGCTCACCCCCTCAGGGCTGGGGCTGGGTGCCCTATGTCCCCAGGCGGGCGGGCGGCAGCTGAGTGTGGCCATGGCACGGGGCGAGTAGGACAGGAAGAGGGCCCTTGGCTTCGACTGAGCGCTAGGGCCTGGCAGAGCCCCAGCTGGGTCCAGCGACGCCCATGGTTTCTGGAGGGCAGTGGTCTGCGGGAGAAGAGACTGCTGTGAGGCCGGGCGGAGGGGAGAAGGGCACAGGGAAGGGCGCAGGACGGAGAGGAAGGTGTGGGCACACGCCCTCTCAGCTTGCTCAGTGCTCCCCAGGAACGCACCGCCCACCACAGCCTCGTCCCGCTTCCCCACCCAGCTGTCAGAAGTGCAGCCGCAGTGGAGTGGTTCTCCCACCCACGTGGCTCCCTGGCCAAATATAGAAATGATTCAGTCCGTGGCAGGCTGCCCGGAGCCCTCCTGAGACCTGAGGTAGGAGAGCTCGAGGGGAGGAAACAGAGTCTCTGGCCCCTCTCCCACCGCTCTCGCCCCCACGCAGGCCGAGGCAGGCAACGAAGGGGTTAAAGGGCTCTAAGGGCCTCAAGTCCCCCCCGGGTGGTCCTGCCCTGACCACTGGTATAACTGGGCTCCTCGAGAGGCTCCCTGGTGAGGCCCGGCTGGCACTGAGGCTCAGCACTCAGGGAGGAGGCCCTGGCTCGTCACCCCGTCCCTGAACCCTGGCACACAGCAGGCGTCCGTGCTGCATTCGCGACTGGATGATTCGAGGAACTGGAGGAACCCAGGAAGCGCAGGGTGGATGTGGGGTGGGCTGTCACTCTCCTGGGCAGGGCTAAGAGGTGGGGCCTGCCCCAGGCTTGGCATCGACCCCCATGCGCCCCCCACGAGAAGGCCCGCTGCTCAGCAACGCCCATCAGCAGTGCTTCCCTGCCCTCTGCCCCGCCCCTCGGCAGACACAGGGACACGGGTGGCAGACCGGAAGAGGACAGGGCACGTGGGGACCCCGCACAAGGTCAGAAGTCAGACACTGGGCTAAACCAGCAGAACCAGAGAAGAGCCAAGCCTCTTCCACCTGCACCCACCTGTCAGCCCCGCCTCCAAAGTGCTGATGCTCTGGGCGGAGACGGGCAGCTGAGGGAGGCTGGGAGCAATGGGCCTGGACCCATGGAAGTCAGAGGGCTCCCGGCTCACGCCACAGCCACTCTTCGAGGGCCCAGTGCTCCAAGCAGGCGTGTGGGTATTACCCACACATAGGTAGACGCGGAAGCAGAGACCTCAGACATGCCTACAATGTGGTCACACATATTCCCAGACACTCTGACCCAGGGGATCCTGTCAGCCACCCTGGAGGTAAGAAGTAGCACCCTGGTCTGCACCTGCCCCCCTCAACATCCCTGCCCCCCAGAACAGCAACAGCCAGAGCTGCTATCTCACTGACGCTAACAGCAATCCTTCCCACCCCCCACCCACTGTGCCTGGGACCCTGCACCCTGAGTGCTCCGTCCGTGAGGCTGAAAGGTCACAGTGCCCACCCTCCAAGCTCAGCACAGCCAGGCCCTCATGGCTCCCCGCCATGCCCACCCCAGGAAGAAAGAGGAGAGCAGAAGAGGACTCAGAAGAAGGGCCCCTGGTGGCAGAGAGCATGTGAGGAGCTCAGGGACACTGATCCCAGCAGCCTGCAGGGACTGCAGAGGGATCCAGAGTTGGCCCTGAGGCGGCCAGCTGGGGGGTCTTGGGCTTGTCACCACCCACTGAGACCTCTGCTGTGAGATGGACCCCACGACACTTGTTTGCCCACCTTGGAGGGATGAGCTTGGAGGATAAACAGAGCCTGGAGAGCAGAGAGCACCCAAGACTGCAGGGGAGCACGAGATACCCAGTGGTGGGCGAAGCTGAGCATGTGGCGGGTTCTGTAGCTCCTTACCGGAAAGGGCTGGGAAGGCCTCGGCCCACCCCCTGTGACATGCTGGCTACTTGGTCCAACTTGGCCTCCCCCAAATCCTCCTGGTCATTCTGGCAACTGAGAAGCTGACTTCACTGCCACCAGACCTTCCCTAGCCCCCTCCAAACCAGGTGCCAGGTAGCAACTCCACTTCCCCTGGTGAAAGGCCATCACAACGCATAGAGCCAGGCGCCCTGCTGAGGCACCAGTGTAGTTGGCAGAAGGGAGCCCTGGGACAGGGACACCTGCTCCTTCTGGCTCCGGGGCCATCTTTAAATAGCACAGTTAACATCTCAGCCTAACGAAGCCTCCTCAGCTCTTGCACTTCTCAGTAACACACACAGGGACTGATTCAGAGGGGAAAGCTAGCCGCCCCCAAAGCAACCTTTTGTAGGGGATTTACCAGAGAGAGGTGTGGGCAGGCTGTGAGCCGGAAGAGGGCTCCCGGTCAGCAGGGGTGTGTGTAAGGACAGAGGGGTCAAACAAAACCTGGCCTCTGGGTTCACAACACAGAACATAAAAACTGAGGCCTCCGGCGCGTCCCAAAACTTACCCCATCTCTTCCTAACAAACAGGAGGGATGGGCCCTTGGGTCACACAGGCAGGCTGCCTCCCCGCTGCCCTACCAGATGGCACGCCCCACCACTGCGAGAGAGCACAGCCAGGGACAGGCTGCTGCCCCACAGAGGCCACAGGGCCAGGGCCAAGCTGCCAGTAGGCGCTCAAGTCTCAGTGCCCATGAGCCAGGCCCAGAGGGAGCCTCAGGGTGGGAGCCCCTCAGAGCAAACAGGTAAGAGGAAGGCCATCCACCCAACTCGACCACAGAAAATGGGGAGGGAGGAGTCACCCAGGAAAATAACAACTATGATAGCAGGTATGATTTACTTAGCGTTTACCACTGTTAGGCACTGTGTTGTAGGTTGACATATCAACTCACTTCAATCCTCATGACTTCTTGAAAAGAGACATAATTCCCGTTTCACAGATGTCAGCATCGAAACGCACATGGTTATGAGACTCCAGGTTCCCGCCTGGAAGGGCTCTCTGGGGCCTGCACGCCAGACTCCCACAACCACGACAGCCAGTCTCTACTTACCATCCAGAAAAAGAAACTCAACACTAAGTGAAGAAGCCCTCTGGCTCTCTGGAAGCTTCTTACATTTAATGGAAACCTATCTCCCCTTTGAAAGAACAGTTATCTGAAGAGAGTGGCCATGAAGTTACATCATAATGGTTTAATTTACAAGATCCTAAATGCAAGCCAGCTACTTCATCTAACAACTAACAACATCTACTACAACTAACTAACATCTACTACACCTAACAACACGATTCTATTGTTCATTCGTACTCCTTTAAAATCATGGTAGATGTTAGATATTTATGTACTGATCTACAGTGGATACTGTTTCTGTATATTATCTGTTATAAATCTAAACCCGTACACATGTTTTATGAGAGATTGGGGGATTTCACTGTATCTACTGCCCACAGAATGCAATTCCCTGCTGAGATGTACCACCACTGTACTGGGTCCCCAGAGGCTCCTCTGCTCCCGGTTAAACAGTTCCAGGTACAAGGAGGTCCTGCTTCCCTGAACCCCAGGGATCAGAAAGCAGACCTCTTCAATGCAATCCAACAATTCTGGATGGAGTCGATTTCCACAACGCCAGTACTGAGCTAGGACTTGTTACGGCTATGAAAGGCATGCAAGATGCGGTCCCAACCCTCCAGGAGTTCACCGTCTACTGCAGAGAACAGATACGTAAGTAATGGTTGGACAGGAACACAGACCGAGTAGCATGTCCAGCCACAGGCACAGCCAGGGCGTTGGCTGAGCCCCTCTTGCAGTCTGACCCACTGACTTGACTCCTCCCACTCACTCAGAATGAAGCAGCACCAGCCAAGGCTGCCTAACCCTGGAGCTCACTTCACCTGGAGGAACAGAAGACCCTTGAGGAAGGCAGGGGCTGCAGTAGCCAAGATCCCAGGGCAGAGCCACGAGCCCACTGTGTGACTGGTGAGCCAGTGGCCCGGTGGGTCTTCAGGCTCTGCCTGGCCCCAGAACTACACCACCCCCACCCAGAGCACCTCCCCCCACAGCCCTGCCCCACAGCACTCTCAGTTCCCGAGACTCCTTTCAGTGCAGCAAAGGCTGAGGGAGCAGCCCCCAAGTACACTGATGGCCACCCAAAGGGCCACGTTTGTTCCTATGAGCCAGCACCGTATGCCTTCCAGAGCTAATTATAGGTCAGTGAGCCAACAGGCCAGAGAGGGACAGATGGTGACTTCCTGTGGCTGCAATGCCCTACCCCCTCCCCTCCATTTCTCCCAATTCTCTACCTGGGACTTGGGGCCACTTTCCATCCCTCCCTGTTCCATGCCAGCCCATTCTCTCCAGCACACACATTCCACACCACACCGGGTTTCTACAGCAACCCATCCAAGGGCCTAAGCCCCAGGGGAGAGTATCCCTGGCCTGAAACAGCCTCACATCCTAAAGCCCTCGTGGCCCCCAGGTCCCTGGCCCTGTTGAGCCTCACTGCCACCAGTCTGACTGCCTGTCCTTTCCCCAGTGCACCATTACGCTCAGAGGCTCGGAAAAGACCACAGAAATCCCTGGCAACCCTTTCCAACTCCTAAGATTTTAGCAATCAAGAGACCCATGAACCTGGCCTACCTGTCCCTCCAATGCCTCCTTAGCACCCTGTTGCCAGGTCACACACCCCTCGAGGTTCTGACGTCACGGCGTGAGCATGTGCCCACACGGCACTCACTGGATGGGCGTTCCTCCCACACCCTGCCCCACACTCTGCTGTCTTCCAGAGCTGGTCTCCCACTGTGCCAGGAGTTTTCAGCCCCCAGTGACCACTGGGCTATTCATCATCTCATTGAGATACCATTTACCCAGGCAGCCTCCTCAGGCCTCAGGACAAAGTCCTAGAAAACAGCCAGAGAAACACACTCAAACTTCCTTCTGCTAAAGCAGCTACCCCTGGGAATGCCAGGCTGCTAACAGAGGTAGGGGTGGACTCACTGGAATCCAGACCAGACAGCTCTGTCCTTTTCTAATACAATAGTCCTATAACAAGGGGGGAGGGGAGCTGTTAACAGAGTGCCTACTGGGTGACTGTGTGTACCTTTCAACTGCCCCATGGCCCTAAATTGCCTTCAAAAGACCCAGCACCTAGCATCATCTGGATACAGTAGGTGCCCGATAAATGAGTGCTGAATGCCAAGCAAAGTACTAAGTACCAGTTCCAACACCTCTGGAAAGACTGAGGGGAGTCCCTGAAACCTGGCTGCTGGAGGGACCCCTGAAGCTCCCCCCAGGACAGAGTGGGTCCCCACACCAAGTAGAGCCTCATTAGCCTTGTGGGCACCACGTACAGCGGCGGGGCAGCAGCCGCAACTCCCCTGCCCTGGACACCACTCGGATGTTTCTCCTCAAAGGTGACATCAGCACCTAGTGGCACCTTGTCCTCCACCCCCCATCCTTCTCAAAGGAAAGCACCTACACCGCCTTTCCAAGTCCTCCGACCGGACTAGGCCACTCTCTTCCCACACAGCACCAAAAGCCGCAGGATCTGCCCTGGAAAACAAACTGCGTGGTGGCAAGTCAGCTCCGCACCCTCACCCTGTCTGCGCAGGAATCTCTATTCCCGCCCTCTTTTTCGGGTGCGCGCACCCTCGCCCCCACCTCAGTAGACCTCGGGCCAGCACTGCGGGGATGGGCATCTCAGGCTGTTTGCAGCTGACAGTTGGAGGATGAAGGGCTAGCGACATTAAGGGGCACTGTGAGCAACGCAGGAAGGTTGAGGACCCCCCCCCCCAGGGGAGCGCAAAGTCCTCAGCACCTCTGGTGCCTCCTGTTATCTCTGGAGCGGAGCTGGCCCAGGACTTGCGCTTCTTCTCTGACTCCCAGGGTGGGGGTGGGGGTGGAGGTAAGGGAGGAGGAATGGGGGCCCAGTCCCTTCGGTATCCACCAGACCAGGCAGCTCAGCCCCCTCCTCCGAGGCCCATGGATGAGTGCGAACTTTATCCCCCACCCCCGCAAATTGGGCATCGCCTCCATGTTCACCCCAAGGGCACAGCACTGAAAAGGCCAGTGAGGGGCGGCAGAGGGGCAGAATCTATGCCCGCGGAGTGGAAAGGGGCTGATGCCAAAGGCTCCAGAGACCCCTCCTCAAACTGCATAAGCTGGAGGTGGTAAGAGACATCTACCCCCAGCCAGGGCTCTGGACGCTCACCTGCCTGCAGTCCTCGAAGACCCGGCTTGGCAAGGAGCCGCCTGGTCCGCGGAGGCCCACGGTCCCCAGCCGGACACCGAGCGGCTGCAGCCTCCTGGGCACGAGCCCCGCCTCCTCTGCCGGGGCCACGCCCCTGCCCGGGCACTTCCCACCCCCACGCAGCCAGCCCGCAGCAGCCTCCTAGCGCAGGGCTCCGCCCCCTCCTTGGAAGGCCTGGTTCCGCCCTCGGAGGCGGGGCCTGCAGGCCCCTTGGCCGTGCCCCGCCCCGGCACGTGACCCGAGCCACGGCTGGGAGGCTGCGTAGTCTCGGCTTGGCCCGCAGCCTCCCTCCCAGGTGGCACCGCACCGGGGCCCCTCCTTTGACCACCCAGTCCCAAATCCAGCCACCTGCTCCCCGAACCGGCTCCAGACTTGGCCTTGTTGCCAGTGGTTGGCCACCTTTCACACCTGCTCCCTCGTGCCCATTTATTATTTTCCTTTGGTCACACCCATTTTTCAGTGGAGCATGAAAGCGCGAGCCTAGGGAATCCGCCTGCCGCACTTGGGGCGCCTGGCAGCGCTCACTCCAGGAGACAATCTCAACCCGACACTGCCGCCTGGCACAGGTCCGAACGCTCTCCACCTCCCGAGCCCTCCCCCGCCCTCGAAGCTGTGCGCACCCGCAGTGTCCCTTCGCAGACGACAGCCCAGGCGGTAGTTGGATCAGCGGCACATAGAATCTTTTTTTCTTTCCTTTCCTCCAATAGAGTCACCATTTGGCTTAGTTTCCAGGTATCTTTGGTAGAAAGCAAGAAAATCCTAGTAATCGTGATTTTTTGGGGGCTGAGAAATGAAGCTAAACCTATGTTTTGTCTGATGGTCAGAGCAAAATCAAGGTATGTACTTAAGGGAGTGAAAATTACAAAACAAATTTTACAAAAGTAGTCTGGAAGAACCCAATTCTTCTCCAAGCGGTTTGGGGGTCCCATCCGAGAGAAGTCCCTGAGACACGCCACATGCTTTCACTGATAACCCCGATCCGTCCCAGAAAAGACAGCTCAGCTGGTGAGAAAGCTAATACCAAGTGTATGTCAACACTGTGCTGAGAACAGCCCAGACAGCCTGTTCGATCAAGCACCACACACGGAGTCTGACACAGAAACGCAGAAAGTGAGTCAGAATGCAAGTATCACGCAGACGCACCTCGCTCCTTTTCAGACTCCTACAGTGCAGCAGGAGCCCCCCCCCCCCCCCCCCCCGCGGGCTCTGTACGGCTCAGGGAACCAGGGATCTGTGACTCCCTTCTGCCTCAGAAGCAGCATCTGACTACAGATGTGCAGGGTGCATACTGTCTTCGGGTCATGTTTGTTTTTACCATGTAAATGCCCAAACTGTTCTCATGGACCCGGGCTCATTTCCCTTGTGAGCAGTGTTAGTGCCACCCTCCCTCCGTGTGGGCCGAGGTTAGCTGTCGGCAGAAATATTCAGCAGTTGCTCCTTAAAAACAGCCCTTAAACAGCAGGGGGCAGGGAGGATGGTAAGGAAAAAATACACCAATTTAGCAGGCTGGCAGCAACTGCAGCCACAAGACTTTCCTACCTCGTGGCAATATTAGCTTACGGTTAATCTGGGTTATCTCGTTAGCAGAAATAAAACAAAACATCCCAGCCATGATGTTCTTCTCAGAGCACACCAGCCATAGCAAGTCCTGGGACAACAGTATTTCCTCAGGAACGACACCCAGGGTGACAAGCCACCTAGGGCAGAGCAGAAAAGTCACAAAGTGCTAGCAGTTCAGGAGGCTGGTTTCAACATGGATGTATTTCTTTAATGACCTTTCGTATAATAAATGCCCTTCTAACAATTCAATGAAAATACCATCTTTCCTGCAGTAACTCTCCAGGTACGTTTTATATTTTACTTGGAAACACATATTGAACAGATTCTTTCATCAATCGTATGCAGCTTTAGGCTGAATGGGGATAAGGCATACCATAATCAGACGTTTACTCACCTTGACTTTCTCTCTGTGTGCACTCTGCCTACTCCCCTTCGCCATCATCTACAAGAAAAACAAGACTGACCTTCTAACTGTGGGAGACCCAGAGTCCTGGGTAGGAATCTTGCCTACATCACTGGTTCCGTTTCCTCAACCACAGAATGAAAACAGTGTCACCTATCTGGCAGGGCTGTGAAAATCAGAGGCATGTCAAGCTCCTAGTACAGGACCAAGGACACAAAGTCATTTATCATCACTGCTCTCAGCCTTGTGCAAAACATACCTAACCTCCAAAATTGGCAAAAGAACATTTATGTGATAAATATCCAAAAATAATTATTCTTTAAATCCTCACCCAAGGATATTTTTCCATTCATTTTTAGATGAGTAGGAGGAAAGGAGGCGGGAGGGAGGGAGAAAAACACTGATGTAACTGGTTGCCTCCCACATGACCCTGACCAGGGCTGTTGACCGAACCACAACCAAGGTATGTGCCCTGGACCAGAATCGAACCCTTGACTCTTTGGTCCTCGGGCCGATGTTCTAACTGCTGAGCCAAACAGGCCAGGGCCAAAAATTATTTTTAAAGAAAAATACACGAGTCAGTCGCATAAGATTCTGAAAACCCTGTCACCTGCTTTATTTCTGAAGGAGGGTCAAGGGGGAATATTCACTTTATTTTGAGGGGCTGGTAAACTGGAGCAACAGCAGCAGCGATTCTGTGCCTCTACAGAGCCTCTGATCCACAGGGAAAGCTTAACTTCCATGTTTGATTCAAGAGTCTAATTTTTTCCTAAAGCAAGATCATCCATTTTCATTGGGGTAAAAGAAGAAAGAACAACAAACTCAATAGCACCAAATGGGGTTTAACGCAGAAAATAGGGCCTGGTTTCTCCTTTCGAATGAAATTTTTACATTAAAGTGTGTTTAGAAGTCAGAGTTGTTTTTCCTCTTGATTCAACCCTTCTCCTTCCCCAACAGGAGCCTGAAACCTAGAGAGCAAAACACTCCAGCCGCCCCTTCCACACAGGACTCTGACCACCAGTGGGTGGCCCAGCTCAGCCTGCCCACAGCAACAGGACAGTGACTATGCTCTCAGGGAGAAGGGGTACTGAGGATGCCACCAGTCAAAGAGTCGGACGCTGTGCACTGGGTCCAGGATGACCTGCACACCCTGCTCATGGCGCAGTTTCCGGCCACCGTGGACAGGAGAGTCTTGGAACACCAGCCTCACTCGATGATGCCGCATGTCCGTGCTCACATTGATCGTAAACTGGGAGAGGAGAGTAAATTATATTACATTCCCAAATTAAACAACCTTGTTCTCCCACAGCCCACTCTGAAATGCAAATCTAGACACAATTTACACTGCCAAGACCACAAGATCATCTCTAAGTAATACCAAAGCCTCTGCAAAACCATAAAAAAGTAAGGGTAATTTTATAAGTTCTTAGCATTGTATATTTAAACTATGCTAAGGAACGCCTCTCAAATGGCTAAATCTGGGTACACGCACATGGATTACCCCCAAAGCCAACTTTTTCTTTAAATATTTTTTTTTATTGATTTTAGAGAGGAAGGGAGAGGGAGAGAGATAGAAACATTGATGAGAGAGAACATCGATTGGCTGCCTCCTGCATGTCCCCACTGGGGATCGGGCCCACAATTTGGGCATGTGCCCTGACTGGGAATTGAACCGGCAACCTCTTGGTGCATGGGTCGACGCTCAACCACTGAGCCACACCGGCCTAGCCCCAAAGCCAACTTTTAAATAGTGGGTTAGAGCTAGATGACTTGAATGAATTTTGATCAGATATTATTGAGCAAGTCAAAGCAAGATTCATGAAACACAAATCATATCCCCCCCGCTGTTTTGTAAAATACACCACAAAATCTCTACATATATCCATGCATGTGTAGGTCCGTACAGAACTGTGTGAGTATGAAGCACATGGTGTGAGTATACACAACTAGGTAAGCAGGGTGGCCTCGCCCAGAGGGAGGGAGAGGTGCCTCCAATGAAAGCGTGAGTGTGACATAATCCCCAGTATACAGGAGGACTGCAGAGCGGTGTGCACACGGCACACTGACACACAGAGAGCGATTCCCAAGAGGTATGTTGTAGTTGCAGGATATCGGAAGTCTAAGCCACTTCTCTCAATGTATCCATGCATTACTTACATTCTTTAACAAAGTATGTAATATGTTACCATTAAAAAATAGGTATTTTGGCCGGGCCAGTGTGGCTCAGTGGTTGAGTGTCAACCCATGCACCGAGTGGTCACCGGTTCAATTCCCGGTAGGGGCGCATGCCCAGGTTGTGGCCCAGCACCCAGTGGGGGCAGGGGGGTATGCAGGAGGTGGCCCTACTTACCAGGGTGAAGATCATTCCCATGACAATTGGAATAAAGATGAAATTGAGGGTGGTGACCTGCAGGAGGCAGCAGTCCTGGTCAGGGTTGGTGTGAACATCCTGGTACTGAACAGGAGGCTGCAGCCCTCCCATGCGCTTGCTCTTTAACCTAGGAGACTGAGGAGAGCGGGTATCAATCTCATGGTTTGGAAGACCTGTTTATGGCTCTGAGACTCCCCATTGAGAATTAGGTGGCTCGAATGATGCCATGCTGCTCTGTTACTTCCTCTCTCTATACACACACTGGTTTCCATGCAGATTAAGGAAACCTGCCCTTTGAAAGAAAGGTGACAGCTCTGGATGAGCAATGTGGCAGTGGATGCAATGCTTCCTTCAGATGGGGTTTCCCGCCACCTAGCAATAAATGGGGACACACAGCTCTATCAGAGGCTCTCCAGCTTTTGGAAGACTGCACATTCCCTGCAACCTGTCAACTCGAGAACACGTGCTGCACAAAGGGGAAGCCCAAGACACGGTGCACGGCTCTGGACTCACTCCAGGGTCACTCTCTGCATCGAGCTGCTGTGTCCTGTGTGTCTGTCCTACGAGACAGCTCCTTCTCCATTTTCTCTTCATGACATTATAAACTTTGACACGTATTTGATTTTAATAAGTCAACTTTATGCCTAGTTGAATTTATTAGAGCAAAATATCATCTGAAAAACAAGAGGAGATACAACTACATACTTGTTTTTTGAACTTGAAGTTGAACTCCCACAATGGTTCCTGCCTGTTCCCAACGATCTTTCTGCACCAGAAAAGTAAGCACTGTAAGAAAGTAGAAATAAACAAAAAATAAGATAAGAAAAAAACAAAAGATAACAAAAAATAATCATCAGAAACCTTTCTGTTTGCCAGCGCTAAAGCCAGCCAGACCCAATGCTGTGACTTCACTCTGGCACAGAAAGAGAACCCCGCCCCCGCCCCACATGACTGGTGCAACATGAAGAGAGACAGTGCCAGGGCGATTCAGCAACGAGAAGAGGGACCAATGTGAGTCAACCTCAGAGGCTGTGAGGTTGTTCCCTGCTGTTCTCATCTTTAAAGACAGAAACATGGTCTTTAGCGACTGGGGCCTTCCGATTTGGCAGGCCACTCTTCTACATAAGTAGCCCAGGCAAGATGTTAACAGGCAGGCAGAGAAGGCCAGCCCTATAATAGACAGGAGTCAGCCACTCGGGACCCTCTGGGAGCAGACAGCGGTGTGGACGCTACAGACCTGGGCTGAACCCAATATGTCCCTCAGTGAAAGGCAGGCTACAGCTAAGGTTAAGCACAAGAAGTCAAGTACCTCCCGGGGAATAAGGGGTGGGTCGTCCGCCGTGCCAGCTGTCCTGCCCTTCAGACATGCCCTGTACGTCCTGATGTTCCATCAAAAATAATGGGCTGGGCTTTAAGGGGCAAACACTTCTGCTGCCATCACAACGGCTCCAGTGTCCCACACAAGCTATGCTACTGAAACGAGAGAGAGGGAGAATCACATACGAAAAGCTGGAGTCCGGGAACATGGGACCGCTCCTTCAGGCGTGCTGGCAGCTCCCTGAATGCCATGCGGCTGTGGCTGCACAAGTGGCAAGGCCACGCATGGGACAGCTGCACTGCAGGTCCCACGTCTTCTTCAGAAGACCTCAAACAACAAGGCACGAAAGCAGCAGCCAGGTGGCCTGGGCATCTGGTTAAACATTAGCTATCATTCCACGCTGGGCTTTTAGAATCCACTTCAAAAATTACTATACAACAATAAGAGTGAGAAGACACGGGTCCTTTAGGGTTGGGCACTGGAGCCGCTACGATGTGTCAGCACAAGTTTGCCGATGCTGCTCTGCTTCCAGCAACCGACCCACGCCTGGCTGCTCAGCTCTGGGATGATGCCCTCCCTCATCACAGTTTCTCTGACACTATCACTGCTTCTGCGGGCAGGAGCTGTAAATGTGACCCAGTGCACTGTCCACTCACGTTCCAAGCAGCAACAGCTGCTGGGTGAAATTCTATCCCTGCCCTGTATCCATCGGCTGGTGTGGTATTAAACTGAGCTCAGGCCATGGCCCTGACCACCTCCATTTGCAACCCTGGAAGAAACCTGGATAAATCAGCAGTACCCTCTAGTCAATATGTACCAGGTGATATTATCCTATTTGGGCTACACTAGGGGAGAAGAATCATTGTACCATCCTAAACATAAAAACAAAATACAAAATAGGAAGTGCTACAGAACACCAGATTTTGTGTAGGCTGAGAGTAATAACCATTACCCACAGAATCAAAAGATACAAAATTTAAACAATATTAGCTCAGGGGAAAAAAAACAACAACGCGATGACAACGTGCCTGAATTGTCATATCTGCTACACTAGCCTAGCTGGGCGAAGGGGCATTTGCTAGAGTTTCATTCTGGATCAGGGAAGGAAGAGAATGGACACAAGGCTAACAGACCTGTGTACAGATCAGAACGCCAGCAACTTGAACATGACGTGTGACTATAAACTACTGGGGTATCAGAAGATACGAGATTCAGTGTCCGCCTAGTCTCTGAAACCATCTACTACTACAGGCCTCGCAGCAGTGGGTACTCAGCAGATGCTAAGGGGGCAAAGTCTACACCAGGACCTTACAGGAAGCCAACAAGGAGGAGGAATCCCAGATGTCAATGTCACAACAGAAAGAGAAAACTAGGAAGCTGTTCATGTTAGATTTTTGCATTATGATTTAAAGCACCTCTTAAGAATTACAGTTTAGCCAGGCCGGTGTGGCTCAGTGGATTGAGAGTCGTCCCATGGACTAAAAGTTCTGGTTCGATTCTTGGTCAGGGCACATGCCTGAGTTTCGGACTCAATCCCCAGTGGGGAGTGTGCAGGAGGCAGCCGATCGATGTTTCTCTCTCTCTCTCTCTCTCTCTCTCTCTCTCTGCCCTTCCTCCCCCTATAAAAAAAAATTAGCCTGGCTGGTGTGGCTCAGTGGTTGAACATCAACCCATGCACCAAGAGGTCGCCAGTTTGATTTTCGATCAGGGCACATGCCCAAGTTGTGAGCCCAATCCACAGTGGGGGGCATGCAGGAGGCAGCCAATTGATGTTCTCTTATCGATGTTTCTCTCTCCCTCTCCCTCTCCCTTTCTCCCTCTCTTAAATCAATCAAGAAAAAAAAATTAGGAAAAAAAAAAGAGAGAATTACAATTTAGACCTACCATTTGAGTTGTGTTCTTCCTAGCCAAACCATCAGACATCTAACGTGATCCAATGCACAATGCATAGAAATAAAGTTAAACAGAGACTAAGGAATATGCCAACAGCATGAGGAAGACGGGCAGGCATAGCAGGGAGTCTTGGGGAAGTGAAGGCCCTGAGCCCTGGAGTTTACGCTGGTCCCCTAGCAGCATGGCACCCGCAGCCCTAGTCCTCTCCATCAAGGAAGCTGGAGACAAGTCACGAGAACAGGCCAACCACACATGAGCCCAACACCAATTCTCACTTACTTTGGAATTCTTTAATGTGCTGGGCGTGCTCTCTGGAATGGCTGGGTTTTTGGAGATTCGGGCAGCAAAGGGCTCATACATATGGTACAGAGATCGGATCACACACGCCCGGAGGCAGCGAAGCTTCTCCATGGACTCTGGTCGCAGGCGCAAAGGCAGAGAGGCATCCAGCGTGTAGTGCCTGAAACACGACACATTACCTACCAACATGTGGCCTGTCTCTCCTGCTCCAGGTCAGTCTCCTAGGACTCCTGGTCTCTGTGTGACTTCACTGACCAGTAGTTAGCTTGACCCCAGTGCTCTTACACACTCATCACCTTCTCTTCTCAGCTACTTTTGCATCTTTGCTGCATGCAACCCAATTCACATATATCTTATAATCCTATACTTCTCCATTCTTTTTAAAATTTCCAATCCTCAGCATTTCACTCTAAAAAGGGAAAATCTTTGCCTTGACATGAGAACAATATCCTGCACAATGTCCTGGGTGGGAGCCACCAGTTCTCCTGCCGCACATCTCGGCCAGTTCTTCACGCCCTCCCCACCATCCTCACTGACGTTCATAATCTCACTGCACCTTCGCCCCAGTACCAAGAGCTTGCCTGAGTGATCCCACTGCTCACCCTCTCCTCACACAACTGTATACAGGCAGCCTAAGTACAAAAACAATATGGTACCTCAAGACGACTAGCAACTAATCCCATTGGAAAGGCAAATGACAGGCATCTGAAGCTTTTGAAAATTCTAGCTAAGACAACCCCCTGAGGAAGAACCAAAGACAATTCTTCTGGAACCTGAAGAAAGACTTTTTGCTGCAAGTGGATACTGGATCAGGGGAGGGACAATCCCAGGGAAGAGTTACCTGGATGAGTTAGTAATATCGATTTTAAATGAGAGAGGGACTCAAGGAGTCCAAAGCCAGGCTCATGCCAGGCATGGAGTAGAGAAAGTGCAAAGATCACCATCCCGGGAGCAGGTCCACATCACAAACAGCATGACATCAGCTACACAGACAAAAGTGAGCTCCCCGTGGCCGCACCTTCGGTACAACCTGGTCCAAAAGGCAGCAGTGCAAGTGACAGTCCAGGCATTCTTACAAATCAGGGAAAAATTCACAATGTCCTCAGGACGAATGTAGGAGGCCAGCAACAGCCAAATATCCATGGGGTATTCTTCCCCTCCAGCCTCATCCAAGTCTTCTGAAACAGAAAAAAGAACTATAATTTCTGACCTTTTTTTTTCAAAGTTACATTTTATTGGAGTGCCATTGGTTAATATGGTCTTACAGGTTTCAAGTGTACATTTCTAGGACACATGATCTGCATATTGCATCGTGTGCCCACCACCCATAGTCAAATCACCGTCCGTAATCTCTGACCTTCTATTACACACATATCTAAACATCCCCCATCACTTAAATTCTCCCAGGGCTTGCACAGCTAAGAAAAAGGTTTTATATAGGTCCAAGACAGCCTCTCAAACTCATCATTTCCTGCTTCCCGTTGCCCCAGGGAACAGGTCTTGTTTTTAAGGCCTTTAACAATTATTTACATGCTATTTTGAAGCTTTCAAAGTAACTTTACATACATTAAGTCGTTCAATTCTAATAATTCTTTAACGGAAATAAAAAAAATGTTATTGTTCCCATTTTACTAATAGGAAAGCATAATCTCGCCATTTAGTCAAGGTAAACAGAACCCAGGTTTTCTGACTCCAAATTCCAGCTTTACCCTGGATTTTCCTCATAGTCCCCATCTACCAAATATTTCCTTCAGTTCCGTCATTTAAAAAAACAAAACAAAACTAATTTTTAAGATGGTCAAGTGCAAACCAAATGAAAAATTAAATAGGTCACAGTGTTATCTTCATTACTCAATACACATATTTCTTTTCTTCTAGTTTTTCCCTGTTTCGTTGCCACTCTGGCCTATGATCCTGGCTAAAGGCATTCAGTATTCAAACACTGTAATAATAAGCCCCACCTCTTCCTCCCTCAGACCTCATTAATGTTGATCCTCCTGACTCTGAGGTTCAGTATACATCTCAGGTTCGAGTGAAAACTCACACTCCATTCAGACACTTGAATCTGAACTAATCCTAATGCTAACCTTTAACTCTGACCTTGTCATATACTATCCAAAACAAGCTTTTTTCCTTCTCTTTCCTGGGGCAAAAGCCCCTACACCACCTCCCCAAAGCTGCCTCTGCTGTTCTAGGTAACCGCTTTCAGCAGTTCTGTGACTCGAACAGGTTTTGCATTGGGTTCTTCATACTAGAGACCAATGCCTCTAAAGTAACATTCCCTTTTATGGTTCCTATCCTTTCTTGCAATCACTTACGGCTCAGTCTACCATGTTTGGACACCACCCCATCCCATATTAAATCTCTCTCTGAGCCCAGCCAGTGTGATACAGTGGTTGAGTGTCAACCCATGCACCAAAAGGTCGACAATTTGATTCCCGGTCAGGGCACATGCCTGGGTTTCAGGCTAGATACCCAGTAGGAGGGTGTGTGGAAGGCAGCCAATTGATGTTTCTCTCTCATCAATGTTTCTATCGCTCTCTCCCTCACCCTTCCTCTCTCTCTAAAAATCTATAAAAACATTTTTTTTTTTAAATCTCTCTCTGAAAAAGAAGGCAAATGACTACAGCATTTCATCCACTAAGACCCATCAGAACTTTTCCCAAAACAGTACTATTAAAGTTTGTGTTTAGTCCTAGCTAGTTTGGCTCAGCAGTTAGTGCACTGGCCTTAGGACCAGAGTCACAAGTTCGATTCCAGTCAAGGGCACGTGCCTTGCTTGTGGTGCGGTCCCGGCCCTGGTCAGGGTTGTGCAGGAGGCAACCAGTCGATATGTCTCTCAAACATCAATGTTCCTCTCTCTCTCCTCCTCCCTCCCTCCCACCCTTCCACTCTATCTGAAGATAAATAAAAAAATATCCTCGGGTGACGATATAAAAAAATAAATAAAAATTTTGTGTTTAGGGTCAAACTTCAGTAATTACTGATGAACTGTGTTTTAAACATAATTATTAAGGAATTTCAAAACGTAGAAAACAGAATCAGTAAAAAAAAAAAAGCTTCATGGTATATAAAACCCTGCTCTGTTACTGAGATCCAACCTTGGATTCTCCACTGCTGTCACCTCTGGTGACATGAAGAAAGTGACAGCTTCAGGTCATTACCACACGAGGGACAACACACCAGAAGAGAGCAAGCCTGTACCTCTGTGCCTCTTGCCTTTCTTTTTTCTGGAGACAGGTCTCTCGTGGATGCTCTCCTCCTGCGCATCCACCTCGTCACTGCTGTCGACATCACAGGGCTCACCAGCCCCAGAAAGAGCTTCCACTGCAGGAACCTGAGAGGCTTCCAAGCCACAAAGAGACTTTACTAAAAGGAAATGAGGGAAAAGTGAGAAGGCAGAGTCCCATCCAGAAATACAAATGGCTTAGACAGGACATTATCATCCATGAAGAAAAAGAAGAAATCTGCTGAGGAAAGCTGAGACTCTGGCCTGACTGGTGTGGCTCACTGGTTGAGCGTCGACCCTGCACCAAGAGGTCGTCAGTTCGATTCCCAGTCAGGGCACATGCCCAGGTTGTGTGCCCAGTCCCCAGTGGGGGGCATGCAGGAGGTGGCCAATCTATCGTGTGCGATCTCTCTCTAAAGTCAATAAAAAAATATATTAAGAAAAAATAGCTAGGACTCAAAATAGAAAAAAAACTGAGCATTTTAAATACAAAACAATTGGAAAACAATGGACAAACTGACCCCTGAAAAGTGCCAACCTCAGACTTGGAAAACCAGATTGCATTTTTCTCCCACCCTAAACCCCATGGGGCAAAATGAAAGGTGAATGCTGTCCTCATTTGCATAACTTCTGCGGACCAGGACCAGCGTTTGAGAGACATTGAATTCAATTTAATCACGTTCCTGGGTTGGAGACACTAGAAGTCATAAAAACAGGAGTCTCGGGGATACATGAGTACAAAGCTTGAGAGTAAGAAAAACGTGGGAGAAGGGAAAAAACACTTCATGGTTCTTACACTAGAAGCAAACTGCACGGCACGTGGAGGACACGTGTGAACTGCAAGAAAAGGACCAAGAAGGGAGTGGGAACGACAGAAGAGCGCGCAGAGGTTTTTGTAACGCAGAGACACAAGACAGACATTTCCGCTCCTGAAATTGCTAGCTCTCCAGGCTACCCCGCGCCCTCCCCGGAATCCACTGAGTCCCACGGAGGAAAGCAAACACGTTTACGTAAGACGCCCGAAGGGCTGCAAGAAAAACACTGACGAAAGCCCGGGAACAAAACACCCGGTTCCTCTCCGCGGCCAGGTGGAGGCTCATCGGAAGCCTACCTTCCTGCTGAACGGCATTGACGACGGCTTTCTTGATCCGTCCAGACCTCACGACGGCCGGGTCCGAGTTGGCATAATCCGCCACGGTCACTGCAACAAGCATAACCATGAGAGGAGGCGGCCTTCGCCCGTCAGCGTCCCCCGCCGGCCCCGCAGGCCCCAGCCGCCGCCGCCTCAGCCCCCCGCCTTTCACCGCCCCAGCCCCTCGCCCACCTCGACCCGAGCAGGCGTCGTGGGCTCGGAACTTGAGCCGCTTCCCTCGCTTAGGCATGGCGGCCGTGTCGGGGCGAGGCCGGCCTAGCGGGCCGGGACCCCGGGCCATGTCTCGGACCCCAGAGCCGGCTCCGGGAGCCGCAGGACAGCTCCGCCCGGCTCCGTGGCCATCCCGCTCCGCTGGCCGCCGCTCTCGCGATGACTCAGTCAGGGCTCCGCGTCGCGCTGGCGGCTACGTCGTCTTCAAACGCCAATCGCCGCCTGGCGTGGTGATGTCATCATCCAGCGCCGACGCATCTTCGCTTGGGATGCACGAGGTTACGGGGGTGGGGGGCCGTGTGGGTCTTCGCGATTTGTAGCCCCTTGCGAGGGGTTTGCAACCTCAGGCCCGGAGCCCACACCGCGTGGATTAGAACTGAGTTTTCAGCGTGATCTCCGGGTTTTTCTGATACCGCCCGTGTCCTCGCTCCAAGTTCATTCCCCCCAAACGCGCGTCCATTGTCACCTCCGTGCTGCTCAAGCCTCATGGACGGAGTGCCTACTGCCCCCACGAGTAAGAGTTTTCACTCTCATTTCTCCTTAAAACCTATAAATTAATGAACTTCAAAATGGGGAGAGGGGTTCTTAAATTGTTCTACTTATTGCCATCATGCAAACAAAACAGTAGAAGGATCGATGAGGAAAGAATGTTCTTTCGCACTTGAGCGAAGGTCCCAGTGAAGGAGCAGATACTGACTGCTGTCGCCCCCGGAATAAGAAGTTACTTGGTGTCCTGAGGTTCGTTCTTTCCTGCTGGGTCCAGCACAGTTCCCCCTTTTTTCATCCAACCGACCTCATGATAGAGAAACATTGATTGGCTGCCTCCCATAGGCGCTCCCACCGAGAATCAAACTCACAACCTAGGTATGTGCCCCGACTGGCAGTCGAACCCGCAACCTTTTGGTTCAGGGGAGGATGCTCCAGCTAACTGAGCCACCAGCCAGAACAAAAGTGATGGTATTCTTGCCCTGGCCGGTTTGGCTCAGTGGTTGGGGCGTAGGCCTGCGGACCACGCTCGCCGGTGGTTCGATTCCGGTCAAGGGCAGGTTCCTGAGTTGCGGGTGGGCCCCTGCCCTGGTCAGGGCCTGTGGGAGGCAACCAATCAGTGTGTCTCTCCCATATCTTGATTCTCTTCCTCCCTTCTACTCTGTCTGAAGATAAATGGAAAAATATCTTAGGGTGAGGATTAAAAAAAAAAGTTATAGTATTCTTGTTGCTATGTGCTGTTGAGTCTTACTCTTAGAGACCCAAAGAATGAGTAGTGTCCTCAATGTCTTATCCTCACAACCCTGCTTAGCTCCTAGAGACTCAAGCCTATGGCTTCTTTTATTGAGTCAACCCATCTCATATTTGATCGTCCTTAGTGACTAAATGCATATGTTATTCAGAGCAGTCCAAGGTGGAAGGGAGATGAGGGGTTGGAAAGAGATTTAGGAAAAGATAAAGAGGAGCAAGGTTTTTAGGGGAAAAGCATGTCTGGGATAAGTGGGAATTGGAAGTTGCCTAAGGAAACTGATTTTGGTAAGTTTGTAAAGATAAGACTTACCTATTCTCAGACAGAGTCATAATTGGTAAGTTTTGTCACCTAACCAGATGTTAACCAAAGATTATTTTTAACTATTGGGATTTTGAGTAATTCTTACTTTTTTTTTTTTGGTAATTGACTTGGTGTTTTACGTCGAATATATATTACATTTATATTTGGGAAAGTATGTATAAAACTATTTTTATTTGGAGAGAAATGTGGCCCAGTTACAGTCCAGTCTTAAATCTAGGTCAGAAACCCAGGAGCTTGATACCTAGGGACCTTCACCATGGAGCCCAGCGCTTGGTGTGAGGCTGAAGTGGTAGGGAGAACAATGGTTGTCAGGGAATGTGTCATATGAGAGCAATAACCAACTTTGTTTTGCCTCAGAGGCTGCATATTCTGGCCCCATCCCAGTGCGCCCGCCCTCCCCCCCCCCCACACACACACACATATTTTCTTCTTCCTGGCTTTGGAAGTCACCTTGTGACCAGAATCTTTCAGCAGAATGGATACATGAACTGTGGTACATTCATATAATGAAATATTATTCAGTGCTAAAAACAAGTAAGCTATCAAGCCGTGAAAAGACATGGCACTACCTTAAATGTATCTGACTTAAGTGAACGAAGCCAATATGAAATAGCTAAATACTGGATAATTCCAACCATGTGACATTCTGGAAAAGGCAAAACTATGGAAACAGTAAAAAATAAATAAATAAATAAGTGGTTGCCATGGGGTTGGGTAGGAGGAATGAACAGACAGAGGTCAAAGGATATTTAGGACAGTAAAGGTACATGTATTATAATGATGGATCCATGTCATGTCCAAACCCTTAGAATGTACAATACCAAGTGAATCCTAATGTATATGATGAACTTTGGGTAATGATGACGTGTTGATGTAGGTTCATCAGTTGTAACAAATGCACCAGTTTGGTGAGTGGTGTTGATAATGGGGAGGCTGTGCATGTGGCAGGGGGGCAGGAGGAGTGTGGGAAATCTCTGTACCTTCCTCCAATTTTGCTGTGAACCTAAAACGTCTCTAAAAAAATAGTCTTTTAAAAAAGAATGGTATATGTAAAAGTAAACTGTACTTCCTGGAGTCATAAAAAAATGACTGTCAAATTTAAACTTTACTCAGGTGCGTGTAATTGCAGACACCTGAGTGCACACCCCAGCTCGCAGATTACGAAGCAGCTGTACAAGTTCCTGCTCAGCACCATGAAAGATTTCCTATGGGTGCTCCTCATCACTGCAGGAGTGGTGTTCTCAATCTTCTTTTTTATCACTGAAAACCCTTTTGACACTACAAGTTTTCTGTCTTTGGTGAGTACCAGAAGGTATGGGTCAGGCAAAGTTGAAATCCCTGGAATGAAAAAAGGAGACATTATCTAAGTGTCCATGTGTGTGAAATTGTCACTAACGTTGTAGACACTCAAAGAACACAACATATTTTCCTGTGATGAGGCAATAAAGGATGTCGCACTCTGGAAGAGAGAATTCAGGACTGGGAAGAAATTATAGTTATTTCCTATGGTTTCAAAGTTACACATTTTATCCCCATTTCATACCATAGGATCCTGAACCTCAAAGAAATTAAGTCATTTCTCCAAGCCAAGAAGTTTTGAGGGGTTGAGAAAATTCCACCAGAATGCAGAGAAAGCAAAGAAAAAAAGGGAGAGGGGTAAAGGAATTTGGAGGGTGAACAATTTAGACAGGCATGGGGTAGCATCACCTCGTCTCCTCTCTTCCATGTCTAACACAGGCTTTGCCCTTCTTGGGATTAAGTGACTCATATCAGACTAATCAGAGAGATGCCTCTTGGGGGGTGGGGGGGTGGCGTGGACTGATACCATCTCACTCCCTACATGTATCCCAAAACCCCCTTTACCTCAGGACCCATAACCTGTACAAGAACCCCCAAGAACTTTCAGAAGATAAGGAAGAAACTGAATTGAGCCCTGAGCAACCTGCCCTGTATTCTGGAGATATTTTATTATGCGATGCAAAGGGGAACCCACCCAGCCATTATTCCCAAAGGGCAGGACTCAGAGCTGAAACTTACTCTTTTCTCAGGAGGAAAAGGAGCTGGTAGCTTGGCAGAGAGCCCGGATGCAGCTCATCCCTGGTAGAACACACCACCTGCAAGCCTTCAAAGATATGCAGAAAAACTCAGAAACACTAAAAAATGTGAACTCCCATATCTTGATTGGAGCTCCTCCTGTGGAAAAAAGTGAGTGTATAAAGGGGTCTAGACCATGAAAGGGCAGGTCAGGCAGGTGGAGAGCAGGGACAGCAACTGACACCGTAGACCACTCTCTCCAGTTGCTTCCAGGGTCCCCAACTCTGGTTTTCCTCCAACCTCACTGGTAGATCCTCAGTGTCTTCTGCTGGTTTATCTTCTCCAACATCTGGATGTTGAGGTGCTCAGAACTCAGTCCTTGTCTGGACTGCCTTGGTGACCTCGCCCAGTCTCACAGCTGTAAGTAACATCTGTATGCTGATGACTTTCAAAATCTCAGCTCCAACGTAAATCTGTCTGTGGTCCTCACCAACCCCTGCAGTATCCTTTTGCCTGTGTTGGTAGCCATGCTGGTGTCTGTAGCTGAGATCTGTGTCCAGATGATCTGTGGCCTTTAACCTGTCAGTTCAGTCAGACTTTGGTTCTCCCTGCTCAGCTAGCTCCCCTTTGGCACTGCGTACCCTCCTGAGGTCCAACTGTGACACTCATTTGATCCCCGTGAGTTGCAATGGCATTTGATTAGAAAAAATAAATCTTAAGACAGAATAACCATTGTCTGACTCACATAGTTTAAGAATTCAAAACACAAGACTAAGCTACTATGTTAAGAAAATACAGTTAAGTTCAAGGGGGCTTAAGTATGTTGGCCTTACTAGCCCAGGCCAGTTAGAACGTTGTCCTGATATCAAAGGTTGCAGGTTCAATCCCCAGTCAGGAGTAGCCAGTGAATGCATGGGTGAGTGGAATAACAAATCGATGCTTCTCTCTCTCTCTCAAATCACTAAATCTAGAAAATGATAATTCAAGAACTCAATAAGAAAAAAACTAGTTTTTTCTTTAAGTTTAAAGAAAACATTCCTTTCTTTTGGTGGCTCGAACTTAGACTCCTCTGAGGTTTTGTATGAATGTGCATCTGTGCACTTGTTTTCTCTGTATGTCTTCTGGACTGTGAGTTCTTCTCAGACTTCTCCACCACGCCCATTCATATTCCCGCCTTCCAGGGAATCTGCAAATATTGTGGTTGTCTAATGGCAACCTTTCTGGTTTTTCAGTGGGATTTTGGGTGTGAGGAGGCATAAATGCAAATGTATTTAGTTTATCATCTTAGTTTATTTCTTCAACAATAGTTTCTCAAAGGTAATGATTTTTTTTTAAGACTCACAACTTATGATATATTAACTCCTAACATAGTCCATACTTAGGCCTGGGGGAGAGAAAATGTAAAGTAACAATAGGAACACATTAGGTTGACATATGGAAAGACCTGAGAGTATTATAACCTTACCCATAGCAACTATTTTTTTTACTTCAGTAAGTTGATAAAGGTCCTCTCTTCTCCCCCACCCTAGAACTGCTGACCATAGGGATTTCCTCAGTGCAGCATCCCCAAGGGAGAGACCTCGTGAACACTCTGCAGTCTCTCTTCTCTGCTTCCTCCTCATCTGAGCGGAAACACTTCACTGTTCTGGTCCACCTGGCAGGTCCTGAGCCCAAGTGGCTTGTTCAAATGATCTATAATCTCTCAGCCCTGTTTAAAGCACACATCCAGGCCAGAGAGCTAGTAGTGATCACTACTCCTCTCAAAAGCTACCTTCCCTTGAGGGACCTTAAGAAAACCTTTTATGACCCTACCGCCCGTGTAGCCTTCCACTCCAGGCAGAACATGGACTATGCCTTCCTCATGAACTTTGCTACCCACCACTCTGACTATTTCCTGGTGGTAGAAGATGATGTGAAATGTGCCTCCGGATTTGTCACCCAGATAGCTACTGCAGTGTCTGCCTGGGCAAACAGGCCTTGGGTGACCCTGGAGTTCTCCCAGCTGGGCTTCACCGGGAAGCTCTTCCGCACAGGAGACTTGCCCCGCTTTACCCACTTCCTTCTCCTCTTCTACCGAGAGATGCCCTGTGACAGCCTCCTCTCCCACTTCCATGACCTCATGCAGCAGACACCGATCCAGTTCCTGCCCTCCCTCTTCCAGCACCTGGGCAACTCCTCGTCCTTTGAGGAAGAGGATGTCGGCTCTCCCAGCAACCCTGCTGCCTCTGTCCACACCAGCCTTCAGGTTGCCAATGACTCTGTTCCCTCAAACGCATACAGCCTGGATGAGAATTTCTTTTACACCAAATCGGCTGAGGCTGGCAGCCATCTGACTGTGGTTTTGGACGTACCTGCCCAAGTATCCCGAGTTCAAGTGCTGACTGGCTCTGACCTGAGAGATGAGAATCAGCTGGAAGAGGGACAGGTGGAACTGGGCTGTGATTCTACAAATAGGGTCAGTGACTGTGATGACTACATTCTGCTGGGGCTACTGGTAAATGGCATCCTGAATCAGCAGGTGTTATCTCACAAGTCTGGGAAGAAGGTGAAGTGTGTGAGATTGCTCGTGACCGCCACTGCACCCTCTGGGATAATGGTCAGGCACATCAACCTCTGGACCAAGTGATATTTAAGTGACAACGTGGAGAGGCCCCGGGAGTTCTGGGAGTAGTCCGATTAGAGGTGAGTCCACAGAGGTTAGAAAACAAAACAATACATTAAAATGTTGAAATTGGTGGGAGCTTTGAGGATTCTTAATACAGAATACTCAACATGTTGAAAGGCAGAGTAGTCCCAGAGCCACTGGTGCACGAGGTGGGCTTGTGAAACCCTTCTTGGTTTTCTCTCCAAAAGGTCTGTCATTCAGAACTCTTCTCTTGGGGCAGGAATACCAGACTCCCAGAGAAAGCAGAAGCACGAGGGTGGAACTGAGTGATGCTCATATCACAAGGCTCTAGCCGTACACTACTGAAGATGGGGGTCCCTCCAGCAGCAGAAATGGACTTATTAAAAGCTGAACTTCCTGTGATGCCTTATGGTCAGACAGAGTCCTCTTCTACATGATCACCCAGTATGCTTTTTATGTTGTTGTTTATCCTAACCTGAGAACATTTTCCCATTGATTTTTTTTTTTTTTTAACATAGAGTGGAGAGGAGGGAGGAAGAGAGAGAGAAACATCAATGTGAGAGAGATGCATGATATGAAAGAGACACACTGATTGGTTGCCTTCTGCATGAACCCCAACCAGACCTGGGGATTGAACTTGCAACCCAGGTATGTGCCCTTGACCGGGAATCGAATCAGTGACCTTTTGGTACATGGTTTGATGCTCAACCACTAAGTCACACCGGCCAGTCCAAGTGTTCCTTTTTAAATAGCCTCCAAATTACTGAAAATCATTTGCTCTGATCTCTTGTAGCTCCTATCTGCAGCACAGTCTTATCCCTGGGACTATAAGGTAACGTGGATGTTTCTGAAGGAAAAACTTTGGATCTTTCACTAACTTTTTTAGCTCAATTTGGTTATGAGATCTTCCCAGAAAAATCCGAGCCCTGAGCTCAGCTAATGTGCAGTGTCTGGTCCTCACTAGCTTGAGAACTTTGATCCATGAAGGCAGGGAGAGGAGAGAAGGAAAGGCCAGCTCTAAGAGTGTTGTTGGGAAGAGCCCAAATCAAAAGCCAGGCAATGTGTCCAAATGAGCTGAAATCCAAGCAGATACAGGGACTAGAGAATCTGGAAGCAGGATGGCAGGACATACACAAGGAGAGGGAATTGGGGGACCAAATGAGTTGGGAGGGAGAAGCTCTGAGCATCAGGCAGGCGTGACAGCATGGTCAAGTCTCCTGCCACAGAATCCACCAGTGTTGGTGGCAAGGCCTGCTCCCCGCAGAATGCTCCCAGCCAGTGGCTAACCAGAGGGCACCAGCAGGGCCTATTCTTGCAAGATGGAGGGTGCCTCTGACAGGTGACGTCAGCCTTTTTGAAACTCCCTGACCCACACTGCAGTCCTAGGCTTCCTGGTCAGTCCTTTCTCTGTCACCTTCCACCCTTGTCAGACGTTGACGGCAATCTGAAAACTCTCCCTGCCTCCTCCCCTCCACTAATGAAGCTCTGTGATGTCTAATCCCATGTTTGTGTCAGCTCCTTGGCAGGTGTGAACTAACATGAGGGTGCTGAGAGTATTCTGAGGAAACTAAGGCGGAGATTTGGGACTAGCTTCACGATGCTCAAGTAGTTGTGGAAAGAGGTTAAAATAGGTTCACAGCACATCATCACTATGGGAAAACAGGCAACTACAGCCACAGAAAGCAAAAAGGGAGGAGCAGGAGGTTGAGGACAGTCATCCCCATAAGTCAGCCCCTTGCCAAGTTTCTGGACCTGAGCCAGTTTTCAGGTCCATGTGCATTGATGTGGGCAGGTCCCTAGAAGGAAGGACCCCCACACCACCAATCCTGGAATACTTCCCAGACTGCCTCCCCAAGGCACCAGAGACATTTACTTGGGTAACTACAACTGGGAAAGGGAAGTGCCAGACATTTAAGGAATTTAGGATCCATCTAGGAATGTAGGTTTGGGCCACACCTCCAGGGAAGCCACAGGACCCTCCGAGGTGATTGATAGCTGAAGGTTATAAGGGTGGGCCCATTCCAAGGAGATCAGGACTCCCAGTGGGTTCCCCACAGGCCTGTCTGAAGCTATCTTGAAACTGCATGTGCGTACGGTACCCTTTCTCCAGCCCCTCCCTTCCCCTTCTCCATTCCTACGTGTCAAACCTGCATTGTGGCCTCAAAGGCTGCATAACCCCCCCACACCCACACACTAAATCCCTTGCACATCTGATCCCATCTTGGTGTGGGATTTGCGAGTGGGTTCAGCCGATGCATGCTGCGCTTTGGTACAAACTAGAAGAAGGCACTCCTTCCTAAGGTGGGTGGCTTCCAAGGTGAAGAGCCCAAGCCGGGGCTTATAATGGCGACTTTAGTTCCCACCACTCCCCTGTGCAGAACACAGTCTGCGCAAGCACAGAGGTTCAGTTCACAGATGGGGTGAATTTCTGGTAGAAAACTGGGTCACTCCACCAATTCTATTTTAAACAAATGAATAGATCCTAGTCATGTAAAAAGAGCACTGGGCTCTGTTTCACCTGAGGCAGTCACTTGCTCTTCCTGCAGGGTGGTGAGACCCAGCCCTGCTGCAGGTGTGCCAAGAGCACAGGTCACTGGCCAGGGACTCAGCTGGTGGGGACGTGGCCCTGTACACCAAAAGGTTTCGGGTTCGATTCCCAGTCAGGGCGCAACCAATCAATGTTTCTAGCTCACACCGATGTTTCGCGCTCTCGCTCTGTCTCTCTCAAAAAAATCAATAAGGAAACGTGTCTTCAGGTGAGGATTTTTTAAAAAGTTAGCCAAACTTCAAGCTCAGGTGCCCACAGGAGGAAGGGTACAGCTTGCAAGGAAGGAGAATTGTGGGTTTATGCCATCAAGGGTGCCTGGGCCTCGAGGGCCAGTCAGAGCCAGGCCCTACCCAGGCTAGGGTTTGTATAGGCAAGAGAGTGGTGAGCTTAGATAGCCAAAAGGGCAACTCTTTGAGTCAGGGGTGACAAACATTGCCAAAGACAGGACTGACAAGCCGGAGACCTGGATCTGCTTTATCCAAGGAGTTATCTGGAAGCGGAAGTTGGAAAGTCCAGATTGGGGTGAGGTGGGAAGACTTCCCAATAGTCTTGTGTGGTGACTATTGAGTATTGGAGGGTGACCCTGTTTAAAGGGTTGTGATCATACAAAATACACCCTCTAGCCATAAAAAGGAATAAAAGTAGAAACAAATAATTATGTATCTAGAAAATCCACAAACATTTGGAAATTAAGCAACATTTCTAAATAGCTCATAGGCTGAAAAGGAAATCACAGTGGAAATTATAAAGTATTTTGAACTGAATGATAATGAACACAAGTCTGAATTACTTACCCTATAACATGGATGATTTCTTCAGGGATCATCTGTGGGGCCTCTAATAGGGGAAAGGTCGTTCAATATGCACCTTGTCAGTCTGATTCAGACTGACAGTTAACTTGCAGCTTCTGGTTTGAGATAAGACTAGAAAACTGGCTTTGAAACCTTATTCCCATTGTATCCAGAGACAGGTGCTTGATGTGAGCAGCCCCCATTCAGGGTGAACAATGGTTGTCAGGCAGGGCCTCCTAGGAGGGTGGTTTCTGCCACCTCAGAGGGGCCACTCTGGGCCCCCAGCCTGCAACACTGAACTTTTTTCTCTTTGGTTTCAGAGGAATCCCTGCTCTCTGATGGTTTATGAAACCACATTGTCTGTTAGACAAAAAGCCTCCAATTATTATGGCTCTGTAAACATGGTCAAGATTTCCACAGGATTAGAAATTTCCAGTCACTTCTAGGTTTCCACCTTCCTACCTGTCCAGGGTGGGGAAGACATATAAGAGTTTCCCTTTGTCCCTCTGACTTGATTCAAAACCTTGTAATCTGTCCGGAATCCCACGTGGAGACTTTAGCTAGAATTTGGATTTCGGGAAGGGCACGACTAACCCTAACCCTTGATTTTCTCTTCTTGGAAACACATCTCTATAGTGGGGCCTCTGTTCCAAAAGTGGACAAACAAGAAGCTGTTCCAGTTTCACCTAGAAACCCAGGAAGAAGGTGAAGAAGGTAGAGGCTGAACAGAACCGGAACCAAAATCCATGACATTTGTCTCTCCTTAAACGGTTTCAGTGGGAGAGGCGAGGTCAAAGTTGGTGGGAAAGGGCGGCTCGGGAAGTCAGTTGGCTGAGGTGTCCAGGACGCAGGGCGAGGGGAAGTGGGGAAGCCTCAGGCAACAGGAGGACATCCTGTCTTCTCTCACTCAGGGTCCAGCTCCTGCTCACTTCCTGCCAAGCGGCCAGGCCCAGCACCATGTCCCTGTGGAAATACGCTGTCATGGTTGTCTCCTTCATCTCCCTGAGCTTGTTCCTCCTGGACAATAAGAAAGAACTCGAATACAGCATATCATTGGTACGTTCCAGAAACTGAGGCTGCACTACTTGCCAACACGTCAGCAAGGAGAATGTTTCCATTATGTAGACACTCGAGTATTACCACAGAAGTTCTAAAAGGAGGGCACTTGGCCCTGGCCAGTTTGGCTCAGCGGTTAGCGTGTCGGCCTGTGGATTTGAATAGGGGAAGGGAGGAAGAGGGCATTTTAAGGGGGCAGAGAGCCTTGCACTGACCTGGATTGCCATGCTGATGGGCAGGCCCAGCGTGGGAGGAACTGTCTGCCTGCTGCCCTCCTCCCACAAGAGAGAGGGTGTTCCTCCCATTTGCCCTTCAGAGACGAGACTCAGAGCCCTAGGATGACTCCTCCCTGGTGCAGAGCATCTGCAGCGGAGAAGGCCATGCTCAGGTTCCGGGGTCTGTGTTCTTCCAACGTGCCTCAGACCAGCTAGAGCAGAGCGTGAGGAAGTGCGAGGTCAGAGCTGAGCCAGAGAAAGGGCTTCAGCATTGAGGCACCTGCAGGACAGGACAGCTTGGTCTTTAGCAGCTGTCACAGCACAGTCCAAGGCAGAGTCAGATGCTCTGGCAGCCTGTGATGGTGGACAGTTAGACATGGAGCAAGGTGGGACAGGCAGGTTCTTACTCTGCAGAAGCCTGCACCTTCCCATAGGCATTCCACACAGAACTGGAGAGCCCCACTTCCCTGACCCCAGGGCCCACCACTCCTAGAGCCACGTATTTTCCCTGGACCACAGGTCAATGCTGTAACTGCTGAGCCAAACTAGCCAGGGCCACATATGTTCTCTTGACGAAGTGGAGACAGTGCTTCACTGGATCCTGGGGCTGGCCTGGCCTGGCCTGTCCCAAAAGGAGGATTTGCCTTCATTTGTGTCCAGAGCAGCTGAGGTGAAGCTCAGGGCTGATGCTTATCCATCCTCTGCAGGAGGAAAAGGAGAAGGTACTGCAGCAGCTGGACCAGGAGCAAATCAGCTCTGAAAGCAAGAACCACATGGAGACCTTCAAGAAGATGCAGATAAACTCCCCTATGCTCCAGCACGCCAACTACAAAGTCATGGCAGGAGCCCCTCCGTGGGAGAAGAGTGAGTACATGGGAGGAGGGTCAGACCGGGCGTGAGTAACCAAGGCATCCCAGCAAGAAGACAGGAGGTGGGAGCAGAGGGAGGCCATGCTCTGGCACTGGGTGCAGGCTCTAATCCCACCTGCCATCTTGCTTGCCTAACGAGGTGGGAAGTCCATTGTGATCCACTAAGGAGCCATCCCACAGTGAAGCTCACTGATGCCAGCCTCCCAGGGAGAGGGAGGGAAAGGGCTCAGAGGGAGATGAGTTCACTGGGCACAGGACTGTGGGAGCCCTCGAGTTCCTATAGATCCTCCCATCCAGGTCTGAGGTCAAGGCCAGGCTAATTTGCCATGCCAGTAAATTTCCGTTTGGTAGGTGGCAGCCTCCCCATCAGAGAGCCTTGTCCTTCACAAAGTTTCCCCCAATGGCCTTGCAAAGTAGTGATCAAATAAAACCACTTCACAACCTCTGACCATAGATTAACCTCTTATCTGACCACACTCCAAGGGAAAGGAACTGTGAATTTGTCCCAGGTGTTCATATTAAGGGGAGAGTGTGTGTGTGAGGGGGCGGGGGTCTTACCACCTCTTTCAAGTGCCAACAGTGCTGTGTCCCCTCACCCTCAGAACTGCTGACGGTGGGGATCTCCTCAGTGCAGCGTCCTCATGGGAGGACCCTCTTGCGCACCCTGCAGTCCCTGTTCGAAGCTTCCTCAGAGCCGGAGCTAAACTATATCGTGGTGCTGGTCCACCTGTCAGATCCTGACCCTCAGTGGCTCAGCCAAACAGTTGCCAATATTTCAGGCCTCTTCCAACCTCATATTGAGGCCCAGAAGCTGCTTGTGATCCATGGTCGTCTTGGTGGCTCTTCTGTCCCAGGAGATCTGGGTAACACTAATGACGACTCGCCCTGTGAAGCTGTCTATTCCAGGCAGAAAGTCAATTATGCCCTCCTTATGAACTTCGCTCTCAGCCTCTCTGAATACTTTTTGATGATAGAAGATCATGTTTACTGCATCCCCGGATTTGTTTCTACCATCTATTGGGCCCTGTCAGCCTGGAAAGAACGACCCTGGGTGACTCTGGAGTTCTCCAGCCTGAGCTTCTCTGGAAAGGTTTTCCACAGCAGTGACCTCTCCCGCCTGGCTACTTTCCTCCTCCTCTTCCCCAAGGACACACCTACTCACTTGCTTCTCTCTGAATTCCGTCTTCTCTTGGCCCAACACATTCCCATTCGTTTCGGTTCCCCAGTCTTCTATGCCATGAGCAGTTATTCTGCTGAGGACACCTGCTTTCCTGTGCAGAAGGAAATGGTCTTTGGTGAACCGGACAACCCCATAGCCAGTGTTGTCACTGACATGATGACAATATCAGATGTGATTCCCCAATACGCTTATGTTCTGAACGATGAGTGCTATTCCACCTTTGATCCCTTAAGAGGCAACTACCTGACGGTGATTTTGGAAAGGCCACAGAAAGTCATCCGCATACAGGTGCTGACAGGTTCTGACGAAGAAAGGCTGTACTGGCTGCAAAAGGGCCAGATAGAACTGGGCTACAATACCCTGGAGTATTCTGAAGGCTGTGCTCAATATACCCTGCTTGGACCACTGGTGCAGGGAAATCTGGATCAGAGGGTATTTTATGGTGAAGACGCTGTGGGGGAGTTGAGCTGCATACGACTGCTGGTGCTGGCCTCTCAAGACTCCTGGCTCCTAATCAGGCAGATCAGGGTCTGGACTCAGCCCGAGGAAGAGAGCTAGAGGCACAATGGGAATTCTGCAAGGACTGGTCTTGGGAATGCAGTCTGCATGGCTGGCAAGTAATAAAACTAGAAACTGGTCAAGGCCTGTGCACTCTGACTGGGGTAACCATGTAGGTTACTGTCCAAACTGGGGTACGTGTGAATGAAAGGAAGCACTATTGCCTGACCAGTGTGGCTCAGTGGTTGAGCATCGACCCATGCACCAAGAGGTTGTAGGTTCTATTCCTAGTCAGGGCATATGCCCAGGTTGTGGACCCAATCCCCAATGGGGGGCATGCAGGAGGCGGCCAATCAGTGTTCTCTCTCACTGATATTTCTATCTCCTCACTTCCTCTTTCTCTAAAATCAATAAAGAAAAAAAAAAAAAAAACACGGGGGACCAAAAAAAGGAAGCACTATTAAAAATCACAGTACAACCACAGATGTAAAGCAGGCTGTCCCAGGCAAGCAGAGATGTTCGTCCTGATTCTAATTTTTGTAGGGCACTTAAAATAGATGACAGTCTGATGTGGGAAGAGAGAGAGCCTTTTGGCTTCCAAGGGCCAGAGAGAGAAGTCACCACGAACTGTGTTGGTTCTTATCTGCACACAAATGTTACACCCTCAGATCTTTCCATGGAGTTATTGCCCTACCTAGAGTGGCAACAGTCTTGATGGGACCATGATCACGGAGGTGGAGCTGACTTGGGCTCACATCTATGCATCTGTCAGGCTGCTGTAATGGAATTCCACAGGCTGGTGGCTTATAAACAACAAATTTATTTCTCACTGTTTTGGAGGCTGGGATGTCCAAGATCAAGGTGCTGGTAGTCAGTGTCTGGTAGAGGCCCAAATCCGGGTCCATAGAGGGCTGTCTTTTTGCTGTCCTCAGCTGGCAGAAGTGGGTGACGCATTCACAAGGGTTCTATTCTAAAGGCCTAATCATGTCCCAAAGGCTCTGCCTCCTAACACCACCTGGTGGGTTAGGATTTCAACGTATGAAGTTGTCCGGACACATGCAGACGACAGGACCCAGACCGCTCATGTGCCAAGGCTGAGATCTTGCTGCAGCAAAGTTTGCTTAGCCATACTCATTTGTTTATATATTGTCTAGGTTGCTTTCATGCTACAAGAGCATGGTTGAGTCGCTGCCACACAGGCTGTAGAGTTCACAGTCAAAAATATTTGTGTAATAGCCACAACTTAGAAATAACCAAACATACATCGGTAGCAGAATGGGCAAATAAGCTTGGTCTAGTCACACAACGGAACACCGTGATAGAAATGAACAAAGTACCACTAGCACAACCGCGTGGAGGAAAATCTCACATAATGCAAAAGAATACATATTGTGTGATCCCATTTGCATCAAGTCCTAAAGGAAAAAACAGATTTGTGGCGTCGGAAGTCTGGGCTGTGGTTATGCGGTAAACGAGAGGCTTGCGTCCCGGGGCGACCCCAGCGCACGGCGGGGACAGGGCTGGGGCTGCGCTCTTAGCAGACCCGCTACAATTTTTTTAGCAAATGCGTCACAGCTCTCCTTCGGCCGCCTCCTCACCGCCTTTCCTGGCCGGCTCCGCCCGGGCTGCACAGTCTTCAGCCCCCTTCCAAACGACCCCTTGCGCCCTGTGGCCACTCCGCAGGCCCCGCCTCCTCCGGTCCCCTACTGCTGTGGGCCCGCCTCTTCCGGCACCTTCCCGCCCACACCTCGCCCTTTTATCGGCCCCGCCCCTGACAGCCTCGACCCCTCCGGCCCCGCTGTTGACAGGTTCCACACTTCCGGCGCCCTGCTCCCGTCAGACTCGCCTCTTCCGGCTCCACCCTTGTCGGTCGTCCCAGCGAGGCCCCGCCTCTTCCTGGCCCACCTTGGCCGACCGCTCCTCGCCAGGCCTCCCCTCTTTTTGGCCCGCCCCCCTCTGTTAAGCCCCGCCTATTCCGGCCTATCTTTTTCGGTTCTGCCCTTTGGGGCCAGCCTTTTTTTTTTTTTTTTTTTTATCCTCACCCTAGGACACTTTTTTCACTTTTTGTTCAGATAGAGCGGGAGGGAGGGAGGGAGAGAGACATCGACGTGAAAGGGACACACCGAGTGGCTGCCTCCCGCCAACCAGGGCCGGGGACAAACTGCAACTGAGGCACATGCCCTTAGCGGAACCGAACCCGGGCCTCTCTGGACCGCAGGCCGGGCTCTAACCGCTGAGCCAAACTGGCCAGGGCGCCCCCTTTTTTTGGAGTCAGCCTTTTCCGCCTCCGCTAGTGCCTAGCCCCCCACCTTTCCTGGGCGCGCACTAGCCCCGCCCCTTTGGGGCCGCCCCTCCCATCCTGGGCTTTCCCCAGGCCCCGCCTCCTGCCCGTCACGCGACCTGCTGTGGGAGCCCCGGCGGCGCGCCGGTGGAGGACGCGGTGCGCGGTCATGGGGTTCCAGCCGGTGAGACCAGTGCTCCATGTCCTGCCCCAGGGAACTCCGCTCCAGCTGGTTCTGGCCATTGAGCCGTGGACCTGGGGACTTCACTGCCGCCCTCGCCCTGGATGCTGGGGTCCCGGCCCTGGCCCAGGGGGCCCCTCCGGCCTGAGCACGCTCCCGCGCTGGAGCTCGGGGTCGCCTCCCTCCGGGCGGCTGGGCGTCCGGGACGGTCACCACCTTTTCCCCCGGGTCCTCCCCCGCGGGGCCGTCACACCACCCCCTCTCCCCACAGAGCCCAGGCCTGCTGGCCTCCCTGGGGGCGGGGCTGCTGACTCTGCTCGGCCTGGCGCTGGGCACCTACTTGGTTCGGAGGTCCCGCCGGCCACGGGTCACTCTCCTGGACCCCAATGAGAAGTATCTGCTGCGACTGCTAGACAAGACGGTGAGTTGTGCAGGAAGGGGCTGGGTAGAGGAGGGACCAGAGCGCCCCTCCTGGTATGAAGCCAGGGCACCCACTGCAGTCGGGGTGTGCTGGTGAGACACTGTCCTCCATTCTCCAGACTGTGAGCCACAACACCAAGCGGTTCCGATTTGCCCTGCCCACCGCCCATCACACTCTGGGGCTGCCCGTGGGTAAGGAAAGTGTGTGCTCCTTTCCCTGGCATCCTAGGGGAGCACTTCCCCTTCTGGAGTCTCCTGAAACATAGGCTTTAGTCTATGCCCTTCACACTCTCCTCCCCTTCCTCGCCGGCTGGATCCTCCAGGCAGTGAGGTGCCACTGGGCCATTCTAGGGTGTGGCTTCTGTGCCCCAGACATCTTTAACACTCAGAAGTCCTCCCTCCTTCCTGCAGGATGTGCTCGTACCAACCCCTAGGCAAACACTCATTTTTTTCCCATTGCCCAAACTCATCTCACCTGCTGCTGCTAAGGTTCTGCTGAAAAGGGTTTCCCCAATGGGGCACTGGAGAGGGATCCAGCTGGGGGCTCAAAAGGGTAAACCCTCCCTGCATGGTAGCTTATTGGGACCACAGTGGGAAGCAAGACATCCTTGTTCTCTCAAACCTTCCTGGGTGTTTTGAAAGGTCCTGGAATGCAGCACGTCCACAAGCCACCCTTACATAGTTCTCTTCATGGTCCCCAGGCAAACATGTCTACCTCTCTGCTCGAATTGATGGCAGCCTGGTCATCAGGCCATACACTCCTGTCACCAGTGATGAAGACCAAGGCTTTGTGGATCTTGTCATTAAGGTGAGAAGGTAGGAAGGAACCCCAGGAGCTCCTTACCCTACTCTTTTTGGGATTTGTAGAAACTTCCAAATTTTTGTTGGCAAGCAGATGTGTGTCTTTTGTGGATATGGAGAGAATATGTGGACTGGGGAAAAGATAGCACGTGCATATCTTGGCCCCAGCTCAGGGAAGCTCAAACAATGGGGCCTCAGAAATCAGTGACAGTCCATGTAAAGTATTTTCCATACTGTCTTATCAGGTGTACCTGAAGGGTGTGCACCCTAAATTTCCTGAAGGTGGGAAGATGTCTCAGTACCTGAACAGCCTGAAGATTGGGGATGTGGTGGAATTTCGAGGGCCAAGTGGGTTGCTCACCTACACAGGGAAAGGTAACAGCCCCTCTGCTTCTTGAGCCTCTCCCAGTTCCCCAGGCCCACAGTCCTCTGGGCACACATGCATGTGTGGAAGGGCCGAGCTGCCCTCCCTGTACACATAGCTCTGACAGTGTAGAGAGGCAGATTTCTTAGACCCATTTGTCACTGGGTTCAGTTAGCATCCACTTAAATTCGCCAACCATGACCGTCTTGGAGATCAGTAAAGCAGCCCTGCCTCACAGATTTGCCCCTCAAGCTGAGCTGTTTAGACCAGAGAGAGCTTTTAGCCCTTCCCAGGGGAACAGCTGGGCACATTAGCAAGCCTCAGGCTGCTCTGTGCACTTGGAAAAGTAGATTTCACACTGGCCCCAGGCCTCTCGCCCTCACTAGAGGTGACCCTTTGCCAAAGGCAGCTGCTGACTCACTGTGGGCCTAAACTGACGGACAGTTGATAATATAGGGCATGTGGTCCTGGTCCTATTGTCCCTCGTGTGTATTACTCAACTCAGACGTTCACCCAGGCTCCAGGGTCAGATTTCACTGCAGCTGCTAAACTGACCTGGGACACGTTTGCAGTTCTGCTTGTTTTCTTAATTTCCTGTGTTAACTTCATTCTTCCATCCCTTCTGCACTCGACTTCTCAGGGAATTTTAACATTCAGCCCAACAAAAAGTCTCCACCAGAGCCCCGAGTGGCGAAGAGACTGGGCATGATCGCCGGCGGGACAGGTGTGTGTTGCTTGAGGCCTGTTCTCTCCCACCATTGTTGATGTTACCATGAAAGCTTCCCAATGGCCCTCGAAAGGTTTGGGAATCATGACCAAGCTGGTAATCGGGATTCCCAGCAATTCCTAGGGCTCCCCAGTACCTGAAAAACAAAATCATAATCCGGTGGAGACCAAAAACAATTTAACTGATAGAATAAGAAATAATTTGTGTGCGCTCTCTCAACACCTCACACTGAATGGCTCTCTTAGTTTTTAGGTGAGAATAGGGAAGCAACTAGAAATGGGGTACTTAAGAAGGAAGAAAGTTAACATTGGCCATTTCTATAATTTAGACTCTATGCTAGTCTTTCTTTTTTAAATATTCACTCAAGGGCATTTTTCCATTGATTTTCAGATAGGGTGGGAGGGAGGGAGAGAGAGAAACATCTATGTGAGAGAGACAGATCGATTGGTTGCCTCCCACATGACCCCAACCAGGGCCAGAGATTGAACCACAACTGAGGTATGTGCCCTTGACCGGAATTGAACCTGGGATTCTTGGGTCTACGGGCCTACGCTCTAACCACTGAGCAAAACTGACCAGGGCAGACTCTATGCTAGTCTCTCTATGTCTGTATCTATGAAGTAGGTACTTGCTTTCTCCTTTACAGATGAGAACATGCAGCCCTGGCCAGTTTGGCTCAGCGGTTGGAGCATCAGCCTGCGGTACAGAGAACATGCAGGTTCAGAGAGGTTAAATGGTTTCCATAGGGTTCACTGGTAAAGGATTAGTATCCAGCTCTGCCTGGGTCCAGAGCACTTGCACTTAGCCTGCAATCCAGTGTTCAACACTGTCACACTGAGCACCTGTGATTTCTGAGTCCTAGCCAAAAAAGGGTATTCAGAGGAAGAGTCTTAGAAGGATTTTAACAATATGAACTTAATGTGGTAGTAAGCATGACTATAGTTTGCCTACCAGATAAGAAACTTTGTGAGCTTAGGGTAAAAGCCATATCTATCGAGAATTGTGGGTATTAGAGAATACACAGGAGGAGATTAGATGATTTGGACACTGAATAAAAGTGGGGTGCAGCCCTGGTTGGTTTGGCTCAGCGGTTAGCGCGTTGGCCCGTGGATGAAAGAGTCGCAGGTTGGATTCCAGTCAAGAGCACGTACCTCAGTTGCAGTTTGGTCCCCGGCCCCATTTGGGGTCATGCAGGAGGCAACCAGTTGATGTGTTTCTTTCACATCAATGTTTCTCTCTCTCTCTCTCTCCCCCTCCCATTCTGTCTGAAAATAAATGGAAAAATAGGCTCAGGAGAGGGTTTAAAAGAAAGAAAGTGGGGTACAGGGGTGAATGGATAGCATTCAGATGAAGGCATTGGTTGGCTAAGGAGCTTGGACAGGTACACTGCAGCTACCACTTCTCACTGTGGGGTATCTTTATGCAGGAATCACCCCAATGTTTCAGCTGATCCGGGCCATCCTGAAAGACCCCGGAGATCCAACCCAATGCTGTTTGCTTTTTGCTAACCAGGTTGGTTTGCTTTTCTCAATTCTGGGACTTTTCAGTTGCATGGGTTGGCTCAGAGATGTGGCACCAGTGGGCAGAAATGGGCCAATACCTGTTCTGCCCTCTGCCCAAGGTTCTCCCACCCCGTAGGTAGAGGACTCTGCTACAATCAGAGGACAAAGCCCTGAGCCGAATCCTTCCTAGCCCCAAGGAAAGAGGAAAAGAAAACATTTTTGGAATCTAGTCTTGAGCATAAAAACTTGCCCCTTGGGTTACCTTGGTTAAATGTTCCATCTTTATTTCTTCATGCTGTTGTAAATAAAGGTTGTTCCCCCTCCTTCTCCTCATCCTAACAACCTTGAGAATCATGCTTATTCCCTAAAACAGAAGACATTCTTTTTCTCGCGTGGTTGGAAAGTATTATGTGGGGCTGAGAAGGCTCCTGAAGACTTTGCTTCTCCTTTTCCTCTCAGACCGAAAAGGACATAATTCTACGGGAAGATTTGGAGGAGCTGCAGGCACAATATCCCAGTCGCTTTAAGCTCTGGTTCACTCTGGATCATCCCCCAGAAGGTACCCTCCCCATTCTGGATAGCCCAAAATCTGGTTTCTAGTTTCAGTGGAACCAACCCTCCCCGACACTGCTAAATTCCCAAGTCTGCATGCAGGGACACAGTGGTCTCCGGCCCTTTCCTCCAGGTTCCTGTTCACCAGGGGAGTGGCAGGAATGGCTGTGCTGCTGAAGCAGGCTGAGTGGAGCCATCCACCTGCTGCTACAGCTTGATACTTTTTCAGGAGCCTTTTGGAACCTCCCTACCTTACGGCTCTATTCCCCTTGCCAGCATGGGTCTGGAGTGACAGTTCTCTCCTCTCCCCCATACTTCAGATTGGGCCTACAGCAAGGGCATCGTGACTGCAGACATGATCCAAGAGCATCTCCCTGCTCCAGGGGATGATGTGCTGTTGCTGCTCTGTGGGCCTCCCCCAATGGTGCAGCTGGCCTGCCACCCCAACCTGGACAAACTGGGCTACTCACAAAAGATGCGATTCACCTACTGAGCATCCCCTGGCTCCCCTGGTCCTGTTCCCTGCTGTCGTCCCCATCAGTACTCAGATACTGTAAGCTCTAGATTTCTTTCCTGGCAGGATCAGCCTTTTTGTCCTTGGAAGCTGAAATTTGATGGTGCCTACAGGAACAGCGTCCTTGCAGCCCTGGGAGAAAGCCGAGACTGAGTCGTTCCCTAGACGGCCCCCAGATCTCCCTGTGATAAAAGGTCCAGGTCAGGCCATGCAGTTTCTTCCATGGGTCTGAAAGAAGGAGGCATGTATGTTCACTCCAAGTCTAGCTAGTTCCTGGGTAGCATCACGCTCTTCTTTGTGTATGTGATGAAAGGGACAACCTGTGTAATGGGTTTTACTTACTACTAGGTACTTCACCCGTTGCAGATTCTGTGTGTGAATGCAAGTTGAATAGACTTTTGCAGGAAAGGAGGAAATGGTTTCTTCAGACCTACAGACCTCAGAGAGAGGAATCTGAAATATGTATTTGCGTGTCTGTCTCTCTCTGCCCAGCCCAGGATGGAGGGAAGTAGCTGTCCACAGTCTGCTTATGGCAGGGTCCTCTGGCAATGCAAATAAATTGGGCTAAGGCCCCAGTGTTACACCTAAAGAGCTGTTGTGTCTGGGGTCCTTGTGTTCACACCTGATCATTTTGGGAGGACAGGTTTCCCGGCATAGAATTTCTTCCAGGTCTTCCAAAGAACCTGTGAGCAGTTGTACCGTGTGTTGAGATGTGAGCTGCCACCAAACAGTGATCATCGTAGCAGCTGTCTCAGCAGAACCAGAAGCTTAACTTCTCCCTGGAGGCTTTTCAGGTGGGGGAAGGAGTACAGATTAGAGTGGATCCTTTTTGGGCCCAGGTCCCCTAAAGTGGTCCTTTGGTTTAGCCACTCTTCTCTTCTCCCTTCTGATCCTTCCTTCACCACATTCATCCTTCAGGGTACCTGGCAAACAAATCAAAGTATTGTCTTTCTGTTTTAAAGAGAAGCTTTTGCTTTTAAAAAGTAACATGATATCACCAGCCTCAGCCAGCCTTGTTGGTACCTGGACAGAGTTGGCCTCCCCAGCCCATCCATCCTGACTGCCCTCTACTCTGTTGTGATATCATGACCCAGTCCACTGCCATCTCCCAGGGTGGACCAAAGCAGCTTTTTTTTTTTTTTTTTTTTTTTTATCCTCACCCGAGGACATTTTTCCATTTTTTGTTCAGGTAGAGTGGGAGGGAGAGAGAGAGGAACAGAGAGAGAGAAACATCGACGTGAAAGGGACACATCGAGTGGCTGCCACCCGCACAACCCAACCAGGGCCGGGGACAAACTGCAACCGAGGTACGCGCCCTTAGCGGGAACCGAACCCGGGTCTCTCAGGACCGCAGGCCGACGCTCTAACCGCTGAGCCAAACCGGCCAGGGCCCAAAGCAGCTTTTTAAAAAAAATTTTTTATCTTTATTGATTTTAGGGAGAGGGAAAGAGAGAGAGAGAGAGAGAAATATCCATGAGAGAGAGAAACATCGATTGGCTGCCTCCTGCATGCCCCCCACTGGGGACTTGGCCCACAAACTGGACATGTGCCACGACCAGGAATCGAACCGGCGACCTCTTGGTGCAGGGGTCGATGCTCAACCACTGAGCCACACCAGCCGGGCCTAAGGCAGCTTCTTGAGATCTTTGTTTGCCCCATTGAGACAGACAATACATCAGTCTTAGGAGGAAAAGTCAACATTGCTTTTTACATGGAACCATAGAACCATATATGTATTGCTTTCTGTGAGGCCCCTAAAAGGAAGGCTATGGGACCCTGAGAATTCAGCCCTCCATGGGGCAGAGTCACTGGTAAATTGTGTTATTGGCATTCTATCAAACATGTCTTGATCAGCTAAGGATGTGTGTATCACTAGCTGTGTTAACAGTGACAGACACTTCGCTACCTCACCTCCGAGGGGAAATCTTGCTTAGGACTGTTGGGCTCAAGCAGTGAAGCAGCCCAGCAGAGAGTTTCACACAAGTTCACCATTCCTTGTCTGCACGGGTTTCTGTCCCGTCGACTCCGTGCACAAACGTATTAAGGGCTGCCATGTGCCAAGCACGGCTCAGTTCAGAATACAATTGTGACCAAGACTGGTCTTAGACCCCAAAAAGCTCATAGTCTAGAGTAGTATAGACACGTGGTAAAGAATTACAAAACAGTGATTCATACAGAGGTCCAAGGTGTGGATGGGGGCAGGACTCAGGAGGGGACGGAGAGAGAGAACCTGCTGAGCTCATCACAGCCATGGACCCGCACTGGCCAAGTACTCGCGACTAACTCCTTACCTTAGTCCTGAGTTTAAGGGTGAGGACTGCCCGGGGTCTGCAGCTGGTCCTGCCGAAGAAGATTAAAGTCAGCCCTGAGGGTCTCAGACAGGGGGCGACACCAGCAGCACTTGTGAAGCATTTGCCCTGTGCCTGGCATCACACGGGCCTGCGCACGTCATCGCGCTCAGTCCTGACAAAGACCCGGTGCGGCAGCGCCGTTTTCCTCCCGGTTTCAGGTGAGGCCATTACCCGGAGGAGCTCGGCAAGGGCTCAGGTCGGAGACTGGCCGGGACGGAACCTGCGTCTGTGACTCCGAGCCCGGGCTTCTCGGCGGCGCCGGGAAGCGCCCCTGCGGGAGGCGCCCGGACCGGCACCAGCGGGCACCGTCCCTCGGACGGAGAAGGCGGTACCCCAGACCAGCACTTTCCAGCCGTCTCCGTCTCACGCCGTATAAACCAATTGCTGAAGTTCTGCCACACACCATAATACATGTTTTGCCAACCCGGCACACCCCTTGGGGAATCGCGGCTTCGGGTCCGTTTCTGTGGTTCAGAACCGCCCGTGGGCTCCCAGACGCGCGCGGGCCACGGTGGGCGCAGGAGCGGAGCAGAGTTCCCACGCGAGACCAGAAACCAGCGGCCAGACTGCAGCCGCCCCTGCACCTCGCGCGGCGGTTCCGGGGTTCCAGGGTTCTGGGGAAGGGACCGCGGGCTTGGGGAGGGGGACTAACGCGTGTGAGGGTCAAACGCCGGGCGTGGGTGCGGGTGCTGGCCCGCGGGAAGGCCCCGCAGGGCTCGCTCTGACCCGGGGGCGGGGCCTCGGGCGGCGAGGGGCGGGGCCTCGGGCGGGGCGGGGCTGTGACTGACCCTCGGGAGGAGGCCGGGCGGCGGGCGCAGGGAGCGCAGGGAGCGCCGGGAGCGGGGCCGCGGCGCGGAGGTGACGTAGGGTGGGGGCACCCTTTCCGGCATCGGGAGCCTCGAGATCGGGGCCACTCGGCCGCAGGCCGCCTGCCGCGCCGCGGAATGAAGCGCGGGGTCCGCGGGGTCCGCGGCCGCAGCTGAGTCGTGCCCGGCGGTGAGTTCCCGGGGCTGCTGCAGCGAGCGAGAGGGCAGGGGTCGGTGGAGCGCGGGGACCCCGGGCGCCTCGGCCCAGGCCTGCGGCGGGGCCCCCGGAGCCGAGCCCCCCGCCCTGGAGCCGGCCGCGCCCCCCGGCTGCTCCGCGGCCCGTGTGGTAAACATTTCCGGCCCCTCCCAGCTGCGCGCCGCCTCCGAGGCGACCTCGGGAGGCACTGAGGGGGACGGCGCTGCGCCCGGCTCTGCCCAGCTGCCGCCGCGCTGGTGAGTGCCGCGTCCTCCGGCCCGGGCTCGGGCTCGGGCTCGGCGTGGGGCCTGCCGGGCCGCCGCGCAGCCTGGGCTCGGGCCGCCCGTCGCCGCGCAAGGCAAGTCGGGGCGGGGGCGGGGTGCGTGGGGCCTGGCTCGCGGGACCGCCGGCCCTGGCGGGGAAGCCCTGCCGCGGTGGGCCGGGAGCCCGCGCCCGCCTTGGTGCCGGCCGCGGGGAGGCTAGTGGGCCGTGCGCTCGATTTACGGCGACGCGACCGCCGGAAGGCAGCGAGGTCTCGGCTCCTGCGGGGAACCGGGATGTTGCTCCCTCGGAGCCTGGTCGCTGCCCGCCGTCCGGTGTGGAGGTCTGTTCTTAGCAAAGGGGGCAGACGCGGGCCCCTCGGTGTGTCCTGCTTCGCAGGCAGTGGGCACGCAGCGCACTTCCGTCTGCACGGGACCGGCGGCCCCTAGTCCTTCCCTGGGTCCCCCGGTATGTGCCCCGCAGTCGAGAGGACGGAGGGCACTGTGTGGAGGGATGTGGACCAGGGCGCCGAACGGAGGCCTGTCCGGTAGCAGTTCCAGCTCACAGCGCTCAGGTTCTTCGTTCCAGGAGCCTGTCCCCGGTCGTGGTTGGTGCTTGGGGACGAGTCTGAGACGCCGCGTGCTGCCCGCGAAGGGTCTCAGAGCCCCGCCACTGCGCCTGCCCGCAGGTGGGAGCTGAGAGCACTTGTTCTCAGTGGCCACGGAATTATGGGATTCCCAAGCGATAAAAAATGTATATGTTCAACCACTTTCCCTGCAAGTAGGAAGGGATCTCAGGCAAGTGTCAGGAAGCAGTATGAATCCACTGGGCTCCCCACTGCTAATGCATAAAGTGCATCCCCTTAGGCAAGCCTAGGGCCACCTTCCGTTTCTTCAGTCTGGCCTCATTTTACCTTTCCAAGAATTCTTTATGGAAAAGTGAAGAGGACTTATAAAAGGAAAGAACAAAAACACAAGAATTTGTTTCTTTCCAAGCAGTGACTGCTCTCTCTTTCCCTGGGAGGTCTTTACTTGTAACCTGAAGCCACACTGACATTCCTGATGCATCCGGTTGTTCTGTCGCATCTCCTTGTGATCACACTGTTGAGTTAAACCATCATCTTTAAATCTGAAGCTTTATTAATTATGGTGGGGGGGTTTTCTGGTGCTGGTGCTCATTAAAGTCATTACATTTTGTTGTTCATGTCCATGGGTGGCTAACGTTGCCCAGTTGGCTTTCTTCCTCTCTCTGCACTGAGTGGATTCTCTGCGTGCTCAGCAGTGCTGGGGGTGATTACTGTTTATGAAGTTGCTATCTTGCATTTAGAGGTCCCTGACAGTGCCCTCTGGACAAACCAGTTTCCAGTGATTGGCTCCTAGGCACTTCGTTTGCTTTCGTTTAATTGGGGCTTCTGGGACACACAGTCTAAGGTGATCAGTGCTGTGTAACTACTGACCATGTGCATCTGGAATGTACTTGCCGGCCAGGTGTTAAACACAGGGGCTGGCATGAAACTCCCGGGTGCCTGTATAACACCTACTTCTTTTTTTCTCATCATGGCATTTGAAAACTTACTGTCTGTCTGAGTTCAAAAGAGACCTCTTCTACTGGGATTGCTTTAACTGGAGAAGAGCCACAAAGGACATTAGCTTGTGATTTTCCACTTCAGACTCTAGATCAGTGATTTGGCGTCAAGTAGGGAAGATGAGGCCGTTACTACGATTTGGTAATTTTCAAACACAGGCCTTTGCCTGGGCTCATTTTTGCCCCCCGGTGCCGTGAAGCCACCTTCTCTGACAGTGCACAGAGGAGAAGATGGCCGTGTTTTCTGTTTGCTGCTCGACGATCTGGCTTTGAAACAGCCGTGCTGCTTTGGCCGCACGTGTGCTAAACCTGGGACGATACAGAGCAGGGTAGCATGGCCCTTGTGCGAGGATGGCATGCACATTCGTGATGCGTTCCGTGTTAAAACCAACAGTGAGAGTCAGGTAGGCCAAGATAGGGCCTACCTGTGGGGTGTCTGGGGTCCAGGGACCCCAGGCTAAGAACTTCTAGTAGCTTGTACCTTTGGCTTCAGGGAAGGGGAGTGTGCTTTATCCTGGAAAATTTGGAAACTGGTCCACAGAATAAATTTCTCAAAAAACTGTGAGGAAAATAAACTCGCTAGCTAGCTGGCTAGTGATACAGAAGCAGTCCTTTCCCAAGGTTGGCACGGGGTTCTGGTTTAGAGGAGCACAGACACCTGCCTCCACAGTCCTGTTCTCTGATGTAGGTTTATTCAGTTAGAAAGCTCAGTGTAAAGACTTACTCACTGGAACTGAAGAAATCCCATCAAAAAAGCACTCTGGAGTTTGGCCCACTTTGCTCTGTTGGGTGTGGTGAGTTTGAGGGGAAATGTTTGCTCTAAAATACATAAGGATATAGCTGGCTGAAGTCCTGAGCACTCCCAGAATCTGTCTTGACAATTTAGGGATTTATGCTGATGTTATATCATAGAGACTAAGACTTTAATAATTCCCAGTTGTTTGTCAGTGGTCTGCCATGTCAGAAATTATATTTTTAGGTTCTGATATTACTTGCTCTTCTTTCTTGCCAGACTCTTGGTCCCTCTTTCTCCCTTTCCTATCTCTGTGTTGCTACGGTTTAGAAAACCAAAGTGGACAGTGGACTTTTGCTCGCGATGATGGCCTCCGTTGTATGTATTTCATTGCATGGTGACATATCTTGTATGATAAGTTGTAGCTGTTGGCGGGTTTGTGAGTTAACTTAGGTGTTAGGTTTAGTGACCTGAGTCTAGGAAATAATGCTGAGGGCGTGGAGGAGGGTAGGAGCCAGTAATAGAAGAGATGGAGAAAATCCAAAAAATTGGCAGAAAGTGATTTGAACAGAAAGGGGAAAGACTTTGATGATGGCCAAGAAACTGAGATCATCCGAAGAGAACACTAGACTTGAGGGCGTCGAAACTTTTGGATCGAATGAGGAAATTATAAGAGTACAAGCTGGGTTCTGCGTCTGATCTCTTGACCCTGACTGCCCAACTTAAAGTTTGACTTTATTATTCTCATTGCTTCTAGTAAAATAGTTACACGGCTTTCAAAATAACTGAACTTTGTGTGTGGGCGTTCAAACTCAGGGGCTCTCCCTCCACTGCCCTCCTAGAGCAGTGACATTATGCCACTGACTCGTACACCCCACAAGTTGCCTTGTGTCCTCTGACTGTAGGCTCTTTGAAGAAAATGAGTTAACTTGGTATTTTGCACCTTAGGGTGCAGCACTAAGTCTATCTGTTAGATAGTCAGTGAAAGGAGAAAGCACAGAAAGTCATAAACCTTTAGAGAGTGATGGAAAGTTAATGCATCCTGTGCTTGCTGGCTGGCAGGCTGTCCCATTCATCCATTCATTCCTATTGAAATGCGCCTCTGACCAAAATCAGAAATATGTATCCATTTGTTACCTAGGTAGTATTGTAGCCCACACCGAGAATAATTTTTCTGGCCTGCCTCTGAAGTACTGGCAGGCGTGTTCTGAGCTAAGTGTATTCCCCTTTTGAGACTGACTTCACCAAGATGCCCAAAGCTATTTATATTTTTCTCCAGTATAAATGATTTCTTAGTAACGCTGTTGAGTAGGTAGCACTTCACTTTGAGGAAACATGGTTTGTGCAGCATATTAGAAATGATGCCCCAATGATGTCCCAACGTTTCTTCTCACGTGGGTTGCCTCCCTCCTGAGGTTTTCAGGGGCCTCCAGTTTCCTGTTCTTCATGGGCTCAGTTGTTGCCTAACTGACACCGGTCTTGTCAGTCTTGCACATTTGGAGGAAGAGGAACTTTGTGTTGACTCCATGTGAAGGTCTGCTGCACAGTGAATTTGACCCAAATCTGCCTGCCTCTTTCAGCTGTGCCTGTGAGTTGAGCATAGATGACTTTTGAAACTTGAAGATTGCCCTCACCTGACTACAGAAACCCAATTATAATCCCTGAGAAGAAAGTGTGATTACTCTTGGATTAAAAAAAAAGAACTGGGTCCTGGCCGGTTTGGCTCAGCAGTTAGAGCGTCGGCCTGCGGTCTGGAGAGACCCGGGTTCGGTTCCCGCTAAGGGTGCGTACCTCGGTTGCAGTTTGTCCCCGGCCCTGGTCGGTTGTGTGGGTGGCAGCCACTCGATGTGTTCCTTTCGCATCGATGTTTCTCTCTCTCTCTGTTCCTCTCTTTCCCTCCCACTCTACCTGAACAAAAAAATGTAAAAATGTCCTCGGGTGAGGATAAAAAAAAAAAGAAGAACTGGTACAAGATATCACAGAAGTATGTGTAGTGAACAGCAGTGGGGGAGAGAGTTTCCCTCGGGACCAGTCATGCCAATTGCTGGTATACAAGATTTAGGTCCCGCCCTGGCCAGTTTGGCTCAGTGGTTAGAGTGTCAGCCTTCGGTCCAGAGAGACCTGGGTTCAGTTCCCACTGAGGGCGAGTACCTCGGTTGCAGTTTGGCCCTGGCCCTGGTTGGGTCGTGCGGGTGGCAACCACTCGATGTGTCCCTTTCACATTGATGTTTCTCTCTCTCTCTCTCCCTCTCCCTCCCACTCTATCTGAACAAAAAAAACTAAAAAATGTTGTCGGGTGAGGATTAAAAAGGAAAAAAAAAAAGATTTAGGTCCCTAAACGTCAGTTTCCACGCCTTAAAGCAGCTTGCTCCGTGGGCAGGTGTGACCTGGCCCTCTCAGCATGCCCTGTGGTTATTGAGACACAGGTAAGCAGTGCAAGAAGATGCTAATATTCTGGCTACTTTAGTTGCTATGAGTATTAAAGTCCTTTGATTTGGGGAAGGGGGAAAATTAGTAATTTACAAGATAGTGGAAATCTTTGGGCACTTTTCAATATTATTTTCATTTCCCAGAGGCCTGATTAAAGACTACTTCCTGAAATCTAACTCAGGAAAACCTGAAGATTTTGAGACTTCCTAGAAAACTGAGTTCTAGGTTTCTCTGGTTTTCCTAAAGCATCTATGGGCCTGTCTCTGGCTTCTGAAAAACTAATTTGAGTGGGGCTTAAGTTATGATCTGTGCTGGTTGGCCAAGCTTTAGCTGAGCCAGTTGTTTGGTATGTGTGTGGCAAAGGGCATGGCTACCTCTTGTCTTCAGCTTCCTGCTTCTGGGTAAGTTAATGGTTACTTTAAGGGAAGATTGTGATGAAGCTTGTTATCCAGGTGTTGAACCCATGCTCTAATCCTATAACAGAATCAGTAGACCTTGCAGAGAAATTCACCACCGGGCATCTAGCCACAGCAGGCCCCTTTTGCATGCAGGGCACACTGCTCAGAGCAATTGTAGGTAGAACCCAGCTGAATTCAGTTTGCATTTAATTCCCTTCTAAGCCTGGGAGGTCTTGTAAGTTACAGCCAGATGTTGACTACATAGTTTTGCTCCACAATCACAAAGCCAGACCTTTCTTGGGCAGAATAGCTTAATTTGGGGAGGATGGACTACTTCTTCTCACCAAATGGGCTCCATACCTGTGGGAGGGAGTTGAGGATGGATACTTGTTTTTCTGTGGTGACAGTTTGGTACAAACACCACAGGTGCTTTGAAGACAAGGAATCAGGTGTTCTGTTTTCAGCCTTACCTGTGAGAATAGCAGGGCTCTGAGTAAGGGGTGGTATTAAAGAGGGAGAAGGAATAGATTTCATTTTAGCAATTAATTGGCCTTTAGACTTGGAGACAGGATGTGAGTTGATTAGCTGGTATCTTAGTATTAACTTGTGGAACTGGAATTATAAGAGGAATAAATTGTCAACACCCTTCATGTTTGTGTTTGTTTTAGCGTTTACCGTCACAAGGAGATCTCTGCCCCCTGGGGCTGAGACCCTCAGCCCTTCACCAAGCTGAAGCTGCCGCGTATTGAGGTACCAGCTAGATGTCTTCTCACAAAGGACCTGTGGTGGCACAGGGCATTGGGGCTCCTGCCAATAACAGGGAGACGGACACAGTGGAGCTGGCTGAACTGGGACCCCTGCTAGAAGAGAAGACCAAACGGGGAATCGCTGACCCAACCAAAGTGAGTTGTCTTCTGGGAGCCATTCCCTCGATCAGCATTTCTCCTAAACCTCTGTTGGTCTCCGTTTTTTAAGATCTCCCCAAAGGAGGAACCAGACACCCTGGGAATGTCTCGTCTCAGTCCTTATCGTGCTGTATCACAAGTATCTTTGTTTGTTCACTGGGAGCTCTGATGAGTTCACTCATCTTTATAACTCAGTGCTGAACACAAGGCCCGAAACCCAGTAAGTAATTAGCACATGTCTGAGTGAATGAAGGATGCAGTTAGGATCAGGTTTGCTTCATATAACACAAAAACCCCTGTGACTCCGGCAAGACAGAAGTCTGTTCAGTAAGAGAATTCTAGAAGGAACCAGGCCAAGGTGTGTGGAGGCCGCACCCTGTCAGGCACCTGTCTTGCTCCTCTTTCATTAAAAAAAAAAAAAAGTGGAGTTTTTTTGTTTGTCTTTGTTTTTTAGTTTACTGGGTGATGTTGGTTAATAAAATTTTACAGGTTTCAGGGGTACAGTTCTATAATACATCGTATATCTATTGTATTGTGTGTGCACCACCCAAAGTAAAGTCTCCTTCCATCACCATTTATCCCTTCTTTACCCTCGTCTACTCCCCACTTTCTTCTGGTAATCACCGTGACTCACAGACACAAGAGAGTAGATTGGCAGGTGTCAGAGGGGAGGAGGTTGTGGGACTGGATGGAAAAGGTGAAGGGGTTAAGCAAAAAAAAAAATCTCCTTCTTTCTTAATGTCACCCATTATGCCCACACACCGGCCACCACAAGGGGGAGGGGAAGGAGAAGGACCCACGCTCTCTGGAAGTGTCTCACAACACTGCCATCTGCATCCCATTTGCAGAGCTCCTTGTGTCGTCACATTCATAAGTGGAGGTTGGGCAGTTCAGCCTTTCACTGCACAACACCACGGACTCTGCTGCGGGGACAAGAGAGTGTGTGGCGCTTGGAATAGGCCAGCAGGGGTCTGTGTCACACGGTCAAAGAGGGGCCATCTGCTTATCAGGGACCATCGACAGGAGAGAGAGGATAGCTCAGGGAAGGAGCTGAAGTATCGGGCTCTCCTCCATGGTTTGGAGTCTTAGGAGAGAGTTGGGAAAAGTTGAGAACCACTGTCCTAGAGACTGGAGAGGCAGGGGGAGCATTCAGACTTAAAGAACATTTGGGACTGCTGTACTCCTCCGTGGCCGGTCTCTGTCAGCCTGTCTCCTGCATGCTGAAGTGAACTTGCACTCTGGCATTTACACAATATTAGTACACCTTGTTGTTAATAACTTATTAACTATCATGCTTTTGGAGAAGAGGCCACAAGGCCCTGTGCACAGTGTTGAGTTTGGGTTTCCCTGGATATGTCTGATCTGAAATATTCAGCACGGTTGATGAGAGAGCCACTACTATTGGTGCGTGTGTTTGTTCCTGCAGGCTGAAGAAGAGCAAGCATGCCCAGGGCCCCAGGAGGAGGAGGAGGAGGTCCGGGTGCTGACACTTCCCCTGCAAGCACACCACGCCATGGAGAAGATGGAGGAGTTCGTGTACAAGGTGCGTGCGGCCTGAGGACTGTTGTGCTGGAGGGAGCTGCGGCAGGCTTACTGGGCATGTCCCGGCTGGTGGGCCTGCTGGGCTGAAGACCTTTTACTCTTGTATGTAGACTTCTTTTTGCTTAAGGTGCAGTCAGTCAGTTGAGGGCTAGCAATTTTTTATTGCCTCATGTGTTAAACATTGCTCAAAACATATCCTAAAACAGGAGATCTTAATTTTTTGCTATGGATCCCTTTGGCAGTCATCAAAATATTAAAATGTGATAGAGTAGCCCTGGCCAGTTTGGCTTAGCAGTTAGAGCGTCGGCCTGTGGTCCAGAGAGACCCAGGTTCAGTTCCCGCTAGGGGCACGTACCTCGGTTGCAGTTTGTCCCCGGCCCTGGTTGGGTCATATGGGTGGCAACCACTCGATGTGTCCCTTTCACGTCGATGTTTCTCTCTCTCTCTCTCTTTCTCTCTCTCTCTTTCTCTCTCTCTCTCTCTCTCCCACTCTGTCTGAACAAAATACCGAAAAATGTCCTTGGGTGAGGATTAAAAAAAAAAAGTGATAGAGTAGTGTGGGCTCCTTTATTAATACATTAAATATGCATTAATGACAAGCTATAAAATATTTTATTAAAATATATTTTTTTACTTATTTATATACTTTTATATTGATTGATTTTTTTTTTATTCCTCACCTGAGAATATTCTTCTACTTATTATCAGATAAAGTGGGAGGGAAAGAGAGTGAGACAGAGAGAAACATCAACATGATAGAGCCACGTTGACTGGTTGCCTCCCGCACAGCCCAACCAGGGCCAGGACAAGCCGCAACCGATGTACGTGCCCTTGACCAGAATTGAACCTGTGACTCATTGGTCCGAGGGCCAACGCTCTAACTGCTGAGCCAAGCCGGTCAGGGCTATTTATTGATTCTTTTAGAGAGAGAGAGAAAAAAATATGGATTTGTTGTTCCCTTATTTATGCATTCATTGGTTGATTCTTGTCTTTGCCCTGACTGGGGATCAAACCCACAAACAACCTTGACATATTGGGACAATGCACTAACAAACTGAGCTAGTCGGCCAGGGCAAAATTTATAAGTTCTAAGTAGTGATGAATAGAAATATTTTGATATCTGCAGAACTAATGTATGAAAGTAACAGTGATTTCTGCTGGTGATAGAGTCACAGTTCTAATCCTAGTGTGGTATGTTGCTTACATTTATAATTGAGGGAAATGTTAAATTTTAGTTACAGGTAAGTAAAAATGAAGATAAGTTTTTTCCATCTACTCCCTGATTCTGCCCACTGTCCATGTGTCCTAGGTTCAGAACCCCTGCTCTAAAAGACATTATTTCAACCTGGTGAGAATTTAGAATCTGCTGGGGGGATAGAGCAGGGAACAATCAGAATCTCCAGGAGAGGGGCCAAGGAGGGCTGACATGTATGGTTTTAAAAAGCCATATGTATAATTTCTGTTTCTTTTTATTCACTGTATTTACTTAGTTTTGACATTTCAAGTAGCTTAAAGGAGGCCCTGCCATATCTTCTTCCATGTGGCCAGGTGAGCTGCATGGGACGGGAGCACTGCTCACTGAGAAGGTGGTCGGGTCAGTCAGGGCCCTGGACCTCCAGATCCATGCCGGCTCCCCTCACCTAAGCCCATTCAAAGCCTGGCCGATGTCCTCCTCCACCCTGTGTCGTTAGGAAAATTAGTGTTCTCTAGGGCCCTGCTGAAAGAGCGTGTGTACAGTTGACCCCTGAATGACAGGGGTTAGAGATGCCCACCCTCTGCAAAGCTGAAACACCCACGTATAAGTGGACTTGTACATTTCAAACCCACATTGTTGAAGAGTCAACTATTCTAGGTCTGGGAGGGACGCTGGAGGGTCATCCCGTATGATGTGCTCCCTGACTGGCTGAAGGACAACGACTACCTGCTGCACGGCCACAGGCCTCCCATGCCCTCCTTCCGGGCTTGTTTCAAGAGCATCTTCCGCATCCACACAGAGACAGGCAACATCTGGACCCACCTGCTTGGTGAGTCGTCTGTGTGGGATTAACCTTTGTTTCTGGGAAGGAAGAACCAAGTTGTTCTGATGGACTGAAAACTGGCATTGTGCCTCCAAACTGCCAGCGGGGTTGGTTGACTCTTGGTCACTGGTCTTTAAGACAGGTGGCTGGGAGGGGGAGCTAGAAATGGGAGGAGAAAATGCAACTAGGTGTTCTCTTGTGAGACCTGGAAGAACTGTCCAGCATGGAGGTAATTCCTTCCAGTTCACGAATTCGTAGCAAAATGCCAACTTTTGTTTTACATGATCATTTTGTCTGGGTTTATGTGACTGGTGCCATTTTCTCCTGACATATTGGACTGCAGCGTGCACAGCCCGGCCGGCGGGCTCAGCCCTGACTTAACGCCATCGGCTGTCGAAATGCACACATTCTTCAGCTTTGTTTCTTCCTCCTCAGGTTTTGTGCTGTTTCTCTTCCTGGGAATCTTGACCATGCTCAGACCAAACATGTACTTCATGGCCCCCCTGCAGGAGAAGGTGGTTTTTGGGATGTTCTTTTTGGGTGCAGTGCTCTGCCTGAGCTTCTCCTGGCTCTTTCACACCGTCTACTGTCATTCAGAGAAAGTCTCTCGGACTTTTTCCAAGTGAGTGAGACTTGACATCACGGGAGGTGGGGGGTGGGACCAGGCCCTGTTGTCACACCCTGTGATCTGACTGCCGGAACCCTGGAGCCCAGTGACTCCTAACGATGCCCTGCAGGGTGATGAGCTTCCCTCATAAATTCTTCAGGAAACTGCCCTGGCCGGTTTGGCTCAGCGGTTAGAGCGTCGGCCTGCGGTCCTGAGAGACCCGGGTTCGGTTCCCGCTAAGGGCGCGTACCTCGGTTGCAGTTTGTCCCCGGCCCTGGTCGGTTGTGCGGGTGGCAGCCACTCGATGTGTTCCTTTCGCATTGATGTTTCTCTCTCTCTCTCTGTTCCTCTCTCTCCCTCCCACTCTACCTGAACAAAATAAAACGGAAAAATGTCCTCAGGTGAGGATAAAAAAAAAAAAAAAAAAATTCTTCAGGAAACATTCCCGGCAGCCTCCTCAACAGCTGGAACCCAGTTGTGGAATATATTTCCTACCTGCACAGTACTGTCCTGTGTGAAACTGGGTGCCAGTGGGCTGCTCTCGGGGACCAAGTGCCTGAGCCAAGCAGGGTGTGGTGCCGTGTCCTGGGCTTAGGTCTGCGTTGCTCCTACCCACAGCCATGGAGCTTATCTTTGCCGCCCACACACGGCTGGAAGCCCCAGATGTCTGTCATCTGGAGCCTTCCATGACCCAGCTCTGAGCCTGCGGTTCCATGCTGCCTGTTTTTGTTGTTGTTATGGGTTTTGGTGGTGGATTATTCTGTTTTTCCCAATAACACCAGTGACAGGAATACACTTTAATCATCTAAAAGTCGATTAAAACAGAGCAGTACCCCTTAACACTACTCTCAATTTAAAGTTTTGTTTTTAGAACTCAACCTGTCAGAACTGGGGTACATTCAGAGCCCTTCCTGAACATAAAGCTGGGAACCAGCTGGGCTGTGATGGAGCTCCTGATTTTAAGTGCCCTCTGGGGGGACATGGCTCTTAATGACTGAGGGAGAGAGAAAGAGTTCTGTGACTGGGACTCTTAGCAAAAATAAGTTCTTGACCTTGTGGGATTTCAATCCAGGACATAGACAGGAGATGGGATGGTCAGATGTGCAAGCAGCTGAAGAATAGGAAAGAAACAGTCAAACAAGCCATGGGAGGTCTTCCTTTATCCAGCTGATGTGACTCCATGTTGTGGCTCTTTTCAGACTGGACTATTCAGGGATCGCTCTGCTGATTATGGGGAGCTTTGTGCCCTGGCTCTACTACTCCTTCTACTGTTCCCCGCAGCCGCGGCTCATCTACCTCTCCATCATCTGCGTCCTGGGCATCTCCGCCATCATTGTGGCACAGTGGGATCGGTTTGCCACTCCTAAACACCGGCAGACACGGGCAGGTGGGTATGAAGACAGTGCTAACCTCACAGGTATTTCAACCTTAACCCTAGTAGGCTCAACCTTAAGCCCTAAGGTTTGCAGTTTGAGGACTCCATGCAAACCCTGATTTGTGTTTAGAACTCTGAGAGCAGTGTGGATTTTTTAAAAATATGTTTTTGTTTATTTTTGAAGGCAGGGAGAGAAAGAGAAATGTCGATGTGAAAGAGAAACATCGATCGTACACACTCCCGCAGGGGATTGAACCTACAACCTGGGTATATGCCCTGACTGGGAATCGAACAGGCCACCCTTTTTCCCCCTCTTTATTGATTTTTGGAGAGGGAGAGAGAAGCATTGATGAGAGAGAACATCGATTGGCCGCCTCCTGCACGCCCCCCACTGGGGATCGGGCCCACAACCTGGGCATGTGCCCTGACCGGGAATCAAATCGGTGACCTCTTAGTGCATGGGTCAGTGCTCAGCGACTGAGCCACACTGGCTGGGCAAATGACAACATATTTTAAATTGACTTAGGCTTTTTTTGTTATTTTTTTAATGTACCAAGCATGGTCATTTTAGTGACCTGAGTCCTAAGCACTCAAAACAAGGAGTTAACATGAAAACACCCAGAGTTGTTTTACTAGCGAATAGAAGGCTTGGTTTGAGCATAAACACTGGTCACAACTGTTGTAATGGCTACAAGCATGAACATCTTTTTTTATTTTTATTTTTTAATGTTTTACTGATTTTGAGAGAGAGGAAGGGAGAAGGAGAGATACATAGAAACATCAATGAGAGAGAAACATTGATCGGCTGCCTCCTGCTCACCCCCTACCAGGGATCAAGCCCACAAACTGGGCACATGCCCTGACCAGGAATCAAACCAGCAACCTCTGGGTACACGGGTTGATGCTCAGCCACTGAGCCGCCCTGGCTGGGCCAAGCATGAACATCTCTGGGCTGTCCCATCTACATTCTTATTTTAAGCTTTATTATTTGCAGTAACACCAGTGACCTCTCTAGATTTCTTATTACCTGGTGTATCATAACCTTCAGTTAAAAGAATTAAATGTTCACCAAGCATCAACCATGTGTCGGGGATGGTGCTTTAAGCATGGCGTATCTGCAAAAGTGAAGGTGCCCCTGCTGTCCCGTCGTGTGCGCTGCTGTGGCGTTGGGACAGGTGCCCATTTTTCCCTTCCTCTTATCTCACTAGTCTGTCTCAGCAGCCACGACAGCTTCTAAGCTGGGTGTTTCTGCCTGCTCAGGGGGTCAGAGTCTTGGGAACTTAAGTCTTTATGCTCTTACTGGGAAACTTGTCCACTCCTCTCTGCTTGAAGCCACCGGAAACTTTGCCGTCTGGGTTCTGTACCCAAGTCAGCCCCTGGAAGCTTTGGTCTCATCTTTGCCCAGCAGTGATGGAGAGTGTGAGTGTTTGTTCTCCGAGCCGGTTGGAGGGTCCTGGTCATAGCAGCACTGGCACAGCCTACTTCCCATCCCATGTGTCAGAGAACTCCCTGCTGACTGTTCTCCATTTTGTGGCCAAAATTCCTGAATAAATAGCTAATTATCATAGACACCTGAATTTCAGAGTGAAGCAACAGTGCACCGGTCCCCTCCCTGACAGTCTTGTGTGCGCTCTGTGCAGGGGTGTTCCTGGGCCTTGGCCTGAGCGGCGTCGTGCCTACCATGCACTTCACTATCGCCGAGGGCTTTGTCAAGGCCACCACTGTGGGCCAGATGGGCTGGTTCTTCCTCATGGCTGTGATGTACATCACCGGAGCCGGCCTGTATGCTGCTCGCATTCCTGAGCGCTTCTTTCCTGGAAAGTTTGACATCTGGGTAAGAAATGGCTCTCCCGGCAGTCTGGTCAGGGACCAGCCCCAGTGAAAGGTGTGCGCAAAGGCAGCGAGAGGCGTGGGCTGTGTGGTGTTCGGTACATACGTGTCCAGAGGAGGTGGGGCTGGGAGCAGCCAATGTGAGCATTTTGGTGCATTTCTGATAGAACTTTAAAAAAATTTTCTACAGCAAATATATCACTTTCATGATATAAAACAATGTTTAAGGAGAAACTAGATAAATGAAGAGCTTTTTCCTCCTTTCCGATCCCTCCTTGCCGTTACCTAAGGGTCATCTCTTGTTCTTACAGTTCCAGTCACATCAAATTTTTCATGTCCTGGTGGTGGCAGCAGCCTTCGTCCACTTCTATGGGGTCTCCAACCTTCAGGAATTCCGCTACGGCTTGGAAGGCGGCTGTACTGATGACTCCCTTCTCTGAGCCTCCCGCCTGAGGCTGGAAGGGGAACTTCCCAAGTGCTTTCAAAAATAACTTCTTTGCTGAAGTGAGAGGAAGCGTCTGAGTTGTCTGTTTCTAGAAGAAACCTCTCGGAGAACTCAGTGCCGGCCTGGCTTCAGCCCACTTTCCCACCTCAGGGTGGGGGATGAACTCTCCACATCCCTCACCGAGGAAGGGGGGTCCGCTTGGCCATGCCCCTCCTCAGCAGCCCTTCCTCAGCAAGGCAGCTCTGTCCCCTTGGCACAGAGTACTTTGAAGCTCATGTTGAGATTTTACCCTCCTCCAACCATTTTGGGAAAAAATGATAGACTGGGACTCTTCAGAAATTCTGTTTCTGGAAGAAAATGTCCCTCCCTTACCCCCGTCCTTACTTTGTAACCTGGCTTAGAACAGGCCGTACATTTTGTAGCACACTTTTCAGAAACAATGGTAACCCAGGCCCATGCTCTGAGGCCTGGACCCACTGACAGCAGGAGGACAGTCACCAACTGGGACGTAGCTGGCCAATCATGGAAGTGTGTCCAGGCTTCAGACAGCCTGAGTTTTAATTTTTTTCTTGGCAGAGTAATGTAAAATTAAAATGGGGAAAGATATTTAATATTTAATACTAAGCTTTAAAAAGAAGTCTGCTATCATTGCTATGTATCCTGATGCAAAGGCTGTGGCGATAATAAAAGGAAGTACAGAAGACAATTAGCATTCAGAGATTTAACGTGTGGTCTCAACTATCTGCACATAACGCCAAAGGATTAAAACTGGGAAAGTAATTTCAGATTCTGCTGAGGCACAAACGGAACCACAGGCTTTGACAGGCTGGCATTTGGGAGCCAGTGAATAAGCCCAGTAGAATTCCTAGCATCAATTCCATACAGCCTTAGTTTTCTCTACTTGTTGCACAGAATTTTACTAGATAAGTGATTATGCTAAAAATGATTTAATTAGAAGATTTTCAAAGGTGTTGGGATATATCCCTATGAATATCAAAGGTCTACTGCATATTACTCTAGGGTTTAGTTCTTTTAAGACTGCCTTGTTTAGGGTTGTCTCATCAAGAGATCCCAGCTGGTGTGGCTCAGTGGTTAAGGTCGACCCTATACCAAGAGGTTACCGGTTCGATTCCTGGTCAGGGCACATGCCCAGGTTGTGGGCACATGCCCAGGTTGTGGGCCCATCCCCAGTGGGGGCAGGCAGGAGGCGGCCAATCGATGTTCTCTCTCATCGATGTTTATCTCTGTCTTTCCCTCTCCCTTCCTCTCTCTCTAAAGTCAATAAAGAAAGAAAATAAGAAGAGGTTATTCCCTGCGTTTCCGTGCCTTTGAAATTACCTTCACCCGGCATGAGTTGTGTGCATAGTGTGTGGCAGTCATTTCCAGCTAACACAGGCAGTGAGAGGGCAGTCTTCCCAAGTTAGGTTTGTTCAAGATTGTACAACTGGGAGAATGGATGATCCTGTTGAGAAGTAATCCAGATAGTCTGATGAACAGGAAAACATGCTCAATCTCAAATGGTAATTGGGGAAATGTAAATGAAAACCAGTGATAAACCATTTCACCACCACTGGATCAGCACACATTAAAAGGCCTAACACTGAGTGTCATGTTGATGTTGAGAAGACCAGGAACAACGTTGGTGGGACCAGTTTTGTTGAGGTACATAGAGTAGGTGCATGTGTTGCAACATCCAAACACTACCTTACAATGAGATGCATCTAAAATTCATCCTAGCCCTGGCCGGTTTGGCTCAGCGGTTAGAGCGTCAGCCTGCGGTCCAGAGAGACCCGGGTTCGGTTCCCGCTAAGGGCACGTACCTCGGTTGCAGTTTGTCCCGGCCCTGGTTGGGTTGTGCGGGTGGCAGCCACTCGATGTGTCCCTTTCACGTCGATGTTTCTCTCTCTCTCTCCCTCCCACTCTATCTGAACAAAAAATGGAAAAATGTCCTCGGGTGAGGATTAAAAACAAAACAAAATAAAATTCATCCTAAATTCATTTTTTAAAAATGTCGGTTCTGGCCCTGGCTGGGTAGCTCAGTTTGGTTAGAGCATTGTTCCAACACGCCAAGGCTTTGGGTTCAATCCCCAGTCAGGGCACATACAAGAATCAACGAATGCACAAATAAGTGGAACAACAAATCAATGTTACTCTAAAATCAATATATAAAAGGGGTTTTTTTTGTTTGTTTTTATCCTCACCTAAGGAAATTTTTGCATTTATCTTGAGATAGAGCGGGAGGGAGAGAGAGAGAAACATCAATGAGAGAGACACAACGAGTGGTTGCCACCCACATGACCCCAACCAGGGCCAGGGACAAACCGCAACCGAGGTACGTGCCCTTAGTGGCAACCAAACCCAGGCTTCTCTGGCAGGCTAACGCTCTAATCGCTGAGCCAAACCGGCCAGGGCAAAAGGGTTTTTTGGTTTTTTTTAAGCGAGTTCTGACCCACTAAATGGTTTCATAATTCATGAATGGCTCACAATCCACACTTTGAAAACCACTACCCTTGAGAAATAGCTGGCATCAAAAGATTCACTGCAGCCCTGGCTGGTGTGGCGCTAGTGGATTGGGCATCGTCCTGTGGACTGAGAGATCCCAGTTCAATTCCCAATCAGGGCACATACCCAGGTTGAAGGCTCGAATCTCAGAGGGGATGTGCATGAGGCAGCCAATCGATGTTTACCTCTCACATCAATGTTTCCCTCTCTCCCTCTCTCAAAAAATCAAAAACAATATAAAAGTCCAGCCAGTGTGGCTCAGTGGTTGAGCATCTACCCATGCACCAAGAGGTCCAGTTCGATTTCCAGTCGGCACATGCCCAGGGTGTGGGCCAAATCCCCATTGGGGGTAATGCAGGAGGCAGCCAATCGATGTTCTCTCTCATCAATATTTCTATCTCTCCTTCTCCCTCTCTCTCTCTCTAAAATCAGTAAAGAAAAAGAAAGTTGCTGGTTCAATTTCAGATGACACATGCTTAGGTTGAGGGCTTCATCCCCCCAGTGGGGGGCATGCAGGAGACAGCCTATGGATGTTCAATTCAGCTCTTACACCTCACATTGATGTTTCTTTCTTCCTCTCTCTAAAAATCGATAAAAATATTTGTTTGTTTTTTATCCTCACCCGAGGACATTTTTTGATATTTTGTTCAGATAGAGTGGGAGGGAGAGAGAGAAAGAGAAACATCGACGTGAAAGGGACACATCGAGTAGTTGCCACCCGCACAACCCAACCGGGGTCGGGGACAAACTGCAACCGAGATACGTGCCCTTAGTGGGAACCGAACCCGGATCTCTCAGGACCGCAGGCTGACGCTCTGACCACTGAGCAAACCGGCCAGGGCGATAAAATATTTTTAAAAATTCATTGCCGCTTTATGTAGTTGCAACGAATTGCAATGAAGCCAAATGTCCCAAACTGTTGAACGGAAAATAAATCTTGGTTTATTCACATAACGAAACACTAGCAGTGAAAATTTAATTACAGTGACAACTTACAGGACCTGTCTGGTCTGATTGCATTTAAGTTCAAAATTTTCAAAATTAATGATAGTATAAGGATACAAATATGGTAAGATTTTAAAAAGGAAATGCTAATTCAGAAAAAAATAGTTACTTCTGAAGAGGTGAGAAGAGCAGGAGAGGAGTACACAGGATATTTCAGAACTGTAGCTTGTATATATTTTTAACTAGACAGTGAGGGCCCAGGTGTTTCTTAAACCATGATTATTTTTCTTGCACATATATAATAAGTATGTCCTTTAAAAAAATTTTTTTTTCTTTATTGATTTTAGAGGAAGTGAAAGACAGAAACAACGATGAGAGAGAACCTCAATTGGCTGCCTCCTGCATGCCCCCCACTGGGGATTGGGCCCACAACCTGGGCATGTGCCCTGCTGGGAATCAGGGCTCTTTGCCCAACCACTGAGCCACACAGCCGGGGACACACACACACACAAGTATGTTCTTTTAATAAAATACTTTTTTAATCCCCACCAGAGGATTTTTTTCATTTATCTTCAGATACAGTGGGAGGGGGGGAGAGAGAGAGAGAAACATTGATGTGAGAGAGACATGGATTGGTTGCCTCCTGCAGGTCCCCAAACTGGCTGGGACCCAACCGCAACCCAAGTATGTGCACTGGACCTGAATCCAACCCGGGACTCTGGCCCGCAGACCCATGCTCTAACCACGGAGCCAAACTGGCCAAAGCAAAACACCATCTTAAGTTTTTAAAAAGACGCAGGCTGATAGCGGGAGCCCCGTGGTTCCGACGTGCTCGGGCCTGCGGCGGGAGTGGGCAGCTGCGTGCTCCCCGGAGGGTGCGCGCCCGGCCCGCGGAGTCCCCGCTTCGGAGCCATCCGTGCGTGTCCCACGGGCGGAAGCGGAGCTTGGCGCTCAGGGGCGAGGCCCCGGAGGACGAGGCCCCGACGGCCGCAGGGGAGAACAGCTGACACTCCGACCCTGGCCTTTCCTGTCCGTGAACACAACGGAGGGGCGCTAACATCCGTCTACAGAGCATCCTTCCCAGTTCTAAGTTAGGGCGCACGACACATCCAAGGAAATGGCTGAACGCTGTCGGTCCGGCCGGCCGGGAGGCCACAGCCCAACGCTGGGGACGCTCGCGGGGCCGGGGCGCGAGGGCGGACGTCGGGGCTCCGGGACCCGGGCCCGCCCGAGGCCGCAGAGAAACGGCCTCCGTGCACCGCAGGGTCGCCGCGTCCCCGGCAAGGATGCCACCGCCACCTGTGCCGGGAGGCTCGCCGCTCGCCGCTGCGCCGACCTCCCCTCCGGCTCCGGGGGGCGCGGCCGCGGACGGGCGCGCCGCGCGCTGACGTCATCACGTCGCGCGGTCGCGGGGCCGACGGAGCCTGGCCAGCGCGGGGACGGCTCCGGGCCACCGAGGGCGGCGGTGCGCCTGGCTCCTCCCGAGCCGCCTGTGGCCGCGCGCCCTCTCCCCCCACGGCGGGCGCAGGTGAGCCGACGGGCAGGGAGCCGCCCGCCCTCCCCACCCGGCGGGCCTGCCCTCCCCCCACGGCGGGCCTGCCCCGCGCTGTCCGCCTCCGCGGCGCCGAGCGGCGGGACTCGGCTCAGCCCCGGGCCTCCGCGGCGCCGCCCGGGTTCGTCGGGCCGCCGCCTCCCCCGCCTGGGCGGAGCGGTTCCCGAGGCGCCCGCGGCGCGACCCCCGCTCCGTGGTCTGGGACGTTCTGGGGGGTGTGACCAGCTGGACCCTGAAACGGCGCAGCCCGGTGCGGGCCGAGGCCGGTGGGCCCCCGCGGTCCTCACGGTGAGTGCGCGTGGCCCCGACCTGCGGCCTCGCGGAGTCGCACCGGGTTGGGAGACGTGCGCGGTGGCGCTGCGCCCGGCCCGCCGCGCTGGGGCGCCCGGGGTGCCGGCCGCGGGCCCGCCCGGGACCCTGTTCGCGGCTCAGACCTCGCGGTGGTGGGTCGTGGAGTCTTGTGGTTTTACTTTCCCTTGAATCTTTTCGGAAAATGTTGGACGGGATGCCAAACCAGATAGTCTCTCAATAACCACCCGTTTCATTCCCCGGAAGTTGTTGTTAAAGAAAAAGAAGTGGCTCCAGCCTGTCAACAACCCAGAAAGCACTTCTTAGGGTGATGTGACGGGTTGCTGAGCTCGTTCGACGGATGCATGCGAGTGACGACCGGCAGGACCTGGGCAGTGCCTGTCCTAATGAGGCTCTTTTCTGATTCTTCGTGTAGAAGAACTTCTGCAAGTACCGATTTGCTGGTGTTGATGGACGTCTACTAGTGACGTAGAGGGGAAGACCCTTCTGTAGAACTGCAGTAGCTTAATCCAGTGAAAGTGCACAGACCAGCTTGCTTGGTTTCCGTTGCTTAGGGTAGGTGCTGTGTCCTCACTGGGTCAGGTGTATTTGGAAGTCTTCACAGATCATTCTCTGCATATTTTTTTAGAAAAAACGTTATTTTCACTGACTCTGGCTGTACTGCCCTAAGTTGAATACACACTTCTTTTTGCATTCATTCACTACAAATTTCTTACACCTGCTATGACAAAATATATATATATATATATATACACACATATATATATATATACATACTACAGATCACTCTCTAAATACCCATTTAATCTACTTATGGATGTTCAGTATAGTGATACACACATTTAAGCAATTTTATTTTTACATCACATCATTTCAGACAACAGCCTGTGAAGGTGGGCAGAGCCTGATAGTTTCTATGTACAGTGCAGTTGAGTGTTGATGACGAGTAGCAGGGGACAGGGGCACTCTATTGGGATTCAGAGACGGGGAGATCATTCCTACTTGGGACAGTTAGTGGCTGGATTGTGGTGGTGCCAGGGATAGGTGTGCTCTCTGTTCCATGTTTGACTCCAAGGAAGCCTCCTTCATTTGTAAAGCTACTTGGAAATGTTCCATTTCTCCAGTCCTTTGAATACGCTTATTGTTTTTTCTTCTTGTATTTCCAGAAACCGAGGACCCCTTTCCTTGTGTCTCCACATTGCTTAATGGGAGGCATTATGGCCCCCAAAGACATCATGACAAACACACATGCCAAGTCCATCCTCAATTCAATGAACTCCCTCAGGAAGAGCAACACCCTGTGTGATGTGACTCTGAGGGTGGAGCAGAAGGACTTCCCTGCCCATCGGATCGTGCTGGCTGCCTGCAGCGACTACTTCTGTGCCATGTTCACCAGTGAGGTAAGACACACACCCTGGTGGTGGTTTCATAGCACTGAATAAAAGGAGAAGTTTGACAGGATGGTGGTCAGTGGGCAGGCTCTGGCACAATCAGCCACTTGCTATGCCTTATTAATTCACCTTAAATTTGGGATGAAGTCATACATAATAGCATTGTTATTGTAACAGTTACTTGGGAAAATTACCCGCAAATTGCTTAGAATAATGTCTAGCATGAGATGAAACACACTAATGTCAGCTTTCAGTTTTAATTACTGCTTTTTAAAAATATGTTTTTATTGATTTTTTTAGAGAGAGAAGAAGGGAGAGAGAGAAAGAAACATTGATGTGAGAAAGAAACATCAATGGGCTGCCTCCTGCACACCCCCAGCAGGGATCGAACGCACAACTTGGGCATGTGCCTTGACCGGGGATCGAACCAGAACCTCAGTCCACGGGATGACGCTCAGTCCACATCAGCCAGGGCTTATTTACTGCTTTTTAAATGCTTTCCTGTTTTCGTCCTTCTAGAGTTTAATATTTTAAAATGAGTACTGGTGGGAAGTAGGGAGGGAGAGAACGACCAGGAGTGGGGTCAGCATTCACTCTGCCAGTGTGGACTGTGAAGTGATTCCCAGTGAGAGGAAGAGGACTCGAGTGACTGTGCATGTGTATGAGTCTCTCGTGGACAGATGCTGACCTGGGCATCAGCAGTTAACAGAGGGGCTGGGAAGAAGCTGGCTTGACCAGAGACAGGGCAGTGCTCACGAAGTTTGAGGAAGGCTGTCAGTGATCGAGAACACTCAGCACGTGCAGGAGGCGGCTGGATGGAACAGGTGTTCTTAGAAAGCTGAGCAGAGGAGAGCACTGCTGGGGAAATCTCCCTGGACCGAGAGACCAAACAAAGAAGCTGGCGACTCTGTCGTTATCAGTGTTTATTAAGGGACCTTACGTAGACGTCCTCCACATGGCAGGGCTGAAAGGGTCTAACGAACAGGCAGCATGGGTCAGGGGAACACACCTGCCCCATGGAGGTCTAGAGCTATAACCCACAGGGTCCTCTGCAAGCATGAAGTCACGTTACAATGTTGAGTTTTACCTTGAAAGTTCACGGGCACGAGCGTAGCGTTCACGGCGCTGCCGCATCCTGCTCTGCGCTGCATCTGTGGTCCCAGTACAAAGCAGTGCTCAGACTATTCGCTGCTGAAATTGATAGTCCAGCCCGGCCTGTGTGACTCAGTCATCAAGTGTCGACTGGTGCTCCGGAAGGTCGCCGGTTCGAATCCCAGCCCGGGCATATGCCTGGGTTGCGGGCTCTGCCCAGTAGGAGGCATGCAGGAGGACCTTGATGTTTCTCTCTCATTAATGTTTCTTTCTCTCTCTCTAGAATCAAAACCTTTTTTTTTTTAAATGATACTCCAAGATGTCACCTCACTGTGCTCTTGGGTTACATACAGTTCTTTCCCCATTGGAGCACTGACAGACATGTGCCATGTTTGCTTTATACAAATCAAACAGAGCAGACCATGCCTTTTAGAAGATGTGTATTCAGTTATTATTTTTTAATGTCTTTATTGGTATTTTAGAGAGAGGAAGTGAGAGGGAGAGAGAGAGAGAACATCGACTGGCCGCCTCCTGCATGCCCCCCACTGGGGATCCAACCCACAACCCGGCATGTCCTGACCAGGAATCAAACCAGCAACTTCTTGGTGCAACTTCTGGGTTGACCCTCAACCACTGAGCCAGACCAGCCAGGCTTCAGTTAATATTATTAACATCCCTTCAGGCTCTTGATTATGAGGTGCTACCTTTATCTTGGGGAATTATAACCACCAGTATTTCACACCCTTTGAATTTCCAGCTTTCAGAGAAGGGGAAACCCTATGTCGATATCCAGGGTTTAACAGCCTCTACCATGGAAATCCTGCTGGACTTCGTGTACACAGAAACGGTGCATGTGACAGTGGAGAACGTGCAGGAACTGCTCCCTGCAGCCTGTCTGCTCCAGCTGAAAGGTACTGGTGTCACTGTTGTTCGTGCCAGGGTGGCCCTGGCACGTTTTAAACAAAGGGTGTCAACTTCACCATGAGCCGATGGAGAGAGCAGGCACTCACACTGACTGCCCGTGGCACAGAGATCGGGTGTCAGGTGTAAGACAGGGCCGCTCCTGATGTGAGTGCTTGGCTCCAGACCATTCGCACCTGTTCTGTTCTCAGAAGAATGAAGGAGGAGACGACAGGTGCATTTTCACGCACACAGTGCCCCTGCAAGATGACAGGGGCCCGATGCTGTTCGTTGCCACGTAGAGGAGGCAAGGTGCCCAGGGGAGTAGGGAGGCGAGGGGGACTGTTCATGGGAAATCCTTTGTACCTTTAATTTTCTGAACCATGTAAACTGTATTAAAAACCTGACACACAAAAATGAAGATGTCAAGTTTTCACAGAATTAGCGATGAAGCCCCTTCCAGGGCCAGTCTGCTTTCTCCGCCTCCAGTGAGGTTTCTGTTTTCACTTTCACGCCCGGTTGGAACAGTGATGGTTTTCATCACTGCACAGCCATGAATTAGGTTCATGCTGTGATTTTCCCAGGTCGAGAAATAGGAGACAAATACCAGTATCCTACTTTTCTTCGCTGGAGTCTTTTAGTAAATTTAAAATTTTTTTTTCAATCACAGTTGACGTTCGATATTACATTAATTCCAGGTATGCAGAGTAGTGGGCTCACACTCATGCAACTTACGAGGACATTGTCGTGTAGAGTAGAAATTAGGTACATTGTGCTGAATCAGAATCAGTTTCCCAGCCTGATCCTCAGCAGTCTTTTTGTTGTTGTTGTCGTCCTCACCCGAGGACATTTTTCCATTTCTTTTGTTCAGATAGAGTGGAAGGGAGAGAGAGAGAGAGAAACATCGACGTGAAAGGGACACATCGAGTGGCTGCCACCTGCACAACCCAACCAAGGCCAGGGACAAACTGCAACCGAGGTACATACCCTTAGTGGGAACCGAACCCGGATCTCTCCGGACTGCAGGCCGACACTCTAACCGCTGGGTCAAACCGGCCAGGGCCTCAGAAGTCTTATCGGCAGTTTTGCTAATGGCCTGTGTCTGCCGAGCTTGCGCAAAGCTGGAGCAGAGACTGGCGCAAAGGCCTGTCAAGGTCCCACCACACAGAGCACGGTGTAGGATCTGAGTTCCTTAAGCGTAAACTGTCTGATCTGGTCTGTAGGTTTTGAACCAGGGCTTCTCTGCCTCTGTGTAGATAAGATGTGATCAAGAATAAAGCCCAGCGCACCCCTGCTCAGTGCCCCACGTGTCCGTGTCCGTGTGTCTGTCCTAGGTGTGAAGCAAGCCTGCTGCGAGTTCTTAGAAAGTCAGCTGGACCCTTCCAATTGCCTGGGTATCCGGGACTTCGCCGAAACCCACAGCTGTGTCGACCTGATGCAGGCCGCTGAGGTTTTCAGCCAGAAGCACTTCCCTGAAGTGGTGCAGCACGAAGAATTCATCCTCCTCAGTCAGGAGGAGGTGGAAAAGCTCATCAAGTGCGATGAGATTCAGGTACAGCTCTGGCTTTGGACTGGGGCTTCTTCAGCATGGGCCATTATAGCACATGGGAGAAGCAAGGTGGAGTTGTTGTGTCCATAGCACGGTTCTTAATTAGCTGTCCATGGTGACTCCACAGGTTTTATGAAATTCCCCTGAAATTATATGCCAAATTTATTTGCATGTTTATGGGAAGGAGTTCACCATCTTCCTGAATGAAGTGTATGGTCCCAGTGGTTAACGACCACTGCTCTCCAGAGTGGATGAAGCAGAAATTGGAAAGAAAGTGGATTTCTCTGTTACCTATTCACTTATCTTACAAACACCTATTTCGAATATCTGCAACAGAGCAGTCCATGTGCCAGGGTCTGTGGATCCAGAAACAAGATACAGTTGTTGTTTTCAGGGAAGTCACAGTGCAGTGGCAGAGATGACAGAAAACAAAAATGACTATCGTGGGATGTGATGAGAAAATGAGCCTGTTCACAGTGAGGACGTTGTGTAGAAGAAAGAAGAGTAAACCTAGATTTAAATCAGATCGAGGAGAAGGGGACAACGGTTGGAGACCGTGAGCAGGAGCCAGGTCCTGAGTGCTGTGTGGGGGACGAGAGTATGGGAGGAAGGGGCTTGTGACCTGGGCAGTAAGGCACCGTTCAGTGCGGAGCCCTGCAGTCCCAATCCTCAGTCGTAGTTCCGCTACTTCTGTGCAGTTTTTATTACACGTACATACAAGATTTGTGAGAAATCCAGCATAGAGCCGGTCGATGTCAACAAGCCCAGCCTTTGTCTCCTAGCAGAGCTGCATGGTTGGTTTTGTTCCCCCAGTTAGAAGAATTCGATTCTCCAAGAAGGCTGAGTTCATTTATTTCCCCTCTTACTCTCCTTGAATAGTAATTAAAAATTAATTTTAAATTAATGGGTTCCTAGACATTAGTGGCTCCTCCATTCAAAGGGCTCCCGGCTCTGGGCTCTTCTGAACTGCTGTACCCATGGTCCTCAGAGTGGTCTTTACAGTCGTGGTGATCTGATCACTGGCCTGCTTGGACCCTTTTCATGGTTCCCAGTTGCTCTAGGAGTAAAACCGTCTCTGGCGCTGTGACTGGCCCTCCTTGGCTTCTGCAGCTGCTTTTACACTGGCATCCCCACCCCTCCCCCATCCATTCCACTGCACCAGCCCCTCATTCCCCAGGTGGTCAGTGCTTCGCTCTGGGACAGGCCTTGAACACAGTACCCTGTGAAGAGGGAAAGGACCCGTGTCTGAGCTGTTCAGCTCACTCGCCACTGGAGCACTTGAAGTGTGACTAGAGAGAAGCTGAGTTTGGGGTTTAACTTAATTAATGTAAATGCAGCTGCCACACAGGGCTGGTAGCTCTAGGTTTGTGCTATGCTTATCTGTCTGGTCGGAGGGCTCTTGCATCCTCCCTGACAAACTGATCTCTTGCATGTACTGGGAGGCCTCCCTTGACCCCGGGCTGGAATGAAGAAGTCTCATGAGTTTCTGTGTCACGACCACTGGCTCCTGTGCCGTGTGTAGCTACAAACAGGATTGTTCCTTTCTGCTTTAACAGTGGTCATCCCACTTAAGATCTGGGTCATGTCTGACTTGTCAACACTGTTAACCAGCCTCCAGCACAGTGCCTAGCACTCTGTAGGTTTTTGGAAAGCCATCGAATGAGTGGACATTTGGAACATTTTCTGTATTTTCAGTTCTTAGGGAAAGTTCACAGAATGGTTTCTTTTCTTTTTTTTTTAATCCTCATCCGAGGACATTTTTTGGTATTTTGTTCAGATAGAGTGGGAGGGAGAGAGAGAGAGAAACATCAACATGAAAGGGACACATCGAGTGGTTGCCACCCACACAACCCAACCAGGGCCAGGGACAAATTGCAACTGAGGTATGTGCCGTTAGCGGAAACCGAACCCGGGCCTATCCAGACCACAGGCCAACGCTCTAACCGCTGAGCCAAACCGGCCAGGGCCAGAATGGTTTCTTTATGTAGGTGCTGTCACACTTGGAAAGGTGTCTATCAGGACAAACACACTTGGTGTGGGAGAGACACAGGACTGTACTCTGTGCTCTTTGGAAGGCCCCAGGTGTTGTTATGCCCGGTGCTCCTCATGGGAATAGTACTGGTTTCTTAGGGTGTCTTACCTGACCCAGTCTGTCATGTGCAGGCTCAGCCCAGGTTCCCTGGTGATCGTTATGCGTGCTGTCTTGATGCCCGATGCAAACAGTGGCTTAGTGCTGGCCCCACAGTGGTGCAGAGAAGCCTGGAAGTCGTTCACGGCACTTGGGAGTGAACGCGTTCTTAGAGCCGGTTCTGACTAGGGCAACAGATTCTCCCCCACGCCCCGTAGAGGTTCAGAAATGACCAGGAAGAGTTCAGGAGTGGGGAAAATTCTGAAGGAAAAGCCAGCCATCTTAGATCTTTCACCCAGTTTAACCGTAATCTTTTTCTTGGACATAAGCAGTTATGTGTGAAAAGATTATTTTCCCAAGAACCTAGCTATTTCTGGAAGATGGGAAATAGTGGTGGGGGGTGGGGAACAGGAAGGAAAAGTGGGTGTGGCTCCTTGCTGAGCACTCTGGGTGATGGACAGAGCAGAGATCTGTGACTGCGCACTGACAGGTGGATTCTGAAGAGCCAGTCTTCGAGGCCGTCATCAGCTGGGTGAGGCACGCCAAGAAGGAGCGAGAAGAAGCCCTGCCTGACCTGCTGCAGTATGTCCGGATGCCCCTGCTGACCCCTCGGTACATCACAGACGTCATAGATGCTGAGGTGAGTCATGGAAGGCGCACAGGATCACAAACCTTGAATATCTCTCACAGCTTGGTGTCATGGCCTCAAGTTTCTTGACTCATTTCTGGAAACCCACAGCGTAGTTATTACCAGCAGCTTCCTAGAACCACAGAGTTTTAGGAATTGGTTTCTATGTTAAGAAGTTAATTGCAGCTCAGTCATGAGCGTGCTGTTTACACTTGCAACATGCGCTGGCCTGTGGCTCTGTCTGTGTTCCAGCCCTTTGTCCGCTGCAGCCTCCAGTGCAGGGACCTCGTCGACGAAGCCAAGAAGTTCCACCTGCGGCCTGAGCTGCGCAGTCAGATGCAGGGACCCAGGACCAGGGCTCGTCTCGGTGAGCTGGCATCTGGCAGAAAACTGGCCCTTCCCAGGTGGCTTGATGTGGTTGAAACAAACATTCTATAAAAAATACAAAGACCGCCCTGGCCAGTTTGGCTCAGCAGTTGGAGCATTGGCCTGCAGACCAGAGAGTCCCAGGTTTGGTTCCTACTAGGGGCATGTACCACAAAAAGAAAAGAAAAAAATAAAAATACAAAGACCTTATTTCAACCTGTTCTTAATCTTTTATTTATTGTGCCATCTCGGACAGGTCACTTTACCAACCGAGCTTTCTTCCTTATCTTACACAACTGTTTGGAGGGATAATTGAGATAAAGTGTGAGAAAGCATTATATGAATTGTCAAGTATTATTTCAACGCGTCTGGAGTCTATGAGTTGGGAATTTTTTATTTTTTTTTGGTACATACCCCTAGTGGGAACCGAACCCAGGACTCTCTGGTCTGCAGGCCAATGCTCCAACCGCTGAGCCAAACGGGCCAGGGCAAGGGAATTATTTTAAAAATTTTTTAAAAATATGTTTTCACTGATTTTTTTTTTTAGAGAGAGAGAGGAGGGGAGAGAGAGTTAGAAACATCTCTTGGCTTCCTTTTGCATGCCCCCTACTGGGGATCAAGCCTGCAACCCGGGCATGTACTCTGACCAGTAATTGAACGGGACCTCTGAGTCCACGGGACAACGCTCCATCCACTGAGCCACACTGGCTGGGGCAAAAGCCTCATTTTATGATTACCTGGCAGTTTTGATGAACTGACAGGGAACATAGTCATATTTAGTTGGCTAAATTGGGAAAATAAAGGTTGATGGAAAAAAAGATGTTTTAAATTTAATCTTCAATTAGAGGCTATTTAAAGTGGTGGTATTGTTTTTTTCTTTATTGATTTAGAGAGAGGGAGAGAGAGATGGAAATATTGATGAGAGAGAACGTCGACTAGCCGCCTCCTGCATGCCCCCCACTGGGGATCGGGCCCACAACCTGGGCATGTGCCCTGACCGGGAATCAAACTGGCAACCTCTTGGTGCAGGGTCGAGGCTCAACCACTGAGCCATACCAGACGGGCTAGAAAAGAGATTTTTAAAATTTACCACTTGGTGCCTATGCCACAACTCTCAACTTTTTTGAAGCAAGGTTAGGAGAGTGGTCTTACATTACCAAAAAACCCTCCTGTTTTGAAGTACAGGCTGGGAAGGGCAGGGAGCTCTGCCAGGCTGTTGTCAAGAAATTAAATTTCAGAGATTTGGGTTCTCAAGAGCTAGAGCTTCAAGAAGAAATCATTATTAGGCAACCTGACAGTGAATCTTATATTTCAGATGCAGTCTCTGGGCCACGTAAAACAAGACAGTATAGAACTGTTTCTACTTTTTTTTTTTTTTTTTTTTTTTTTTATCCTCACTCGAGGACATTTTTCCATTTTTTGTTCAGATAGAGTGGGAGGGAGAGAGAGGAAGGGAGAGAGAGTGAGAAACATCGACGTGAAGGGACACATCGAGTGGCTGCCACCCGCACGACCAACCAGGGCCGGGGACAAACTGCAACCGAGGCACGCGCCCTTAGCGGGAACCGAACCCGGGTCTCTCTGTACCGCAGGCCGACGCTCCAACCGCTGAGCCAAACCGGCCAGGGCGAACTGTTTCTACTTATAATCCCTGTGAGCATTTACCAGCCAGGGGTGGAGAGTGACCTGCCTTTTCTCCCTGTCTCCTCAGGAGCCAATGAAGTACTTCTGGTGGTCGGGGGCTTCGGAAGCCAACAGTCTCCCATCGACATAGTAGAGAAGTATGACCCCAAGACTCAGGAGTGGAGCTTTTTGCCAGTAAGGGTGGAACCAGTTGTGGGGAAATACTCACCTGTCATCGGTCCCTGGCACTAGGTCAGAAATAGCCTGGCCATAAAACGGGGAAGCCTAGTCACTGCGCAGTGTCCCCCACAGCAGTGTCATGCGCACAGTAGGTGCTCCGTGGACAGCGGACTACTTACTCTCTATTAGACATCAGAAATGGCAGTGGCGTGTCAGCCGCCACCTACTTCAGCACTTTCCTGGGCTGTCTGTAACTCCCAGCCTGCTCCACTGGTCGTGCTCTGTTACCCTGAGCTCGATGTGAAGTTGTGTTAAATTGAGCTGAAGAGTGTGTCTTTCTCACTTGGTGTGTCTCTGTTTCAGTGGTAAATGAACAGTAATAATTCTGAGAAAATGTGGAAATCTTTCAATCAGTCCTCCAAACTTTTACAGTCGTTGAACCCTGGCCCTTTGATTAACAGTGCAGGGAAACTTCCACTTTGTGGGAGGATCTGTCTCTGGCCCAGAGCCCTGTAGACTAGAAAGGACAGAGACGCTAGCTATCAGAAAGGCTGGGAATGAGGCAGTGTGCAGTAGGCTTGATGTTAGGGCATCACAAGCAAGAGGGCATTTGTTCAGCAGGCAGAGAGCTGGCGGCCACTGAGGATGAGCCACTGCCTGAAGGGTTCCTGCTGGCAAGTGAGGAGGCAGAGTTGCCGATAGAAACAGGAAGGAGAGCCAGAGGGAGGCCTGAGGTTGCGGTACTGAACTGCTCTGTACTTCTTCTCCTGAATCCACAGAGCATCACTCGGAAGAGACGTTATGTGGCCTCCGTGTCTTTACATGACCGGATCTATGTCATTGGTGGCTATGATGGCCGTTCCCGCCTCAGTACAGTGGAATGTCTGGACTACACAGCAGATGAAGATGGGGTCTGGTATTCTGTAGCCCCCATGAATGTCCGACGAGGCCTTGCCGGGGCCACCACCTTGGGAGGTAGGCTGTGTGCAGGGCGTGGTTTCCATGCAATTAGGCTGCATCGGGCTCATCCCTCCGTTGTTTGGCAGTAGCTTGAGACATGGAGGGTGCTGGTGAGGTGAAGTGCTCCTTCTGGCTTTGGAATAGCGGTGCCGCCAGAGCCACGTGGTGCCTGCACTGCTTCCACAGGGGCAGTGTCTGGGGCAGGTGGCAGCTGAGTGCAGGTCGGTTCTGGGCTCCTGGGACCTGCAGCTAATCTTTAGGGTTCCATCCAACCCGTTTGTGCGTGTCTTGACTACGCTTCCTATCTTATTGATAAAACTTAGTTGAGCCCTGGCCAGTTTGGCTCAGCAGTTAGAGCATCAGCCTGCGGACCAGAGAGGTCCGGGTTCAGTTCCCGCTAAGGGCACGTACCTCGGTTGTAGTTTGTCCCCTGCCCCGGTTGGAGTCGTGTGGGTGGCAACCACTCAATGTGTCTCTCTTTCTTCCCCCTCCTCTCCCTCCCACTCTATATCTCAAGATAAAGTGCAAAAATGTCCTCAGGTGAGGAATAAATAAATAAATAATAAATAAGTCTTAGTTGAATTATTCCATTAGAAATACTTTGTGTTTGTTCCCAAATATTTGAAGGACTTGTGGGAAATTTTAGAGAAAAGAATGATTAGAAATCTTTCTGAGAATTTGTGATCTGTTTATTCTGAGCAGATATGATCTACGTTTCCGGCGGCTTTGATGGGAGCAGGCGTCACACCAGTATGGAGCGCTATGACCCCAACATTGACCAGTGGAGCATGCTGGGAGACATGCAGACAGCCCGAGAAGGCGCGGGGCTTGTGGTGGCCGGCGGAGTGATCTACTGTCTAGGTGTTGAGCCCGGGAGGCAGAGATGGGAGAGGACATAATGGTGGCAGCCTTTGGGGGAATCTCTTTTTACCAGAATTAGATAGCCTTCAACTAAAACCCTGGTCTATCCCAGTGTAGTTCCATTAGCTGGAATTATCCTTTTCGTGGAAGCAGAACATGGGATACGATTAGATTTCTCTTTGGATTATTAGAACTCTTGAGGGAGAACTGAGATTAAAGAATTAGTAAGGCCCAGCTGGTGTGGCTAAGTGGTTGAGCATCAACCCATGCACCAACAGGTTGCTGGTTTGATTCTCGGTCAGGGCATATGGCCAGGTTGTGGGCCCGATCCCCAGTGGGGGCTATGCGGGAGGCGGGCAATTGATGTTCTGTCATCGATGTTTCTCTCTCTCTCTCCCTCTCCCTTTCTTTCTCTAAAATCAATAAAGAAAAAAAAATTTTTTTTAAATAATAATAATAAATAAAGAATTAGTAGGGCCCTGGTCGGTTTGGCTCAGCAGATGATCATTGGCCCACGCACCACAGGATCTCGGGTTCAATTTCCGGTCAAGAGCATATAGCTGAGTTGCAGGTTCAATCCCTGGCCCTGGTTGGGGTTGCGTGGGAGGTAACCAATCGATGTGTCCCTCTTGCATTGGTATTGGTATTTTTCTTTTCTCTCTTTCTCTAAGAATTAATGGAAAAATATCCTCAGGTGAGGATTAACCAAAAAAAAAGAATTAGTTGGAACACTCAAAGAAAGGTAGGCTGGGAATGAGCGTCAGGATTTGTTGTTCTTTCTGGAATGGCCTCTACTTTGTCTTTCAGGAGGATACGATGGCTTGAATATCTTAAATTCAGTTGAGAAATATGATCCCCATACAGGACACTGGACTAATGTTACACCAATGGCCACCAAGCGCTCCGGTAAGACACATCGGATCTCAGGGAGGGTGGTACTGCTGTCACATCTGTGCTGTGTGGCGGTGGCTCAGTCATAGGACCGGCCCGCTCAGTCAGAGTTGTAGATCCTCTACCTGGACTTCAGCAAAACATGAGTCAGGCTCCATCCTCCTTGCCTCTGTGGTGAGAATGAAAACAGCTTTTCAAATAGAGGAGACATTTGAGGGTAGAAGCCTTCTTGGTTTATTTGTTTTTTTATGTTCCCGTCCCCTCCCTGCATTGTCACGTCCAGTACAGTCTTGTGTGTTCAGCACATTTACATGGACAAGTGCTGATAGTCTAACACACACCGAAGCTTCCTGGAACAGAGTAGCTGGGCTCTAAGACGGGAGAAAAACTGCTCCAGAACCCAAGTTAGAGCTCCTTTCCTTCCTCCTACCCTCATTGCCTTCTTTTTTCCACTTTCCTGCTAATGAGGGTTGGGTTCTGAATTGATGAAAGCGGAGGTGAGGACCATTTTGTTTTTTCTCGTTTCAACTCCTACCAGTGGGTTTACAGATGGTTAGCCTGTGCTGACTGACTGCTTCAGGCGTGTCTGCTCTAGTGCACACCCCTGAGTTACCGAGGATTGTGATCACGTTTTCTTTAGAACTCAGAGCCTCAGTTCAGTCATGGTGACTTGCTGTACCTTTCTTCTCAGGAGCAGGAGTAGCGCTGCTGAATGACCATATTTATGTGGTGGGGGGATTTGATGGCACAGCCCACCTTTCTTCCGTTGAAGTGTACAGCATCCGTACCGACTCCTGGACAGCTGTCACCAGCATGACCACCCCTCGATGCTACGTGGGGGCCACAGTGCTTCGGGGCAGACTTTACGCAATTGCAGGGTGAGGATTTAAAACCAGGCTGGAGCCCTGGCCGGTTTTGCTCAGTTGTTGGAGCGTTGGCCTGTGGTCCAGAGACCCAGGTTTGGTTCCTGCTAAAGGCACGTGCCTCATTTGCGGTTTGTCCCCGGCCCTGGTTGGGTCCTGCGGGAGGCAGCCACTCGATGTGTCCCTTTCACGTTGATGTTATTCTCTCTCCTTCCCACTCTATCTGAACAAAAAATGGGAAAGTGCCCTTGGGTAAGGATTAAAAAAAAACCAGGCTGGAGCCCTGGCCAGTTTGGCTCAGCGGTTAGAGCACTGGCCCGCAGACCAGAGACCCGGGTTTGGTTCCCTCTAAGGGCACGTACCTCATTTGCAGTTTGTCCCTGGCCCTGGTTGGGGTTGTGTGGGTAGCAGCCACTTGATTTCTCTCCCTCCTGCTCTATCTGAATATAAATGCAAAAATGTCCTTGGGTGAGGATAAAAAAAATAAATAAAACCAGGCTGGAGCCCTGTTAGAGCATCGGCCCATAGACCAGAGTCATGGGTTCAATTCTGGTCAAGGGCACATACCTCAGTTGCAGTTTCGTCCCCAGCCCTGGTCAGGGTCATGCAGAAGGCAACCAACTGATGTGTCTCTCTCACCAATATGTCTCTTTCTCTCCATCTGAAGATAAATGGGAAAATATCCTCTGGTGAGGCTTTAAAAACAAAAACACTCTGGAGCCATCATACATCAGGGCAACGTGATTCGATCTGCACTGCTGAGTGGAGACAGGGTGTAGGTTGGGGAGATGTCTTCGTAGCAGCGTGGGTGTAGGAGGTGCTTGGAGAGGAACAGAAAACTCATCTCCCTCTTGCTTCTTCCCCACTCAGATATGATGGGAACTCCCTGCTGAGCAGCATCGAGTGCTACGACCCAATCATTGACAGCTGGGAAGTGGTGACATCCATGGGAACCCAGCGCTGTGACGCCGGCGTGTGTGTGCTACGGGAGAAGTGACCCCTGTTGGAGCACCATCTAGAGCTAGCGACCAGTCCCGGGCCAGTTGACGGAGTATCAGGGCCCGTTTCCAGAATGTTTCCCACTGTGTGCTCAGGGTGATTACAAGCACCGGTGCCGTGCTGATGGTCTTTATTTGACACATACTCCCCCTCGCACTAGTACTTGTCCCCGAGTTGAGTGGTGAATGGACGCTCACAGGAAGAGAATGCACTCAGTGGATATGAGGCCAGGTCCCTTCTGGTCTCCGCAGCACTTTCTGGTCATGTCTAACTTACTGTGTGTTTAGGAGGATAAATGTGTATGTTGCCCCTCATGTGTTGCAGAGTGAAGGTGAGTGTAACCTACTAGATTGGGCAGTATCCAACTTACATCTGGATTGGGAGGATGCCAACTTGAGTCGGCCTGATAAAATCCAATTATTGTTTTCCAGGAATACATTTCCTAGTCTGCAGGTAGCTAGTGGCAACATAGTTCCATTCTGGAGGGAGACAAAGGAAAGCTCCCTGTCACAACTTTGAGGCTGGGGAGAGAGCTGTGTGACACCCCCAAGTGTGGACAGAGCTCTTGTATCAGAACTGGGCTTAGAGTGAGTGAAGTGGCCTGACTCAGATGGACTGAGCAAGCCTAGACCTTCACTGCAGTGTGACCGAGAAGACTGAGTTATCTGAAGGCTCTTCTGATTTCACCACGTCTCTGGACTGCACTGTGGCTTACCGGGGCTCCGGCGCCTGTGCCAGACAACAGAGTGAACAAGTGTCAGGTGGGCGGAGGTGGAGTCAGTGTGGCAGTGTGAGTGCCTATGATTTCATATCCTCTTACCTCCCTGCCAGGTTTCATCGCTCTAGGGCAAGGTTCGCCTCCAGGGGGTGAGAGATTTTCTTTGTTGAATCGGATACTACTATGCTGTTACATTTCCATACTATTTATTTGGGGATGGGGTGGGATGCAGCAGCCTGGAAGTTCAGCTACTTGATATTGTTCCATTCCCCCATCCTTTTAAATGCATACTTCCAGTAAGGGGTGGTTTCTACTGCTGTTTGGTACATTTCATCCTTTTCCTACTAGAGGGTTCCCTATCTGTCCTTAGAGTGAATTATATTCATCCCGGGACAGAATAATCAAGACAACCAGAGTTCCTGTGTTATGGAGTGAAATTCTTGCTTTGTGGGTGGGGGAATGTGACACCCTGAACAAGGAGGCACTTTCCCTTTACTTTGAAATTCCATGTTTTCCTCCCTGAATTGAATTGATCTGAAGAGTTCATTTCCTTTGTATTTTTTTAAGAAAATATTAAAAACAATCTGTCTCAAATGCCTTAAGCGAGTTTGTGGCGAACCAGCACTGCCCTCACATCTGGGGGACCAGGCACAGAGAGCAACCATGGGTCCGAGTCGTCAACCCGTTCACCTTGTGTTTGCCAACCAGCGCCACTGTTTCTGTTAGACACAGGTAGGAGTCCCACCAGGAAAATGTTTATCTGAATTTGCCATATTCATTGACCCCCCTCTCACACTTGGGGTGTCCTTGGAAACCTAAAAGGAATCAAGAAGAGGTTCATTTAGTACTCGCCTCAATTTCAGGGTTTTAATCACTCAAGCCCTTCTGTTTGCTTCAGTTTGTGGCACATGATAGAAACAGCTATGCAGGAGGCCTGGCCCGTGTGGCTCAGCAGTGGTTAGAGCTGGGCCTGTGAACTGAAGGGTCATGGGCTCAATTCCCACATGGGTTGCAGGTTTGATCCCTGGCTGGGTTGGGGTCATGTGGGAAGCAACCAATTGATGTGTTTCTCCCATGTCCATCCCTTCCATTCTAAAACATCAATGGAAAAATATCCTCCGCTGAGGGTTTAATTAGTTAAAAAGTGGTCAAGATGGTAAATATTTTTAAAATGCAAAAAATCCAAGATATTCCCAGAGTAAAGGGAAGGGGGAGTCAAAGAGTTGTGTTCACTAAAGCCTGTCAATCTTTCTTTAGCAGAGGACTGTGCCTGCTAATGAACTACGGCTAAGAAATAGGTACCTGCTTGGCCGGTGTGGCTCAGTGGTTAAGTGTCGACCCTGCACCAAGAGGTCGCTGGTTCGATTCCCCGTCTCGGGGCACATGCCCGGGTTATGGGCCAAACCCCCAGTGGGGGCATGCAGGAGGCAGCCAATTGAAGTTCTGTCTCATGAATGTTTCTATCCCTTTCTCCTCCTCCCTCTCTCTCTAAAATCAATAAAGAAAAAAATTTTTTTAAAGAAATAGGTACCAGCAGCAGCCTGGGGGAGGTAGATGGGTGGCCCCCAGAATGAGCGTCAGACCAGGTTCCCAACAGTCCTGACATGACACCCACAACCGAGGGTCACACCCTGTCCACTGCCCCCAGTCACGTAAGCATCGCGCAGTCGTGGGCAGGGGCCTGATGTCCTTGCCTCTTGTCTGTCTGCCTGTCCAGCCCCTCCATTTGCCGCGTGAACATCCCAAAACACAGGACAGCTACAGTGCCTAACAGCCGACTTCTCAGGAAATGCTAAGCCACCTGGTCTCTCAAGCCCCGCGGGTCCCTGCGTGGGCTGGGGCCCGGCACCGCGACCTCTGCCTCCGGGTCTGCGGCCTTCGCCCTCTCGGGCACGGGTCCGGGCCACGGCTCCGCGCCCCTCCTGCTCTGTCCACGGCCTGGTCCCCTTCCGCCGACCCGCGTCGCCTTGGAGGGCCCTCCGCGCTGCCCTTGGGCGCGGTCTGCGGCTGCAGAGGCGACTGGACGGCCCGGGCAGAGCGGAGGGCGGGCGGGTGGCAGGCGGGCGCCGGCGGTCCTGGGACCGGCCCTGGGACCAGGCTCAGAGGAGACGTGGGGACAGCGATGCCCGGCGCGGGCCCGGGTGGAGCGGCCCGGCGGCCCCCGGCGGCCAAGCGGTGCGTGCGCCGAGCTCCTGCCGCTCGAGCCGGGCCGCGTTCCCTCTTCGCCGCCAGGAACGCCCCTCGCACTCCTGGCGCTGAGTGCGAACCTCGGGAAGCGCAGTCGGGCCGACTTGAAAGACTCGATCACAGGGGAAGCCGGGTGACGGGAACTGGTCGCCGCTCAGACACCGGTCCTGTCACAAAGCCGCGGACGCCTGCCACTCAGAGGCCGCCTCCAGTGCCTGCGCGTGCGCAGTAGCGTGCGGGGCGGGGCAGCGGGCGCCTGCGCAGAAAGGGGTGGCCGTCCGCCCCGCCCTCTACGAGAGCCGCGCCGCCGCAGTTGGACAAGACCGGGCCGAGTCGCGCCTGCGCGGTCCAGGCCCCGAGGCTGTGGCGGCGGCGGCGGCGGCGGCGGCGGCAATGGAACCCGCGGCGCCGCGGAACGAGCTGGTGTCGGCTGAGGGCCGGAACCGGAAGGCGGTGCTGTGCCAGCGCTGCGGCTCGCGAGTGCTGCAGCCGGGGACGGCGCTCTTCTCCCGCCGGCAGGTAGAGCGGCCGGGGCGGGGGGTCGGGGAGGGGCCGGGAGCCGCCGCTGGGACCGGACGGTGCGGGACGAGCCGCACTGCAGGGCGGGAGCCTCGGGTCCTGGGAACCGGTTTCTCTTCTCTCCAAGTCACGGACCTTAATACCCCTCCTTCCGCCGTCACCCCGACTGAGAAGGCGGAAAAAGTGCGTTGGTGAACCAGCCGCAGGACAGCGCGAAGTGAATCCCAACCACGTGCGGGCCCGTCACCCAGGCTTCTCCGCAGGGGCCCCGCCCCGGGCCTCACGCTGGCCCCCGGGGTTTGGCCCAGCACGAGGCGCACACAGCGTGTGGCGGGCCAGGTGACACCCCCGGGGGGAGGCGGGGCGCTGAGCGCTCCCGCACCTGTGACCTCGGCTCCTCCTGTGACATGCGCCCTGTTCTCACCGCCAGACCCGAGGCCTGTGTGCTGCCGGCTGCCTGTCCCGAGTCGGCCTGTGGGCGGGGATTCAGACGCCTGAGCAGGGCACCTGGCGCTCGCTCCCGGAGCAGGTGTCCCCCCAGGCTCCCGGAGCAGGTGTCCCCCCAGGGCGCCGTCCTGGGCCATCCCCAGGGCGCCCAGGCTCCAGGGCGCAGGCTCCACCCCTGGGTGGGAGGGTCGCGGCAGAACTTGTGGACCAGAAGTACTCAAAACGGGGGGAAACTGCAAACAAGTTTACCCTGTACTGGAACCGTGTCTGTTAGAGAGAAAGGAACGGAGAGGCAGAGAGAAATATCGAAGAGCGAGAGCTCCTGCACGCCCCCTACTGGGGATTTGGCCCGAAACCTGGGCACGTGCCCTGCGTCCAACCGGCGACCTCCTGGTGCCTGGGGCTGGTGCATGGGTCGGTGCGCAACCACTGAGCCGCGCCGTTGGAGCTATTCTCATCCATATTGTATCATGCTTGCCAAGTTTTCTACAAAAAGAATGTATTTTCTACGAAGAAAATATTCTTGAAAATGCGACCCGAAGCATCAATAGAATCTCACTGAGCTGTGTTTATCTATCCCTGAGGAGCCCATTCAGCATTAGGGGCACAGGCTGGGGACCCAGAAGCAAAGTTAACACACCTGGTCAGAGAGTTGACTGCAGTTCCCATCCCAACGGACTTCGGACTGTGTTGGCTGCCTCAAATTAGATATTACTGTATTGATTTCCACCCTAGAAATCTATCCAGAAAACCTCCTCGTGTTCCATGTGTTACACCCCAAACCTGACCCTAGCAGTTATCCTTGGCATTGCAGTGAATGCCGAGACCCTGCTGTGCAGATAATTATGCTTGCTCACATTCATGTAGAGTCTTGTGGGTCTGGCAAGATTTGAATATGGGTTGGGCCAAAGTAGACTTGCAGTTGTAATACAAATAAGTAATGTAATAATTAATAAATAATAATACAAGAATAAACTCTGGCCCAGCTGGTGTGGCTTGGTGGATTGAGTATCATCCGCGGACTGAGAGGTCCCTGTTGGATTCCCGGTGAGGGCACATGCCCAGGCTGTGGGATCCATCCCCTGTAGGGGGCATGCAGGAGTCAGCCGATCAGTGTTTCTCTCTCACATCCATGTTTCTATCCCTGCCTCTCTCTAAAAAAAAATCAATAAAAATAAATAAACTTTTATGTAGCCACAACTGTAAACCTACTTTTGCCCACCCCTGTAAAGATGGGAATCTGGGGGAAGAGAGGGAACAGTTCATTGCTATTTCCCTTGACACTAATCAAACGAGAGATGAAGGGGACCTAGCAGAGATCACTGGTGCCCCTTTGCTGGATGCTTCCTGAGGGCTAATGCTCAGGTGGTCTTTGATTTTCTCCCCTTAGGTGAAGCTGTGGTGTGATCACACTGACAGGACAGGGGATGGGCCAGAAATACTGTTAGGGAAATTTATATCCACAGGAAGTTAGAGTTGGGACTGGAATGCAAGTTTCCTGGCACCTGAATTTTTATCCCTAACTTTTCCCGTCGAGGGTAGAACAAAGAACATCATTACACATCAGATGAAGCAGGACTGAGGAGAATGACAGGAGGAAGGACTGTCTTGTTCTGTGATGTCCTCGGGTGCTTCCCTGGTGGCACAGCACAGATACCTGTTCCCATAAGCCAAGTGTTCGGAGGACGGGGAGTAGGGATGTTCTGGGTTGGGGTCCCTCTTTCCCATCAGGGTTGCCCCACCAGCTGCACCGTGGTCCAGACTTACAGTGCAACTCCATGGTGGGCGAGTCACACTGTACCATTGAGGGAGGGGCTTATGCATCTCTGCCAAAGCCTTTAACTTTTCTGGACTAAAGTTAGTCTGTTTTTATGTTTGTTTGTTTGTTTGTTTTTTAAGAGAGTGAGTCTTGGCCTGTTTGGCTCAGCAGTTAGAGATTGGCACTCAGACCAAAGGGTCATGGATTCGACTCAGGTCAAGGGCATGTACCTGGGTTTCAGGTTCATCCCCAGCCCTGGTCAGGGTCAAGTGGGAGGCAGCTGGTCAATGTCTCTCTCTCACATGGATGTCTGTCTGTCGGTCTCTCTCTCTCTCTCTCCCTTTCTCCTTTCCACTCTCTCTAAAATTCATTGGAAAAATATCCTCTAGTGAGGATTAACAAAAAAAAAAAAAGAGAGAGAGGAACATCAATTTGTTGTTCCACTCATTCATTCATTGCTTCATTCTTGTATGTGCCCTGACTGGGGATGCAACCCACAACCTTGGCGTATCTGGACAATGCTCTAACTAACGGAGCTGCCCAGCCAGAGCCAATTTTTTATTTTTGTTATTTTTCAAGCCACCCTAGCTGGTTTGGCTCAGCGGTTGGAGCGTCGGCCTGCGGTCCAGAGATTCCCGGGTTCGGTTCCTGCTAGGGGCACGTACCAAAAAAATAAGTAAATAAATGAATGCATTCTGCTTTTGTTGATTGCCAATGCCAGACTGACACGTGGAGGCCGTGTATTTTGTTAAGAGTTTGGGGAGCCCTGGTGAGGTTGGTTACTTGGTTAGAGCGTCATCCCAATATGTCAAGGCTGTGGGTTCAATCTTGGGTGAGGGCACATATAAGAATCAACCCATAAATGCATCAGTAAGTGGAACAACAAACTGATGTTTCTCTCTCTCTCTCTCCCCCCCTCCCCCCCTTATAAATAAGTAAACAATAAAAATACAGTGGGCTTTATGGGAAGCTAATTCAGATCGTTTGGTTAGGAAAACTTTCCTGAGGAGGTTACTTCTGAGCTGAATGTCAAGAACGAGCTGACTTTGCCAAGACCTGAGGGCAGAGCAGACTTACCCTGTCTGAAGAAGGCAGGAAGGCTCGTGTGGCTGGAGCACAGTGAGCTCAGGGAGATAGGAGCAGGTGGGACCTTGAAGCCCAGGGTCAGGATAGCAGTGAAGCCAAGTTACCACCACAGCTGGTCAGAGTTCCTCTTCCGTGTCTCTTACGAATCAGGGCATGGACCACAGGCAAGAGGGGAGCATCTCGTCTGCAACCTGATAGGCCTGCGTGCTTTGTTTGCGAGGGCGCCGTGTGGAGTCCATGGTGAGCGGGGTGCCGGTGACGGGCACTCAGCGTAGCGTTCCATGTTCTCTCCCCTGCAGCTCTTTCTGCCCTCCATGAGGAAGAAGCCAGCCCTGGCTGACGGCAGCAGCCCCGATGGCGACCTCCTCCAGGAGCACTGGCTGGTAGAGGACATGTTCATGTTTGAGAACGTGGGCTTCACCAAGGACGTGGGCAACATCAAATTCCTGGTCTGCGCAGACTGTGAGATTGGACCAATCGGCTGGCATTGCCTTGATGACAGGAAGAGTTTCTATGTGGCCTTGGAACGGGTTTCCCACGAGTAACAGGAGAGGGGGCTCAGCTCCACCCCAAGTACAAGAGCTGCTGCTCACAGGAAGTGGTATCTAACCTGGTGTAATGGTTCCGCTGCTGCTTCTGTGTCCTAATCATGAGCACCGATGCGTCCAGCAGAGCGTGCAGAGGCTAACCCTGCTTCCTAGATCCTCACATGCGTCCTCTCGCCTACTACTCTGCGTCACATCTCCTAAGCTCCCTCTCCCCCAGGTTAGGACACTGGCACACGTCCACACATCTCAGCTGCCATCTGCTGGGCTCTTCTGCCTGGGGCTCCCTCGCTGCCTGCTCTGGAAGAGCGTCACCCCTGCAGCCACGGTGACACATGACGTGATGCTCGTGTGCTCGCAGTTGAAGCTCCACCTTTTCCTCTCGTTTACGAAAGCACACAGGTGTCTGAGAGTGACTGTTGTGTGGCTCGCTTCACAGGAACTTAATCTTTTTAAGAGTATAGCACTCACAAGCTCTTGTGTTTGAGCTGCTCGTCCGAAACACTGCCGGGCACCTCTGTGCCAGGTGTGAGCGCCTCGGCTCTCGGCTGACAGACCTTTTCTCGTGGAGATGAGTGTGGCCCCTTTTCCCTTCGAACCCTGATGAGCTGTACCGAGATTCAGATTTTCACACCCATCGGGAGCCCCCCAAGGAAAGCTCAGCCTGGGCTTTCCCCAGGATCTCCTGGAGGATGTGGGGCGAAGGAGGAATGGCCGTCGCCATATGACCCAGGAGTTTGCAGGTGTGTCTGATCTGAACAAGTCAGTGCTTCCTTTGTTCTCAGGAAAGACTTCCTCGTGGGTAATGTCATTTACTGGGCCTGCTGAGCGTGGTTCTCGGAAGTTTTGGTTCATGTGGAATCTACACCAGCCCAGAACACTAACCCCGTCCGATGCCTCTGCTGCTGCTGCAGCCATGGGGCTGCTCGAACAGCGCGTGTCAGCCCTGTTCAGAGGACCTGTGCTGTCTGTCACTTCTCTTCTGAAATGACTCACCAGAAGGGATCTGTGTAACCAGGTCCAGGTGTCCTTCCCACACCCCACCTCGATCCAGGACGCCTGGCATTGCAGCAGGACTGACTAGAGACCTGGCACTCTGCAGTCTGTCTGCTCCCCTTCTCCCACGGCTCACTCTAAGGGCTCCCCAACTAATGTGCAGGCCTGGGCATGGCTTTGCAACCAGCCTACTTTCTCCATCCCTGGTCAGAGCCCCATTGAGCTCTGGCAGAAATGAGAGCTGTTTTCCAGACCAGTGGTCCAGAGGCCATGATTATGGCCTTTGCGGAAAAATAGCTGTGAGCATTATCCACTCAAGTCAGAAGGAGCAAAGCCAAGTAGATGCCTCTGGGGCCAGCGGCCCCTCCCAGCACAGCCCAAGCAGGCAAAGCGTTTTCTAAAATTAGGCTTTGACTTTTCTTCCCCTTTTTAATCACAGAAATAGTACACATTCATTGCAGATAAGTACAAAAGTGGGTATAAAGACTTTTTTTAATTCCTTGTATTTCCACCATCTAGAGATTGTAGTGATGATGTGTTTTCTGTGTGTATATACACGTGTGTTTTTAAAACAAACATGAGCTCAGACTATTCTTGTTTATAACTTGCTTTTTCCATTTGACAACATACTGGCTTCTCCCATATGTAGCTATTCCCATATGTAAGCCTTGTTTTTAGTGTGCCCTTGTATTTGTGTTTATTTAAACAATCCACTGTTAGGCTGTCTCTAGTTCCTTACAGACAATGTGACAACGTGCAGCTTTGTGATTAAATCTGGACGCACATTCCTAGTTGTTTCCTGGGGCAAAAAGTGGGATTGCAGCTGTACTGCTTACCTCCATGGGAACACAGACTTGCTTCTCTGAACCTTTCTGACACTGGGTGTCTATTATCATTGAAAGACTTTGGCCCTGTCGCTTAGAGTTGTCCAAATGCACCAGGTTGTGGGTTCGATCTCCAGGACATTCACAAGAATCAATGAATGCATCAATATGCAGAACAACAAATTGATGTTTCTCTCTCAAAAAAGAAGAATATTTTGCCACTTTAATAGAAAAAATAGTATCTCATTGTTTTGATTTGCATTTATGTTATTTCTAATGAAGTTTTTATATACTTACTGATAATTTGTATTTTTTTGAGAATTGCCAAACATTGTTGCCCAGTAGCCAAAAATATCAAGTTGTTGTCTTGCCTTTTAGTTTGATTTGAAAAAAATAAAGACATTTAAACATTGGAAATTAGATCCCTGTGTGTCTTAGAAAGCCACAGGCATGAGAACATGCGGATGAGGAGAATCGGGCCAATGGCAGCATCTGCGGCTTCCTTAGACGCCACTCAGCCCAGTTGCCCTGATGTGTCTCTTCCCTTGGATTGCCATCAGGGCAGGGGCAGTGTGGTGCCCTCCCATTCACACACCAGGGACCAGAGGGCAGGCTGTGGAAGCCCAGGAGGGCCTGCCATTCAGAAGGTGTGCATGGAGACCCTTCTGTGAAGTACTGAGAAGAATTTGTTCATACACTACGCTTTCATCAGTTCACATTCCCATAGGCTCCTGGGCCTGTGACCCAGTTTGTTTTATGGGTTTTGTTCCAGGGTGAGGCCAGAAAGATGAAAGGTGCAGCCTGGCGTTCAGAAAGCACACACTCCTGCCCTGTTTTCCTGCTGTGGCCATGAGCACGGCAATAGGAGGCAGGGACCCCTGATCACGAAGATAATAGCTGCTGAAGGGCAGTCCTGGAGCACAGAACAAGACAGGACGTCTGGTGGCTGACTTAGTTTCCTGGCTCCGTGTTAGGAAAAAGGTTCAGCTGCCAAGAGGAAGAAGGAGCTGCCTTCGGGAAGCTGTAAGCTTGCTGCCCTTAGAGGCATGAAGGGGAAGGTGACCTTTTCTAACCCTGAAAGGAAACATTTATATATTCTGAGTAAAGCAATGTCTCAAGGTGGTTAGTTTATGTACAGGAGATTGTCACGAGGTTTTAACTGTTAATTGTCAAAACTACAGGAAGTAAAAGAAATACAGTTCAAACCATAACCCATCACTTAGGTTCAACTTCTGACTCTCCTGTGTTGCCTGAGTTTTTGCTTTGCTGACCCATAAACCTCACTTTAGCTAGTATGTAGCACACAAATCCATTTTTGTGCCTAACAATTAGTAGTATTCCAAAATGAGAATAGCTAATCAGTATTCAGCCTTCGCCGGTGGCCACAAATGTGTTTTATAGTCAGTTTTTTCGAAGTTAGGATGTAATAAAAAACCAGGCCCCTTTCCGGCGTCCAAGATGTCCAAGCAAGGACGTGGTGGGTCCTCCGGGTCGAAGTTCCGGATTTCTCTTGGTCTTCCGGTAGGAGCTGTGATCAACTGTGCTGACAACACAGGAGCCAAAACTCTGTACATCATCTCTGTGAAAGGCACCAAGGGACGACTGAACAGGCTTCCTGCTGCTGGTGTGGGTGACATGGTGATGGCCACAGTCAAAAAGGCAAACAGCTCAGAAGGAAGGTACATCCAGCGGTGGTCATTCGACAACGAAAGTCGTACCGGAGAAAAGATGGTGTGTTTCTTTATTTTGAAGACAATGCAGGGGTCATAGTAAACAATAACGGCGAGATGAAAGGTTCTGCCGTCACAGGGCCAGTTGCAAAGGAGTGTGCAGATCTGTGGCCCAGGACTGCATCGGATGCTGGCAGTACTGCATGATTCTCCAGTGTATTTGTAAAGAAAAAAAAACACATTAAACATTATTTCCTCCCCCCCCCCAAAAAAAAAAAATAGGCATCATGTTTTTTCGTCCCTTAAATCTTTTAATATAAAACAATCCACTCTTTTTTTTTATTGTGACTTTGAAGAGACTCATCTCATCTCATCTCGAATGTCCCACATTCTGACCCATTTCCGTGTGGTGGTTCATTTGTTTCTCTGTCCCCGTGTTTCTTACGGACTGACAAATGCCAAACACTAGGTGACTGCCCCCCAGGGAGCACAGAAGTAGGCCTTATGCTATGGCTATTTCCCCTTTCATTGGCACCAGCTCCCAGCCCCCACAGGGGCACCTGGGGACTCGCCCAGGGGCAGGGCGTGGTCTGCCGGCAGAGGCCTGGGCCTGCCCACAAGTTGTCTGAAGTGCACTGGGATCTGGGGGAGGGACCTGGCCTCCTGGAGAGGGACGGTAAAGGGGGTGCAGAACCTGGACAGCAAGGATAGGACTGGGGTATTTTAGGAGTCCTGCACCTACTCTATCCATCTCTTATTCCACTGTTCCCCCAACACCCCACAAATGCAATCCACGTCCCACGTGACACTGTGGGCCTTCTCTCCCTTCCGCCAGTGATTCCAGTCAGCGGTTGTCCAGTCTCATGGGGGGTCAACCCTGCTGTCCTGTGTGAGCAGACCACCCCGACCAATACTCAGGGGCTCAGGCCCTGGGCTTGGTGCTCCGACGTCTTTGGTGGACCCCAGATACCCCTGATCCCCAGCGCACTTCGTGGATTGTAAGCCTTATGGAGGTGGTGCTGGTGAAAGCATCCAGGACAGGCAGTCTCCATTTCCACGTCAGCGAGCAGCACTTTGCCTGTCCTCCCGCCTGCGGCCAGCAGAGGGCAGTAGAGGCTGAAGCCCACAGGCCAGTCTGCAGGGACTGTCTTCCCAATCAGGGGTCTGCCCTCATGCTGTCTAGTCACAGGGTCCCAGAACCAGGCTTCTGAAGGACAGGGGTCTTTAGTCTGGGGCTACAGCTACGAACATCGGTAATAACTTTTTTAAAATTTTGTTTTTATTGATTGTTTTAGAGAGGAAGGGAGAGAGAGATGGAAACATCGATGTGAGAAACATTGATCAGCTGCCCCCCACCACCAGAGATCGAGCTTGCAACCCGGGCATGTGCCCTGACTGGGAATGGAACCGGGACCCCTCAGTTCATGGGATGACGCTGGCTCCGCTGAGCCACACCGGCTGGGCTGAACTTACTTCTAAAGATCTTCATGAGCCATTGAGGCAAGAAGGTCTAACCCTCTTATTCTCAAAGGGGTCCCCAGGGAGATAAGACCTAGCCTAGTGTCTGGCTACACGTCATCCTTAGAGATCCAGGTGTCAGTCAAAGGACCTGCAGCAGCTAAGAGCTGACTGTGTCGCCCTGCCCAGCACAGCTTGGATACAGTGGCTTTTCTCCCATGTGCTTGAAAAGGCCCCTCAGCCAGGCTCTGTATCTCCCCAGGGGCCAGGTTGCTCCTCTGGCAAGACCCCACAGGGCCTGCCCAGCCCCCACCTAGAAGGTAGACTGGGTTGGCCTGGACCTCCCTGCTCTGATTCTTGGACAATGGACGCTAGCACGTGACTCAGGATGTATCTCTGTTCTTTTGAAACACCAGTGAGCCTCAGGGCTGCCTGGGGGTGTCAGCAGGGGACTCACGGTTAGCAGTAGCCTGGGAACTGCTCCCAGCACCCAGGGCTCCTGCGTGATGCATCCCTGGGAGGGGCTGCTGAGAGCATGGAATCGGGAGCCCATCAGCACAGCCCAGACCCTCGGACTCAGACCCCTCCATGGAGCCACCTGCGTTTCACAGGGGCAGTGGCCTGTCTCTGGGCTTCCATCACCTGTGTCACGGCAGCTCTTAGTGTGGAGGCCCGACTGTCTGCAGCCTGGCTTTTCCCCGTTCTGTTCCCTCAGCCTCGTCGTCCCAAGAAGACAGGCCCTCAGCCTGCACCGTCTGTCTGCATTTCTCACCAGCCCTGCTACAGCTATTGGCTTTCTGTTTTATTTTTTATTTTATTTTTATCCTCACCCGAGGACATTTTTCCATTTTTTGTTCAGGTAGAGTGGGAGGGGGAGAGAGGAACAGAGAGAGAGAGAGAAACATCAATGTGAAAGGAACACATCGAGTGGCTGCCACCCGCACAACCGACCAGGGCCGGGGACAAACTGCAACCGAGGTACGCGCCCTTAGCGGGAACCGAACCCGGGTCTCTCAGGACCGCAGGCCGACACTCTAACCGCTGAGCCAAACTGGCCAGGGCCATTTTTCCATTTTTTGTTCAGGTAGAGTGGGAGGGAGAGAGAGGAACAGAGAGAGAGAGAGAAACATTGATGTGAAAGGAACACATCGAGTGGCTGCCATCCACACAACCGACCAGGGCCAGGGACAAACCGCAACCGAGGTACGCGCCCTTAGCGGGAACCGAACCCGGGTCTCTCAGGACCGCAGGCCAACGCTCTAACCGTTGAACCAAACCGGCCAGGGCTTGGCTTTCTGTTTTAGAATCTTTGTCTGCAAAGCTGTTTGTGGCAGATGTCACCCCCCCAGGTCCCCAGGACCCAAAGGGCTCGGGTGAGAGGTGGGTTCTGGAGGAAGGGAAGGAGGTTAGGGAAACTTGTCCGGTGCGTATTCAAGGTTCTGCATGTGTCTGTTCTGTTCGGCGTGTCCAGCCAGCTCTGCTGGTGCTTCCCCCAGAAACCAGGAGCTGACGTTTCTTCCCTGTCTTCCCTGTGGATACCACCTACGGTGAGGGAGGTTCCAGTGGGCGGAACAAGCTGAATTATGATTTGCATACCTTCTCTCAGGGCCCCAAATCAGACAAGAAGTGGAGACCAGGAGGCTGCTGAACATTCTACAAGACGCAGGACAGACGTGTGGTCCGAGGCAGAAGTCCAAAGTCATCCACGACTCCCTGTCCATGTAGGTCACGGTCACTGTGGTTCCAGCCCGTCCCTCCCATCCTGACTGGGGCTGAAGCACTGTCCTTGCTACTAGTGCCTCTGTCCCCCCAGCACTGCGCCTTGACCATCCCCTGATGGAACCTTCCGGCTGCTGCCGCTGAGCCATCATCTAAGGCCAGGTTTTCCATCTCAGTGCTACGGATGAAGATGGGGGGCGGTGCTTTGGTGCTCAGGATCCCTGTCAAATCTGACCGCGACAGGTGGGGAGTAGGGCCCCTGCTTCTATTTCTTACGTAACAACTCGTCTTTCATTCACATGAATGGGAAGAAAGGAGCGAGATGCTACTCAGGACTTTTGATCTAGAAAGAAGCATCTCAGGGGCGACAGACCCCACCAGGCACCCTTGAGGGCACAGTGAGTCTAGAAGCGGCCAGTTCATCAGGCAGCACCCCTCCCCAACTCCAGGGCCCTAGACCCTGAACACGGCCCCTGCCTAGGGGTCCTGTACACAGCAGGCAGGAAGCCTCCTGCCATGGAGCCTGGAAGGGAAGAAACAGAGGAAGACAGGTGACCTGACCACAATACAACGTGACACACCTGAGCAGAAACATGGAGTCCAGGCTCCGTGGTGGAGACGCTCACCGGGAAGGAAGGGTGGAGGGCACTGCGTGGTGTCTCAGACCAGGCTGGTTTTCCCTTGCTGGGGCCAAAGCCAGGTGGCAGAGAGTGGAAATGGGTCAAATCCCCAGAAGAGGAACATCCTGACCCAGACAAGAGGTCACGGGGGCCATGGGAGGAGAGCAGGGTCTGTGTGTGTCGGGCACACGGAGCTGCCCCGAGGGTCCGGAGCTGGCGGAGGGACTCCAGGGGGAGGCAGGAAGTGGGAGCTGCTCTGCCCAGCTGCGGGCACAGAGGTGGTGACCACCTGCAACCCCAGGAGTCCGGGAGTTTGGGTTCAGGAGATGGCGTCCCTGCAACCTGACTTCACCGCCAGGCTCATTCTTACCTCCCAGGGACGGAAGGAACAAGGAAACGAAGCCAGTAGTTGGGTTCCAGGCCTCAACCTGGAGCTAAGAAAGCCTCTGCCGCCAGCTCCGGGAGGAGGAGAAGACGCCCTGGGCCTTCGGGTGGGAAATCGGCCCTTCCCCA